CACACAGTCACACATGCACACACTTTTATGTATGGGTCCCTGTTTGTGGTGTGTTTGGGGAGACTGCAGCTCCGGTTCAGTCCTCCTCTGGGTCTCAGAGACAGATGAAGGGAGAAGTGTGTCACTGGGTCAAACCTCGGCAGCCATCTTAGAGAGACGCCACTTTCACCTTCTCTAACCCAGACTGCACAGGGAAATGGATGACTTAATTTATTCAGATGTGTTTGTGTTCTTTCCCAAAGTGCTACTCTGGAGGTTTTAGCCATAAAATATGAATATTGTTTCTTCTTTTCATCCAGTTTCTGTCATTGTGGCTATGTTTTGTTAGTTCTGCTCTGTTTAATTGCGTTATAGTGTAGATGTACTGTCTTTAACATGGAGGAATATTTTCCTAACTCTAGTCACCTGTGGAGACCAAGCACCCTGTGGAAATCAAAGCCAGGATTATGCAAATCAAAATAGAACAGTGTGTGGATGCCTCGGCCCAGTGACCACATCACACACCCACACACGCATGCACATAATCCAGCACACGCACCCACACACACACATATTCACAAACACCCACACATACACACACACACACACAAACACACAGGGTGAAATTACCCAGCACCCCCTGCTCACCATATCGAACTAAAAGCTGTCACAGTATCCCCTGCCTGCTCTCTGAGCGCGCGCGTGCGTGTGTGTGCGTGCGTGTGCGTGTGTTGCATGTCTGTGTGTCCCTCCCAGCCTGCTCTGTGTGCTCGGGTGTGAGCTGCATGGCAATCCAGTCATTAGAACAGCACCGCTGATTATCATAGACACACACACACAAACACTCCCAGACAGACTGCAGGGCTGGGGAAAGGCCGGTAGATTCCACAGCTGTGCTACAACTACAGTTTACTCTCTTTGTTAGAAGGGATGTTGACAAAGAATCATTGAGTAAGTGCCTAATATTGGAATACACTTCTGAATAATTTAGTGGTTGTGGTTGAGAAAGGGTGTGAGGGGTTTGTGTTTTTTTGTCTTTGTAGCTGTTAAAGGCTGGGGCTGTGTATGAACTAGGCCTGATCGATGGTCATGGATGAGACAGATGAGAGGAGAGAGATTAGGCCAGAGGCTGCAGCACTGGATTAGAGAAACATCTCTCACACTCTCTCCTCAGAACACTGAATACTGCAGACTCACAGTGCTACTGATACACAGATTACACACACACACAACATATGCATTCCTGCTTGCATACACATTATATCCATCTCATTTATTGTTTATTCATGGATTTCATCCTATTTGGATTAGTTTGGTCATTTTTATGTTGTGGTCATTTACTGCATTCAGAGAGAGGAGAGAAAGCAGGGTAGTGTCAGAGGAGAGACATTCTGTTTTATCTTCTGTTTTATAATTTCATCTCTGTATACCAGCTGATGTCCTTCACTGGTCCTTTTCTCCTCTTTGACAGACAGACAGACATCTGATGCCCTTCTGATGGTGGATGGGCTCTAATGGCTGACATTGGCCTCACACTCCCATGGCACCTCGCTGAAGAGAGCTTAAAACACAGCAGGGTGTGTGTGTGCACGCGCGCGCGTGCGTGCGTGCGAGTGTGTCCGTGCATTCGTGTGTTTGAGTGTGTGATGCGGGGTCTGAAGGAGAAAGCCTTCAGAAGCAGGAGTTCAGTTTGCATAAACAGACGTGGGGGTTTATAGAATGGATGGTTACACACAGAGGCTGCAACTCTCTGCAGCTCTATCAACTTCCCTCAGTAACAGACTGGCACACTACGACCTTCAGTATCAGATAAAGAAAACCTCAGCCTCTCATGGCGGGTTACTCTATTGCTGGTGTTATTAACGTCTTATTACCTGCTGTATTCATTAAGGCACACATAGCAAACATAACAAATACAAGCGTTTCTTATTGGACAAGTTCTGGTAGTGCCTCACTGTTTCAGTCTGTTTGACGCCTAATGAATACAACCCTGGTTACTGTATCATCTCTTCCACCTGACCTGGGAACAGTGAAGTGAAGGAGCACCACTGTGCTGTCAGCCCCACTGTTGCATATTCACAGATGTAATGAAACTCTCCCGCTCCTTTAGGACCTGACTGAGTCCTCCCTGCTATCCTCCTACACTTCAGACGAGTAAGACTAGACGTTGTGTCACTTCTCGCTCTACATCCTGGTCTATACCTATGGCCACTCGCGTCTATCTCTATCTCTCTCTCTCTGCATCTCTATTCTCTCCTACTCTCTCTACTCTCTCTCTCTCTCACTCTCTCTCTCTCCCTCTCTCTCGTCTCTAGTCTCTAGTCTCTAGTGTGCTGAGATGTCAGTATTATGATGTGTTCTCCATAGTAATGAGCTTCATCCTACTACTCCTGTGTGCTTGAGAGCTCTTTGATGCAATCCTACAGTACATTCACTCAACAACATACCCTGTTGGTCCTATATTTTCAGATGTAAGCTACGATTCAAAGCAGATCGTATGTAGTTCACTTTCAAAAGTACAATTAATTAACCGTTGACGCCATATCATCAGATCATTACTCAAAGTAAATAACATGTTGACTGAATATGAAAATTGGCTGTGTAGCTTAATCTGGTGAAATATTAGTTGTACATAATGCCTGGCAAATACTCTAATAATCTCGCCAGCTGCTAAATTTGTCTGTCTTTCCTATACTCTCTCTAAGTGCATGTACCGCCGATGGATAATTTGATGACTAATGGGGGATCACATCCCATTCCCAGTGAGGGTGTAACTCAATACTAGTCACTAATAGTCCTTCTACCCACCCCCAACCATCAGTTAGCCAGTTGGTCAGGATGTCCTTAAAGGAAAATTCCACCCAAAACTGTCTTTTGGTATTTTTTTCCTTAGTCCATTGTATTTTGAAAGTTATATATCTTGAAAACTTGATTGCTGACAAGCAAAACATTTTGGGACTATGTCAACAATGGACTAATGAAACAAATACCAAAATATTGTTTTTGGGTGTTTTCCTTTAACACATTGACTGACCTCCCTGGATCCTCTACAGCTTCTGACAGGGAGACTATTCGTGATGATAGAGAAGAATAGATATATCCTCTGGCTTAGTGAGGGCTGGTTGGAAGACAAAGGCAATACATATGCAATATACATTGAGTGTACAAAACATTAGGAATACCTTCCTAATATTGAGTTGCACCCCTTTTTGCCCTCAGAACAGCCTCAATTCGTTGGGGCATGGATTCTACAAGGTGTTGAAAGCATTCCAAAGGGATGCTGGCCCATGTTGGCTCCAATGCTTCCCACAGTTGTGTCAAGTTGGCTGGATGTCCTTTGGGTGTTGGACAATTCTTGATACACATGGGAAACTGTTGAGCGTGTAAAATCCAGCAGCGTTGCAGTTCTTGACACACTCAAATCGGTGTGCCTGGCATCTACTACCATACCCCGTTCAAAGGCACTTAAATATTTTGTCTTGCCCATTGACCCTCTGAATCCATGTCTCAATTGTCTCAAGGCTTAAAAATAATTTTTTTACCTGTCTCCTCCCCTTCATCTACAGAGATTGAAGTGGATTTAACAAGTGACATCAATAAGGGATCATAGCTTTCACCTGGATTCACCTGGTCAGTCTATGTCATAATGTTTTGTACACTCAGTGTACATGCTTTAAACATGAACAGAGACATGCACAGTGGCCCTGCTAGGGAAATGTATTGTAGCTCCACTAACAAGATGTACTGTAGCTCCATAAGGGAGTTGTACGCTGTAGCTAATGTATTCTACTTTTCACAGAGTGGAAGTTCCTCTTCAGAGCTGATCACAGATAGATTGGAGACCAACAACCGGCTGAATGTGAGTGTAGCCTTTCCGGAACCTCTTACCTACCCACACGCTATTTTTTACAACAAAGAAACACACACAGGAGATGAAATACACACACAGACACAGTCACTCTGCTTTTGTTGTGAGAATGCCCTGGGAGCTCATTAGAAGGAGAGTGTATTTTATTATCTTATCTGTTGAGAGCAGAGACACATCTCAATCTACATCTCTATTATAAGAAACAGCATCTCCACTAGACATCTCTATTCTCTATCATCAGACTGCTGCATCTCTACACTGACACTGACTGAATACTGGGTAGTCATTTGTTTCACATCACAGTAACTCAACACAAAGACAAGAAGTAAGGTACAGCAAAGTAGCACAAGTGTTAGTTTGCTAGCAGCCATACTGTGAGCCATAAAGCCTCAGCGCCAAGAGGAGAGCAGCACTCACTAATAAGGGTTAAAGGTTAGAGGTCAGGTTGAGGGTAAACATCACCGCCAGCATCAGCTGCTGTTCCTGTTCCTGGCATCACACATATTAGCATGGAACCACGTCCTTCACTATACCCCATCAGCTGCCTACACTATACCAGATAGGACATTAAATCCTTTGTGTGTGTGTGTGTGTGTGTGTGTGTGTGTGTGTGTGTGTGTGTGTGTGTGTGTGTGTGTGTGTGTGTGTGTGTGTGTGTGTGTGTGTGTGTGTGTGTGTGTGTGTGTGTGTGTGTGTGTGTGTGTGTGTGTGTGTGTGTGTGTGTGTGTGTGTGTGTGAGAGCGCGCGCGCATGTTTGTGTGTGTGTGCTTAGTTGATGATCCAGAACCATATCACTACAGGACTAATAGTACACCCCTGCCCACGGCAGCCAGAGCCAATCAGAGGATGACACACGCTCGTAGAGAAACTGTATCCCATAGCAACGCCTCTGACTCACATCACCTGTCAGAGAACCCCAGAATGCACTATGAATAAACAAAAATAGAGGATGTTCCATTTATCTACCTCGCTTCCCTGCCTTTCTTACTGACACGCCCACAAATATCTGAGAGGACTGGATAAGTGTCAACAAGATGGCGGACACACCCTATGACCTATCAAGAGTCTAGGCTAGTGGCATACCTCCTACTCCTCAGGGGGAGTGACACAGTGCAGTGCACAGGATTAGAGGGGATGCTAGGGAGGTGGGGAATCAGAATGCAGAGACAGACTCAGCCCACAGGAAGTCTGTCTCAGTGTCTGTGACCTCTGGGGTGACCTCTGGGGTGAGCATCAAACAGTCCCGTCCTCCAGTCCTGCTCTGCCTGTCTTGACAGAGGGATATATAGAGAGACTGAGGACAGAGAAAGGAGAGAGGGCAGAGGGCTAGCTAACTGGAGGGAGATCGGGGGAGATGGAGAGGGCACAAGGCTAATTAGTGGTAGACAGATAGAGAGCAGTGGCATAGTGCTAATTGCCTGACGAGGACCGTTTTGGCATGATCAAGTATTCAGGGGGAGAGAGAGCGGGTGAGGAGGGAGGGGAGAGGAGGGGAAGGGAGGAAGGTAAGGTGAGAAGGGTGAAGCAGTGTGTTGTTTTTCTGGGAGGAGGGGGAAGATGGAGAAGTAGAAGGATGAGGCAGTGTAAGAGTTGTGTTTCAGTGAGGAGGGGGTGAGGTGAGGAGTGAGTGAGGAGGGGTCAGGTAGTGTAAGAGTTGTTTCAGTGAGGAGGTTGATGTGAGAAAAGGAGGGGTGAGGCAGGGTGAGAGCTGTGTTTCTATGAGGGGGTGAGGTAAGGAGTGGGTTAGGAGGGGTGAGGCAGGGTTACTGCAGAGTGTTGTGTTACTGTGACCAGGCCCTCTAGGCCCCCGGAGGTGAGCAGAATTCCTAATGAGCTGTGAACTGTAAACAAGACTCAGGATCCACACTCGGGAATTCTGCTGCTTCCTATCAGGAATTCTATTCTCTAACAGGAAGCGTCCACCCTCCCACTCCCCTCGCTCTCTCTACACACACACACATACACACACACACACCACACACACACACACACCTGACGCACGCACGCACACACACACCACCACACACTCACACACACCTCCCTCAGCCCATCCCCTCTGTGCCTGAGGGACAAAGCTAGGCGCTGGGCTAGACCAACGAATAACAGTTCAAATTGGAGGAAATGGGATCTTAAAATTACATTTCAGAGCTTCTCATTGAAAGTGCAAGCCTGAGACCTGGTTAGATTCATATTAAGGCTCAATATCCTGTAGGGACATCAGAAATATTAGTCAAGTAACACGTAGCAATATAACATCTGCCCATTCACGTCCCTTTTATCAGGTTCTAGAGACAGAGAGGCTGAGAAAATGTAATGGTAATGGGGTTACAATATTAAGCACCTAATATATCTACATCCTAATATATCTACATCCTGATATATCTACATCCTAATATATCTACATCCTGATATATCTACATCCTAATATATCTACATCCTGATATATCTACATCCTGATATATCTACATCCTGATATATCTACATCCTGATATATCTACATCCTGATATATCTACATCCTGATATATCTACATCCTAATATATCTACATCCTAATATATCTACATCCTAATATATCTACATCCTATGCATCCTAATATATCTACATCCTAATATATCTGCAGTCAAAAAGATTCACTGTCATGAAGAAATGGAAGAAGGCATGTGGAATTTACCTCACCCCATGTTTTTGTCCCCAGCACACATTGACTCATGTTTAAGGATTGTAATGACAGTATTGAGACATTATTTGTCATAGTCTATAAAGAGTATAGGTGTAACCATATCTGGTTTGATATATTAGTGAATTGATGACTAATGTGGTCCTCTGTAGCTCAGCTGGTAGAGCACGGCGCTTGTAACGCCAAGGTAGTGGGTTCGATCCACGGGACCACCCATACACAAATAAATGTATGCACGCATGACTGTAAGTCGCTTTGGATAAAAGCGTCTGCTAAATGACAGGGATGTTCACAGGCCACCAGATATAATATGTTACACTGACGCCACCTAGTGGTCACAGTAGATAAGGCAGATTCCCCATTGATACAATAATGGTGTGTGTGTGTGTGTGTGTGTGTGTGTGTGTGTGTGTGTGTGTGTGTGTGTGTGTGTGTGTGTGTGTGTGTGTGTGTGTGTGTGATCTCTGTAGCCCACAGTACCACAGATACCAATCTGTTTCCTCTGAGTGTCCACACTGTTTTATCCCAGCTACCTCTTTCACAAACCAACCATCTTGTGTCTCTGTCTGTGTCTGTGTCCTATCAGACAGTGCCAACTAAACCCACAGGGGCCAACTAACCCCCTCGTCTGCACTCCAGCCACTGAACCACTCACTCTTGACTACAGTCGTGGTCAAAAGTTTTGAGAATGACACAAATATTAATTTTCACAAAGTCTGCTGCCTCAGTTTTTACGATAGCAATTTGCATATACTCCAGAATGTTATGAAGAGTGATCAGATGAATTGCAATTAATTGCAAAGTCCCTCTTTGCCATGAAAATGAACTTAATCCCCAAAAAACATTTCCACTGCATTTCAGCCCTGCCACAATAGGACCAGCTGACATCATGTCAGTGATTCTCTCGTTAACATAGGTGAGACTGTTGACGAGGACAAGGGTGGAGATCCCTCTGTCATGCTGATTGAGTTAGAATAACAGACTGGAAGCTTTAAAAGGAGGGTGGTGCTTGAAATCATTGTTCTTCCTCTGTTAACCATGGTTACCTGCAAGGAAACACGTGCCGTCATCATTGCTTTGCACAAAAAGGGCTTCACAGGCAAGGATATTGCTGCTAGTAAGATTGCACCTAAATCAACCATTTATCGGATCATCAAGAACTTCAAGGAGAGAGGTTCAATTGTTGTGAAGAAGGCTTCAGGGCGCCCAAGAAAGTCCAGCAAGCGCCAGGACCGTCTCCTAAAGTTGATTCAGCTCGGGATCGGGGCACCACCAGTGCAGAGCTTGCTCAGGAATGGCAGCAGGCAGGTGTGAGTGCATCTGCACGCACAGTGAGGCGAAGACTTTTGGAGGATGGCCTGGTATCAAGAAGGGCAGTGAGGAAGCCACTTCTCTCCAGGAAAAACACCAGGGACAGACTGATATTCTGCAAAGGGTACAGGGATTGGACTGCTAAGGACTGGGGTAAAGTCATTTCCCCTTTCCGATTGTTTGGGGCATCCGGAAAAAAGCTTGTCCGGAGAAGACAAGGTGAGCGCTACCATCAGTCCTGTGTCATGCCAACAGTAAAGCATCCTGAGACCATTCATGTGTGGGGTTGCTTCTCAGCCAAGGGAGTGGGCTCACTCACAATTTTCCCTAAGAACACAACCATGAATAAAGAATGGTACCAACACATCCTCCGAGAGCAACTTCTCCCAACCATCCAAGAACAGTTTGGTGATGAACAATGCCTTTTCCAGCATGATGGAGCACCTTGCCATAAGGCAAAAGTGATAACTAAGTGGCTCGGGGAACAAAACATCGACATTTTGGGTCCATGGCCAGGAAACTCCCCAGACCTTAATCCCATTGAGAACTTGTGGTCAATCCTCAAGAGGCGGGTGGACAAACAAAAACCCACAAATTCTGACAAACTCCAAGCATTGATTATGCAAGAATGGGCTGCCATCAGTCAGGATGTGGCCCAGAAGTTAAATGACAGCATGCCAGGGTGGATTGCAGAGGTCTTGAAAAAGAAGGGTCAACACTGCAAATATTGACTCTTTGCATAAACTTAATGTAATTGTCAATAAAAGCCTTTGACACTTATGGAATTCTTGTAATTATACTTCAGTATACCATAGTAACATCTGACAAAAAATATTGAAAAACACTGAAGCAGCAAACTTTGTGAAGATCAATACTTGTGTCGTTCTCAAAACTTTTGCAAGTCAACCAAACCAGAACATCATCACCTTTTTAGGGGGCAGTAGGTATTCAAAGCTAACTCATCAGCACCACTCTATGGGCAAACAGACACATTGCAGTTAACTGGACTTTATTTGCCCACTTCCGACAAGACAGACTTCAGCCCTATTCTGATTCCACCCCCTTCTCCCTGAAGTGTGCACTCATTCACCCCAGAGATGGGCAGTACTTCTATTACTTCTTATTGAAATATGTATTTCAATTACTTCTGAGTATTTAGTCATTTGTATTACACTGGGCTGAACTACACTCCAATGTATTTTGTAACAACATACCTTCCAGAGCTGTAATTTGTATTTCCAAAATACAAAATACTTTTCTATACCATTTTTTAATTGCGGTTCACAATTTTGTGCTCCCCCCACCTTGCATTGGTATCAAAAGTCTGATGGCACTATGGTGGGATAGAAGGGTCTGCTAAATAAACTAAATATATACTGAACATAAATATAAACTCAACATGCAACAATTTCAATTGTTTTACTGAGTTACAGTTCATAATAGGGAAATCTGTCACTTGAAATAAATTAATTAGGCCCTAATTTATGGAATTCACATGACTGGGAATACAGATATGCATCTGTTGGTCACAGATACCTTTTTAAAAAAGTAGGGGCGTGGAACAGAAAACCAGTCAGTATCTGGTGTGACCAACATTTGCCTCATGCAGCGCGACACATGTCCTTCGCATAGAGTTGATCAGGCTGTTGATTGTGGCCTGTGAAATGTTGTCCCACTCCTCTTCAATGGCTGTGTGAAGTTGCTGGATATTGGCGGGAACTGGAACACGCTGTCATACACGTCGATCCAGAGGATCCCAAACATGCTCAATGGGTGACATATCTTGTGAGTATGCAGGCCATGGAAGAACTGGGACATTTTCAGCTTCCAGGAATTGTGTACAGATCCTTGCGACATGGGGCCGTGCATTATCATGCTGAAACATGAGGTGATGGCGGTGGATGAATGGCACGACAATGGGCCTCAGGATCTCGTCACGGTATCTCTGTGCATTCAAATTGCCATCGATAAAATGCAATTGTGTTCATTGTCTGTAGCTTATGTCTGCCCATACCATAACCACACCGCCACCATGGGGTACTCTGTTCACAACATTGACATCAGCAAACCACTTGCCCACACGACACCATACATGTGGTGTGGGGTTCTCAGGCCATTAGGACCTAAAGCCAAATTCTCTAAAACGACGTTGGAGGCAGCTTATGGTAGAGAAATATGTATTGCACGCCGCCTCAAAACCTGAGACATCTGTGGCATTGTGTTATGTGACAAAACTGCACATTTTACAGTGGCCTTTTATCGTCCCCAGCACGAAGTGCACCTGTGTAATGATCATGCTGTTCAATGAGATTCTCAATATGCCATACCTGTCAGGTGAATGGATTATCTTGGCAAAGGAGAAATGTTCACTAACAGGGATGTAAACAATTGTGTACACAACATTTTAGATAAATAAGCTTTTTGTGCATATGGAAAATTTCTGGGATCTTTTACTTTACTTACAGTCAGTGCATTCGACTAAGGAAGATAAACAACAACATATCACAGTCATAGCAAGTAAAACATTTCTGTAATTGTTACTGAGAATGTTGTTGCTGTTCGGGCCGTCTACTTACAAATGTATTTCTGTATTTTAAAATACAAAATACATGCATTTTAATTAAATACATGTAAAAATACAAGTATTTTGTGGTTCACTTTGATACGTTGATCTTTATTGTATTTTGTAATTGTATTTTGTCCTTTTTGCCCATTCCCGATGCATAAGCCTACATACCCAATTGCTCTCCAGGAGGAGGGTTGGCCAACATGCAGATGCAGAGTCTGCCATATGTCTTACAACAATCTGATACTTTTAGATCCCTGAGGGGGAGTGAGTGAGTACAGGTTTCCGGGAGAAAGGGGAAAATCTGAATTGGGCTACAAGTCTGGACTGTTGAGATGTAAACTATGTAGACAGACTGTGCAGTTGAAGGACATGTTTGTTAGTTTAGTCTATACAAAAGGATACTTTTGACAAATAACATTGCAGCTGCAGATGGGAGTCTGCATTTATCCCAAAATACTATCTGGGACCAAACTGCAGTAGCCTAGGCTAGTCGTATCTTTTATAGGTCAGGATTTGTATAGTGGTACACTAGGCCACAGACATATTTACAGTATGGTATGTTAATTAGTCCATTATGCAGGGCCTACAGACATTGAGGCCTAGGGCTACTGTGAGACCACATTGCTCAATTATGTTTATCAGAAGTATTCAAATGATCAATTCATAATAAGGCCTTTAAGCTAGCAGGCCATTATAAATTGATGACAGATGTTTGTTTGACGTTTCAGATGGCCACGTGACCGTTAAACCAGCGGGATGTTACGTCACTACTCACTACTGTTTAGTAGCGTCATATGCGGACCTTGCGTTTTTTCTCTCCTATCACGCCCCCTCCGCCGCGCTCAAAAGGCTCTATGCACGCATCACTTCCGCATTGGCGTAAGGATGCTTGGGCATTTCCGGTTACCGGAAAAAAACATTAAGACAGTGACAGTAGACCGTTATGATGGCAGAGATGACGTTTACAAGGTGTTTGCTGGAGTTGCCTAAAGTATCTGTTAATGATATACGGAGGGTTGTCCAGACATCCAGTACGACACCACGTGGCAAACTGGATAAAGGCTTCAAATTATACATTTCTTATTTTCTTTACAACTTTGAAGGTAATATGCTAACGCTAGCTAGCCTGAGCTAGAAGCCTTGCTTTGGTGTTTTAAGTCATGACTCCGTCCTGCTTCAGGTTAATCATGCTTTAAATCAAGTTTAATCATGTGTATATACCTCTCACTTCATGTGTTTGTACGTTTATGAAAGTATCAGGTAAAAACAGGGCTACAAATGAGATCTCTGTGAGAGCCCACTGCTACCGCTCAATGAAGAAACTAAAGCCACCACACCAGCTGAGAGTAAGACTAGATTAAGTGACACGTTAAAAGTTCTGTTGAACTTGTTCAAGGTTCCGTTCAACACATGTTTTACTCGTTTAATGTTACCACAGCTTTGATTGCCATTGCTAAGAGAACACTTTAGAACTTTAGTGGTTTTCACGATAGCTGAACAGTGGTAGCCTAATACAGACCAGGGTAGCTGAGTGGGAATTGCCATGCTTTGTTGTTGGGTCTGTTGTAAACAAATTGGAGTTTGGTTTGAAATGTAAACAATAATGAGATTACTACTTTTTCCTGACTTGATGACTGCAATGACAGTAACATATTCCACTCAGCTATTCTTCGAACTGCTGATGTTCTACTCAAAACTGTCCTGTCATCTTTACTTCTTTCTTTATAAATGGCCCATCTTTATATATGGCCCATCTTCCTTGCTTTTGTACATTTACATTTACGTCATACTTGTACTTGATGTTTCTACTTTTCAAGAGGAATTAGGAGCAAAACCTTCACTCTATAGTTGTAACTTTACTGTTACCGTTCTAAAAAAGTGAGCGCTGACTTGACTAATTTACTGTCTGTACGATAATCTGTGGCTCAATAAAAATGTTTGGAAAAAAAAGACATGAATTTCATAACATATTTCATCACAGCCTATTTGTTCCATAGCCATCCATGAGTTTTCATTTTAGGATTGTGCTGCCAACATTAGCTTTTGGTTGCCCAGGCTTTAACCAAGGGCCCATTTTGATAATTGACCAAAAGACAGGCAACTGTGTAAAGTTGATTGATGCTGCCTGTCAATGAAAGAGGGATTACTGTACTGAATAATTTATGTTCCTTAACCCTGCGAATGAGCCGCTCAACGTGGACTCTCAGTCTGGCAATCGATTGTGTCTTCCTGACCTCTGGCTCAGACAGTTGTGCTCTCTTACACAGAAAGGTAGGTATGTGGACCTTGCAGGGCACACAGTCTTCTACAAGGAAACCCTTGTCAACCATTATGGCCATAGATGGGTTTAAGATGCCACAATGCCAGACTGCTTCAGAATCTCTTTATCGCTGATGGCACCTTCATAGAGAGACGACACAAAGGTTACTGCGCCGTGAGGGGCCATCCCAATTAGTCCTTTAAATGTACAGTGTGATTTATAGTTCGAGAACACCTCACTCTGGAGGAGAAGAGAACTAGGTTTTTGGCAGCGTATTTCAGTACAGTCCAAAATAATTTGTGTGTCAGAGTAACCCTGAAAAACCTCTGGCATGTGAGATTTGACAGTCTCCTCATCCAGCCAAATACCCACAGCCCCTAGTACAGTATACAGGAAGTTATCCCATGTATTTATGATGCGGCTTACAGTTGACTGGTGGATTTTGAATCTGTGGGCCAGATCCTTCTGCATCAGACCCAATGACAAGTAATTCATGAAGAGAAAACATGTGTCAATGGGTTGAAGAACCTGAAAAGAGTAAGAATTCCATTATTACCTCATTACACAAATAGCTTAATTTTCAAGATGATAAGATGATGCAATATATCTTGCTTTGTAAGAACAACTGTAAAATATATTCACCATTGCATTGCCAGTGTGAGGGACCTCATCAGTCTTTGCTATACTTCGTGCTCTTGTCACCCGTATGATCTTGCAGGTGGCTGGCTCTATCTGCTTCCAAAAGCCCATCAGGTGGGCATGACTTGCAAACCTGTGGGACATACGTGTTACATTTCTATATGTTAAGTGTCCATACACAACATTAAATTGAAAGCATGTTAGCATCCTTATTGACAGTTATACAACATCTTAGAACATTTGGCACTAAGGTCAGAAACTGGACCACGCACACGTCAGTCCTTTTGCTTACTGCTCTTCTCAGTATTTTAAAATACAATTAATGCGCTAGTTGATAGCCTAGATCTAGATAGTTTTAGAGAGATACTTTACTCATCCCGAGGGAAATTCAAGGTTTCCAGTAGCTTACAACAACACACATCACACATGCAACATTTAAACAGATAATAATACTAGTCATTGTTGACAGCTCAAATACATAGGCCTATATATTAAACACATTGGACATTTTAATTTACCTTGTGAAAAACCTTATGTCATCATCAGATCCAGAAAACCGCTCCAAGCAGAACTTGCTGCTGATAGTTATCTCCTCAATTTCATTTCGGAGCCTTGCTATCTCTACACTAAGTTCTTCATTGTGGTCAAGGGACATATCCAGCGCAGCAGGTTCAGTACTGTTGCAGTAGTCATGGTCAGGAGGACAGTCCAATTCCACAGACGGATCATTCATGGTTCCTGTGTTGGGACGCTCCGTCCTTTCCCAAACTCCGGGCCGTGGGGCTGGAAGACTGAAATTGTTGATTTTCAAACAGCACTGGAACAGCTCCCTTCTTCAGATGTCTGCGCCCAGCTGGAGTCGGAGGCTCTATCACATCTTCACTTAGAAAGTGTCGGCTGCAGACTCGTGTGTTTGTTGTAAGAAAGTTGACTCGTCGAATGTTAATCACCCACCGTTTATGTAATTCACTGTCTTTGGGAAAAGTTTAAAAAAACTAACAGAAGAATTGCATCTGGCAGACACTGTACATTGCGGCACACAGCAGTGATGGCTGGAAGAGCTGTCATCCCGTTTTTGAAAGGACACTTTCGTACGTTTACACGTCATCGTGTTATAAGTCAAGACGAAGTATTACAAGTAAAAACATTAACATAAACATTAAGATAAACAACAACGACGACGAAAATTAACCGCTTCGGATGTTTTTGACGACAAGCATTCAATGCTAGCATACGGTAGCACAGCATTCTACGATAACCGGAAGTTTACATCCATCCTGAGCTTTAACCGGAAATACGTCATGCTCGCCTGTGCATATCTGCCAACAGTCTGTCCAAATCTGTCCATGAAAATAAGTGAGAAATGTTTGTATGGCGGTCAATGAGAGAGAGTCAAATTTGGTCAACAAAAAATGTAATTGCTAATTTGCTACATGAGGCTTATTTGGTCTAATATAAGTTTATAATGGTTAGGTTGTTGTTACAAATGCACTGATATAAGTGGACACACGTGGCTTTTCGGCAACTTTGAAAAAAATGACTATCACAGTTGCAAAACCCAGAGGAGGGAACACTTGCGAAACAGACCAAGCAGACCAGCCCTGGGTTTGGGGTTTGAGAAGTCAATGAGAGAAGTGAAACATTTTCATTAGTTGTTAATTTTCACACAAAAAAATCTAAAGGCACAACCTAGATTCGAGCCAATGTCTTAAGTAGTTGAACGTGTTATTACTCCAACCTCGTGAAAGTGACAAATACATTTTAATTTTCATCAAAAACGTTATGTCGAAGGAGTGCCTTTGATTAACACATGCGCAGTTCGGCGCGAAACAACCAATTGACCCAATGACGTGTTTCTGCGCATGAGTTTAGCTAGCCAACGTCGCCATGACATTACCTACAAGCATGATCTGTGATTTCTTTTGGAGAAGCAATTTCTGCCTATCTTAATACTGTAGGCCTACTGTCTTTGACTTTAGTGCCTGTTGTTCACAAGCGTATCTGCCCTCTCATTGGCTAGAATGGTTCCACCTGATCTCGCCTCCTCCCACCTGCCTTCCATCTTTGAGGACATGCATTTCCATTGTTAAAGCGGCCACTCGACTATCTTATCAATATAATATAAAATCTTTGCTGTGGATCAGACGCGCTGTCAGGTGCGAAGCTGCTAATGACACCGCCGCAGCTCCGTTAAAAAGTACAGAATGTGCCAGGAACAAAGAACAAGAGCTTCTCTCTGATTCTCTCCGAGGAGAGATCAACCATGGCCAGCTGGCGGAGAGAAAGCCCGCGGAACCGGGCAGGACAAGGAAGTGGCAGCATGAGAGCAGCGAGGAAGCCCCAGCAAAGAGATCCACCCAGCGAGGCAGTTGACGCGGGCGAATCAATGACAGAGCTGCCACAATGGTTGCGGCTCTATTTCTATGGGATGCACGGTGTCACTTTGGATATCCTCCTGTCGTCGGCACAGGGTCTTTTGGCTGACAGCGACCCCAAACTGTTCGGCTTTTCCTCCCCGTACCTCTGCATCATGCACTCGCTGACGCATTTCTTGCTGGAAAAAATATATTCGCAAAAGAAGTGCTTTCAAGGACGCCCAGTAGTTTTTCACCTTGTTTTCTATCCCTCTGTGTACATCGGGTTACAGATCCTGATTGGGAATATAAACACGCTGACCGAGCACGTTAGAATAGTCTCTGCCACTCATCTCGTAGTTCACTACCTACTGGCCCTGTACTTCACCCAAGTATTCCACAAGGGGCTTGCGCGGCTGCGCTACCACTGCCCCGGGAAACGGACCCTGGCTACCCCGGCAGAGCGCACACTGGAGCCGCTGCCTAATAACGGCCTGCCCGATGTTGTGCGATTCCTCTTCTTTGGAATGCATGGCTTTCTGGACGAGATCATTTTTACCTCGATATTCAACCTTGTGGAGAAATCGGATCGGACCATGAGCGGCCACACGTCCCTGTGGTCCTTCCTGATGTACGGGAGCTGCAGCCTCGTTGTAGAGAAACTCTACCTGCATTTGCACTTCAGACGGGGCTGGAGCACCTGGAGGCGACTCCCCATCTATATCTGCTTCATCTACACCTGGGAGTTCTGTTGGGGGCTGGCGCTGCGGCAGTACGGCGCATGCTCCTGGGACTATTCCCACTATCCATTCAACTTCATGGGCCTGATCACGCTCCTCTACCTGCCCGGATGGGTCTGCATCAGTCTCTACCAGGATATTCTGTCCAACGTTCTGCTGCGCGTGGTGGTGTGTGCCAAAGACGAGGAGCGAGGGCACTCATGGCAGGGCGCGGGCGTCAACGTCTGCCCCGTGTCCAGGAAAAAACATTTATTATAGGCCTAGGCCACATTTGATCTAGGGACTATTGATACTAATACAAATGATGAAGAGGACATTTAAGATCATCAATGGTGTACCCGCACTTTGTAACATAATGTGTATTTCCCTGATGGAAATGTGGAATTGATGTAGCTGTTTAGACATCATCGTTTATCAGTGATTCTAACGATTAGCCTATCAATTTGTGACAGGTAGCCTAAACACACAGACATGCCTTGCCTGCCATTTCTGCTGTGATGACAACTGCCATTTCTAACTTTGATGTAGATGAAACAATTATATTTTACTGTGAATTATTTCTTAAACTTTATTGACAAAGTCAGCCATATGCATGGTGGCACCTTTTGACTGGGTTGGTCTCTTCAATACCAGAGCATTCTTTGAACTAATTTGTGCATGGCTGCATATGCACATTCATAAGCACTTAATTGCTTAAATCTTATTACCTTAAAAAATGCATGACATTTAGAAATAAAATAGGTTCTCAAAAGTTCAAAATGTATGTAGCATGAGTTGTAATCGAACAGAATAGAATGGGTGGTGGACCGAATTAATCTCACTGTGAATCTTTTTCTGAACCTTAACCTTACTGTGTTGGAGTGCCTTTCTGAGCAAACCTACAGACGGCTTGACTAAAGACAAACTGAACTACACTAAACTCTGTGTGCCAGTTTCCCCCTAGGCCTGGCTGAACTGAAAAGGAAGCTCAATGGGGAATTGAAAGTGCTTTTTAGTCCACAACTTTAGGCTTAATCTGGGTCATGTAAACAGGCAATGTGTGCAAGTCAGACAGACCCTGAGGATCTGCTTTAGTTTTCTCCCTTGTTTACATAGGGACATCTCCAGCCCCAGGCTTGTTTACCTAACGTTTATAAAGCAGCGGAGCACGAGTCAGCTTTTTATGGTTTACACTCTATAGGTTGATCTGGAGTATGCAATATCAGGAGTCAGCAGACCTGAGTTCAAATACTACTTGAAATCTTTCAGACACTTTCACTGTTTGCTTTAAGCTGCCTGGAGTGCCAGATGGACAGGGTTTGGGGTTTGAATTTTTGCGAATATTCTATTGGTTCCATTACTCCAGGAAAGCTCAGTCAAGCCTAGCTAAAGTATTTGAAATTATTTCAAAATAGTATTTGAACCCAGGCCTGGGAGTCAGGTGTGGAGCATGTACAGTGAGGGAAAAAATTATTTGATCCCCTGCTGATTTTGTTCGTTTGCCCACTGACAAAGAAATGATCAGTCTATAATTTTAATGGTAGGTTTATTTGAACAGTGAGAGACAGAATAACAACAAAAAAATCCAGAATAACGCATGTCAAAAATGTTATAAATTGATTTGCATTTTAATAAGGGAAATAAGTATTTGACCCCCTCTCAATCAGAAAGATTTCTGGCTCCCAGGTGTCTTTTATACAGGTAACGAACTGAGATTAGGAGCACACTCTTAAAGGGAGTTCTCCTAATCTCAGTTTGTTACCTGTATAAAAGACACCTGTCCACAGAAGCAATCAATCAATCAGATTCCAAACTCTCCACCGTGGTCCTCTGTAGCTCAGCTGGTAGAGCACGGCGCTTGTAACGCCAAGGTAGTGGGTTCGATCCCCGGGACCACCCATACACAAAAATTTATGCACGCATGACTGTAAGTCGCTTAGGATAAAAGCGTCTGCTAAATGGCATATTATTATTATTATTATTACCAAAGAGCTCTCCAAGGATGTCAGGGACAAGATTGTAGACCTACACAAGGCTGGAATGGGCTACAAAACCATCGCCAAGCAGTTTGGTGAGAAGGTGACAACAGTTGGTGCGATTATTCGCAAATGGAAGAAACACAAAATAACTGTCAATCTACCTCGGCCTGGGGCTCAATGCAAGATCTCACCTCGTGGAGTTGTAATGATCATGAGAACGGTGAGGAATCAGCCCAGAACTACACGGGAGGATCTTGTCAATGATCTCAAGGCAGCTGGGACCATAGTCACCAAGAAAACAATTGGTAACACACTACGCCGTGAAGGACTGAAATCCTGCAGCGCCCGCAAGGTCCCCCTGCTCAAGAAAGCACATATACAGGGCCGTCTGAAGTTTGCCAATGAACATCTGAATGATTCAGAGGAGAACTGGGTGAAAGTGTTGTGGTCAGATAAGACCAAAATCGAGCTCTTTGGCATCAACTCAACTCGCCGTGTTTGGAGGAGGAGGAATGCTGCCTATGACCCCAAGAACACCATCCCCACCGTCAAACATGGAGGTGGAAACATTATGCTTTGGGGGTGTTTTTCTGCTAAGGGGACAGGACAACTTCACCGCATCAAAGGGACGATGGACGGGGCCATGTACCGTCACATCTTGGGTGAGAACCTCCTTCCCTCAGCCAGAGCATTGAGAATGGGTCGTGGATGGGTATTCCAGCATAACAATGACCCAAAACACACGGCCAAGGCAACAAAGGAGTGGCTCAAGAAGAAGCACATTAAGGTCCTGGAGTGGCCTAGCCAGTCTCTAGACCTTAATCCCATAGAAAATCTGTGGAGGGAGCTGAAGGTTCGAGTTGCCAAACGTCAGCCTCGAAACCTTAATGACTTGGAGAAGATCTGCAAAGAGGAGTGGGACAAAATCCCTCCTGAGATGTGTGCAAACCTGGTGGCCAACTACAAGAAACGTCTGACCTCTGTGATTGCCAAAAAGGGTTTTGCAACCAAGTACTAAGTCATGTTTTGCAGAGGGGTCAAATACTTATTTCCCTCATTAAAATGCTAATCAATTCATAACATTTTTGAAATGCCTTTTTTTGGATTTTGTTGTTGTTATTCTGTCTCTCACTGTTCAAATAAACCTACCATTAAAATTATAGACTGATCATGTCTTTGTCAGTGGGCAAACGTACAAAATCAGCAGGGGATCAAATACTTTTTTCCCTCACTGTACAGTAGAATTACTTGGGATCAACCACCATGTATAGAGCCCTTTGTCCTTTGTCATAGATCTTTCTGCCTGTTTTATTTCCTCGTTTGCACTTGTACCACACGGTAGAGTCTCATGTTCTCTCTGAGGGGCCAAACACATACAGGATGTGTGAATACCTGGCACTGTGACTTTACATTTACATTTTTGTCATTTAGCAGACGCTCTTATCCAGAGCGACTTACAGTTAGTACTTCACTAGCAACCTGTTCCAACATTATACTCTTTGGAAAGTACGTTTGGAAACGTATAGTTTTAGCTCTTTTACTGATTTTATGATTCTCTAGCATGTTTTTTATGCATTTTACTTCCTGCCTTCATCAGTCCTGGGGATTCCGTGAAACTAAGATTGGAGGTAACTGAAAGCTGGTAATACGGATGAGTTATACATGTCCAAGGAAAAAGATCTGATAACATATGTTATTAAAATATTTCAATTTTTGCACGTGATTTTTGTCAGATGATTATGAATATGAAGTGTATCTTTCATGCCGTGGGAGTTTCCTGGCCTGCGCAAACAAACAATACCTTCCAGTCTTCTGGACACTCACACTGGACTGACTGAAATAACAACATTCTTTTCCTTTTGGTTTGTCATTTCAAAATGGTGGGCTTTTGTTGTGGGTGATGCAAAAGAGGGATACACATGGCCCAACAGTAACTGCCTGTCACGCCCTGACGTATGGAACTCTTGTATGTTGAGTCAGGGTGTGGAAATCTATGTGATGTTTTCTATGTTTAGGATCTAGATTCGTATTTCTATGTTTGGCCGGGTGTGATTCCCAATCAGAGGCAGCTGTGGCTCGTTGTCTCTGATTGGGGATCATACTTAAGTAGCCTGTTTGCCTACTACGTTTGTGGGATCTTGTTCCTGTGTTTGGCTTGTATTGTGTATAGCCTTGGACGTCACGTTACGTTGGTTTATTTGAGTTAAATAAACATGTTCGCATACCACGCTGCACCTTGGTCTGACCCGTCTCTCAACGATCGTGACACTGCCTCAGTGATGATGAACAGGACAAGAAGTTACTGCCTCGATGATGAATAGGACCAGGAGTTTCTTTACTGGTTATGTGGTCGGGGAGAACCTCCTGTCCCTGGTAAAGTTGTTATCTTAACTATATGATAATGTTTATTTTAAAACTTGAGGTTTGGAAATCATTGATCAACTGTATTTAATAATAGAGTACAATTATGTCCTTTATGGCTCACAATGAGGAAGGAAAACCATGTTTATGTTATAAATGAGGAGAGACTGAAGTATTCTTGGTACAGTATGTCCATGGTGAAATTGAATTGAATCAATCACTGGATGGAAATAGTGTAGCCTGTAAACTGTACATTACTTATAACTTCATTAAATCTCAAAGAATTCCATGTTGAACCGCCAAGGTGGTTCATGTTCATGTTGTCTTGATTTACACTAAATTGCTTGTATTTACAGGTTTTCTGTGCTTCTCTCAGATCAGCTGCCTAGGAAAGTTGCACAATGTCATAAAACACATAAAATGCCTGACCTTTTACAGGAAACCGCATCTCAAATATAAAGTCAACACTGCTCTGAGTGGATCAAGAGATACTAAATGACTCTTATCTGTGCATAGTGTCAGATTGAGTCTGCATGAGAGGCAGAGATGAAGACTCTGGTTTTTCCACCTCTGCACTGTTTGTTAGGTGTGTGTGTGTAGGCTAGGCTACCTGTGGAAAGTTGTCAAGGATACCATTCAGTGAGGTTGGAGGGGTAAGGTAAGAAGAGCAGGACTGTTACTGTAGGGACCTGTTATGTTCTCATATCTGATACCCAGCACCACCAGCCTATCTGATTGGCCATAAACATCAAGGGGACAACACTGGCTTATCTAATTGGCCGGATGACCCTGGGCTCATTATCTCCCTGCAGACTTCCTTTATTTGTTAGAACAGTAGAACACAGATACTAACACAGCATTTAGTGTTGATGTTTACTGCTTCACTCCTGGCTCTCTGAGGTATCACTTCTCTGTTTCCAGTTACAACACACGCACTCAAACTCTTAATAGGGTTGTGGGCCTAAGTTCAGAAGTCTGGCTAAAATTCAAGGTCATTCTCTACAGAGTAAAGCAGGCTAATGCTTAAATGCCAAATGTCTACAGTAATCTACTTTAATGCTTAATATGGCTTTGGGCTCTACCGTGGTCTCGCACTCCCCTCGAGTTTCAAGGAGTGAGGACGGCTTCCAAAGCAAGGCAGGAGTCATCCTTACACACAAGGTTTATTATTATTATTAGGGCAGGGCAAGGAAAATCTTATATTACACTTTTGGCCATGTACTTTAATTAGTCATTCACAATATGTGGAGAAGAAACTATTAGCACCTCTTGTCAATGTCATTTAATAAAATATTTATAATATCAGCTCTAATAGGTGCCTGTCTTCACAACATCAACACTGTGAGGGTCAGTAACACAACAGTGAGTGCAATAGACAACCAATGACACTGTAAATATTCACAGAGACAGAGTCCCGTTTTTATTTTCAAATACACTCACATGATATGCAAATAACTACATGAGAAATGTTGTCACAGAAACTATCTCTACTTGCAATACACTCATCTTTGTTCCTGTCGCAACATGTCAATGTCTTTAGGCTATTTCCAGCTGAATGGAATTAGTAGACGTATGAAGCTTTATCATTACTGCAATGTGAACTTTAAGGCACAGAGAAAACAGCAACCTGAAACTCAGGTTTTACAGTACTGCATGGCACACACTATAGTTTCTCCTTATGTGCAATCAACACTTTTAGTCAACATTTTACCCTAAACCATCATATGCCTGGGATGTTCAAGTACTTACCTCTTATTACAGTATTATTAAGTAGGTCAAACGAGAGACTTGTGCCACCTTGTGTATGTTACACAGGACATAGTCCAGTTACACAGGCCAACACTCATGATCCATCCATCAGTGTTTCAGTGTTTTTTCAAGTTCTCCTTAATGGTTGATTGTTCCATATCAGCTATCACTTTATTCAGTGTCTTAGTCTTGTCGGACAGACCCTGATGCTTCAGTCTGAACACCAGCGCTTTAGACAGGTGTATGGGCAGCTTTGGGGCACATGTCCGTCCTGTATAGCATTGACAGGTGAACCTCTTGGAGAAGAGAGTCAGGTCAGCCAGACTGGGCGTCCCCAGGACCATGTACGTGTTCCTGGCCCGGAGGATACGGAAGTTCCCTGAGGACAGGTGGAGGTAGTGGTCTGACTCGTAGTGCTTCCGGATGCAGCGGCCATTCCCCTGGCACAGGAAGTCGCTGCAGAGCTGGGCGGCGGCGGTCACGTTGGCGACGTAGGGGTTGAGCGTGGTGGTGAGGTACGAGGAAAGAGCCTCACAGGACGCCTGTGGGGAGGGAGGGAGAGAGAGAGAAAGTTGGAGGAAATGATAACTCTTCATGGTCATGCGCACTGGTGAGGTACTCCTAGAGAGCCTCACAGGATGCCTGTGGGAAGGGAGGGTGGAGGGGTGGAACAATACATCAAAGAAAGTTAAAGTGGATTCATATGTGCTGGAATATTCTATTCATGGTGAGAATACTTTTGTTCTGCTTTCGTATAGTTTTGTTGCTTAAAATGATTTTCTGTGTCTCAAATGGCACCCTATTCCCTCTAATGTAGTCACTACCTTTGATTGGCCCTGGCCATTTGGGACACAGCCATAGTGTCCGATAAGACATTCCAGGTCCACTATGGCTGTGGTGTTTTCTGTCAACATTAACTGAGTGGGGTCAAAAAAGTAAAAAAATGTATACACTCACTACTGTAAGTCGCTCTGGATAAGAGTGTCTGCTAAATGACTAAAATGTCAGTGGTATTGGCTTTCAGTGAGAGTGGGGAGTATCACCTTCAGTGGTCCCTCCTTGAATGCATATTTATTTATTTTAAGATGCATATTGATGCCATAAATTAATGGTGCCACCTGTCAATGATTTTAGAAGGCAGGATAAAGATGATTTAAATGGTGTCACTGTCCAGATCCAACTACACTTGTAAGATATCCAGACACAATGCGTGCCTGACTACCTCCGGAGGTTGTGAGGAAGATCTGATCACAATCAGATCACAATGCGTCTTTTGATTGTCTACATACAGTACACCTGTCTGAAAATGTGGGTACAATCAGAATGTGGACAAAATTAGGACAAAGGATGCATGTTAGAACCAGGTATAAACAGGGCTAGAGTATCACCTAACCTTGTCATTGTAGTCGGCACTGGCCCCCCACAGCACGGCTCCTGAGGCCCCCACAGCAGCACTCTCCCCGATGGTGCTGACAAGGTCCCCCTGGAGAACATCACACAGTTAAAGCAAAGGGTTATTATTACAGTGGTAGGGGGTATGACAGAGGTAACTGCACCTCAGGACAGCATTGCTCTAACCTCAGATCCCCACCATCAACCTGCTTCATGTGTCTGGGGGGTAGGGGCTAGAGACTCATTTAGGATTGGTCAAAAGCCTCTGTAAGAAGCATATTTCTCACCTGGCTGAGAAAGCGTCTGTTCTGGTCGATGAAGACGGGTCGTGTGTACACGTAGACGGGTGCGGTGGCGGGCCGGGCGGGCAGGGCAGACACCCTCAGTGCCTCCTGGACTCGGTTCCTCACCAACAGGGCGGCGCTATGCCTGTCCCTTAGAGATGCCTAAAGGAGGCACAACAACCACATAGGAGTTAGTCTCTCTCACCTTACCTACAAACTAGCAAGCACCAGACTTTTAGTATAGCCTGCCAGACTACACAGGAGATGGCAAAACCAAAACACATCTGGCTACCAGACTAGGGGTAGATGTTAGATTATGAATTAGTAATATCCTCCCCCGCCCCCCAAAAAACATTCTTACCTGCAGGTATATAGAGGGGTAGAGTGCGGAACTAGCCTCCCACAGCCAGAGCAGCTCATCATTCTGCCCCCTCACCTCCTTGGAACATCTCCCTGTGTATCCCGGCTCCATCCAACCATGGTTATAACAGTTGGGGAACAGGTAGAATCCCCACTGGTAGTTGGGCCTGAGCCGGCTACCCAAGGACAGAGTCTCTGCCATGTAGCTGCGGGCTGCGGCCTGGAACTGCTTCTTGGCTGTAGCCGTGGCAAACCGGGCTGTGAGGGAGCGGTCCCTCTGGCGGGCATGGGTCACTGATAGGGTCCTGTAGATCCACTTGGAGCCCCAGTTCCTGGCCCACAAGGGGCGCCAGTCCTCCCAATCGATCACAGCCAGGCCACGGGCCGTCCTGGAGGGGGGTGGAGTAGTAAAGTTATACACTTATTATGCACTGATCTAAGGTCAGTGTTGTGTCCCCAACTCTCCCTTAATGGTTAAGGTAGTGTTTGAACATGGTGAATTAAACATTGATCTGTGCCTAAGGGCAACCTCTACATGGAGAGGATGTACTGCAGTAGAGTAGCAGTTGTAGTTGCCCCTTAGTTTCAACCTGATGGTTCATCATTAAGGTTAGGATTTTGGAGCTGATTCTAGATCAGTACTTGGAGGGGATGTAGTAGTTGATGTCAGCGCGGGCCTTGGCCAGACTGGCCCTAAGGTTTCCTCTCTGGGGGATGCCTCCGTAGAACTGCTGCCTGGAAGGCAGGTCCACGTGAGGGTAGAGGCCCAGTCGGTCAGTATAGAACAGAGACAGGAACTGACCTGGCACCTAGAAGCAAGGAGGAAGGAAACACAGTAACGTTTTTGTTAGGATAAAGTTATGTCTTGTACTTCTCGCAGTAAATCGCTGTTAGGACATTGAAGTATATGATTGTTTTAGGTTTGATGTGTCAAACACTGTTTTGGATATCATTCATTTTTACACCTGTTAGCAGCTTTCCAAGAGGTATATGTGTATTGTTTCTTACCTTGGCAGGTGTGGCCACGCCTCTGTAGGGGGAGGTGTCCAGGGAGATATTGTACCTGTTACAGACCAGATCTGGGATGTTCCAGGTCACTATGAAGGGCTCACGGTCAAACAGAGGGGGAGCAGTGTGGGGAAGACGATGGGGGGAGGTTTTGGGCAGACGAGGAGTGGAGGTTTTGGGTAAGGGATGCATGGAAGAGGGAAGAGGAGCGATTGTTGTTTTGGGAAGAGGAGGGACAGTAGTTGTGGAGAGAGGAGGGGTGGTAGTTTTGGGATGTGGACGGGAAGTTTTGGGGAGACGAGGACGGAACGTTTTGGGGAAGGGACTGGTGGTGTGGGGGAGAGGAGGAGGAAGAGAAGGGAAGGTTTTGGGTAAGGGAGGGTTGGTAGTTTTGGGAAGACGAGGGGGGGAGGTTTTGGGGAGAAGCGGGCGGGAGGTTTTGAGGAGGGGACAGGTGGTATGAGGAGGTGGAGGAGGGGAGGTTTTGGGGAGGAGAGTGATGGTGGTTGTGAATAAGGGAGGGATGGTGGTGGAGGAAATATAGAGGAGAGGAACGGGGGAGGACTGAGAGAGAGGAGAGGTGGTGATTAGGGGGAGAGGAGGAATGGTAGTTTTGGGAGGATGAGGGCGGGAGGTTTTGGGGAGATGAGGAGTTGTAATTCTGGGGAGACAAGGGTGAGTGGTATTTGGGCGATGAGTGGAGAAGATTTTGTGGTTCTTACCTGTTTTGGTTAGGTGATGGGAGGCATCGGGAAGAGGAGGGACAGTGGTTGTGGAAAGGGGGGGAGTGGTGGTGGAGGAAGTGTAGGGGAGAGGAGAAGGGGAGGACTGAGAGAGAGAAGGGGTGGTGGTTTTGGGTAAGGGAGGGACAGTGATTTTGGGGAGATGAAGGCGGGATATTTTGGGGAGACGAGACGGGGACATTTTGAGGAGATGAGGAAAGGTAGTTTTGGGGGTTTTGGGAGAGGTTTTGGGTAGGGGACTGGTCATATAGGGAGTAGGAGCAGGGGAGGTTTTGGGAATGAGAGGGAAGGTCGTTTTGGGGAGACGAGGGTGAGAGGTTTTGGGGAGACGACGGTGAGAGGTTTTGGGGAGACGAGGGTGAGAGGTTTTGGGGAGACGAGTCGGGGAGGTTTTGGGGGGACACAGGCGGTAGGTTTTGGTTAGGGGAGGCGAGGTATTGGGGACAGGAGAAGGGGAGTTTTGGGGGAAAGGAGGGATGGTTGTTGTGGAGAGGGGAAGGATGGTGGTGGAGCTGGTGTAAGAGAGAGGAGCAGGCGAGGACTGAGAGGCAGGAGGGACAATAGTTTTGGAGAGAAATGGGCAGGAGGTACTGAGGAGATGAGTGGGGGAGATTTTGGGGAGACGTGGGCGGGAGGTTTTGGGGAGGGCACTGGTCATATAGAGAGGAGGAGGAAGGGAAGTTTTGGGGAGACGAAGGTGGGAGGTTTTTTGGAGGAGGCGGGTAGTATGGGGGAGTCGAGGGCGGAACGTTTTGGGTTTGGCACGGGTGGTATGAGGTAGAGTTGCATGGGAGGTTTTGGGAAGAGGAGGAACAGTGGTTTTGGAAAGGAGTGGGATGGTGGTGTAGGGGAGAGGAGCGGGCGAGGACTGAGAGAGAGGAGGGTTTAAGGTGGGGAAGGAAGTTTGATGTTGGGGCTGGGGGGATGTGGATGTTTTGGGGAAGAGGGTGGGAGTGGAAGTGTGGGTAAGAGGAGAGGTGGCAGTGAGTGTAAGAGAAGGGCTGGAGGTTGTTGGAGGTAGGAGGGTAGTGGAGCTGATGACACCCAGGAGAGAGAGGGTGAGGGCGGACAGCAGCAGTACAAAGCCCCTGCTCTTCTGGATGTACCGACCCATCCTTTCTCCTGGGGAGGAAAAACAGTCAGCAAAGAAACAGACAACAAACTGTCAGTATGATGTGTACTGCATATAGAACACATATACTGTACAGATTTACAGATGGCTGTTTGTCTTAGTCATTTAGAACTTATAGTCATTTATAACTTTCATTCTACAGACATTTATTTGTTTCAAGTAGAGATTTGTATCATCTCACCAATCTTCCCACAAACATTTTTCAATCCCTTTCCCCATGTGCTTAAATGAACCTCCTTGGCTAAAGGTTGTGGCCATGTCAGAATGCTGGCTATGGCAGCTGAGTGCCAGCCTCAAAGATGCCCACAAAGATGGCTGGCGCTGTATGGAAGAACTGCCATGGAATTGCCCTTTAGTTAACCACTATCCCCTATCCCTATCCTGCCAAGCCTAACCCACAGATAGATATAACGACAAGGTAAAAGACAGACGACACGGTACCTGGACATCCCTTCACATCAGGCCTTCACCACAGCTCCTTGATCTGACGACACTCTTGATCCAAGGAAGACACCTTGGCTTTTAGAGAAATGGCTTTCGCTCCTCATCGGACTAGACTGAGAAAGTACTGCAAAAACAACCCTCTGGTATCCCAAACAGAGGAGACTAGACACATTTCCTACACAGACCAACTGGAGAGAGGAGAAAGCTGGGCAGAGCTGTGTACAAGGATGCACCCACCACTGCCTGTTTGTCTATCGAGAATGACTTGTTATGGTCGGGACCAGCCAAGTTTGTCTTGGAGCAAGTGAGGATGAGACACCTTGGTGTGAGGTTGTGGAGCGTGTACTGTTTTAACCTCTGTAATGTAGCAAGCAGACTGGGACCGGAGGCAGAGGCTTGGCTGGAGTAAATAAGGATGGGTAAGGGGATGGGCTGGGGCAGCATATGGGGCTAAGGCTGGGTTATGGGGTTAGGCAGGGGATGTGGATTGTGATAGATAAGGAGATTGGTAAGGGGATCAGGAAGGGGATGAGCTGGGGCTGCATATGGGGTTGGGACTGAGATTGGGACTGGACAGAGTATCACAAACAGATGATGTATTTATAGCAGTATTTCCGAATGCCTTTCTCATTCTGATTTGATTGCCTTTACACTGTGCTGATTCAAAGCCGCCGTAACGTAGAGGTGTCATAGGTCACAATCAACCACACAGGGGTTCCGGAAATGAAACTGGGCTGGTTATCAAAACAGTGTAGCTGTGTAGGACTCTAAATCAATGAGACTTCCTGAACCTGACAGTCTGAGGAAGAGCTTATAACAATTGTAACATTCTATTATCTGGTTCAGAGCACATTGATTTGATGATCTCCAGTATGCAGCTCGATGGGAACACTGGTTATCTGTGCAGCGCTCCACTCTGGCCAGACTAGTTGTCTATGCAGACCATCTCACACCTCAGTGACAGGAGAGAGGACTATTACATAATTGATCCTACACTGAATGTTGCTTAGAGACTCACTAGCAGAAACACTACTGTAGTCAGGGGTGTCTTCAGTGTTTGTGGAACAGACATGTTTTTCCTCCTAGGCCTCCAACACAACAATGTGATTCGGACACTGATGAATACATACTTCTTTCAGACATGGAAAGGGCAAGCTAGGAGAGGGTGGGAGGTATTGTAAGGTCTCTCTGCAGCTTACAGTACATTATTGGGAGGTCAGATATAAGGCAGACATACAGGCTGGAGAGTTCACATAGAGCTGAGAAACCATAATAAACCGTAAATCATCAGACAAAATGGCCAGGGCTTGAATATAGTCTTGAATGTAGTACAAGTATTTAATTTAGTTAGTACAATATGAAATGATTGTAAAACAACAACACACTCATTTTGAAATGTAAAAGGGCTGTATTTTATGAATTATGATAGACTAAATTCCTATGAATCCATTGAGGACATAGCACTGGCAGCACACCTCATGTTCTCTCTTTCACATGATGAACTCTGTGACATATGACCTCTGACCTTGTAATACTGCCTTAATATGGGATTACAATCACGGGGGGTGGTTGATGGTGATGGTGATGGGGGAGGACACAGGCCAGGGCCACAGGCACAGGGTGCTGATGGGGGAGGGGAGGGGTGGGGATGTCAGAAATACAATTACATTGTAGGATGTTAAAGAGCACACGTGTCAAACTCATTCCACGGAGGGCCGAGTGTCTGCGGGTTTTCGCTCCTCCCTTGGACTTGATTGATGAATTAAGGTCAGTAATTAGTAAATAACTCCCCTCACCTGGTTGTCTACGTCTTAATTTACAGGAAAAACCAAAAACCAAAAACCAGCAGACACTAGGCCCTCCATGGAATGAGTTTGACACCCCTGTTATAGAGGGTTAATGGATTATCGCACATATGGTACATTGTTGACATTGTCTTTTGAAAAGACAAAGTCAGAGAGAATTTGCATGCGAGTGACTTTCCAGTACATTTTCAAATCCAACCACAAGATGGTGCTCCTGATATTACATATGAATAGGGTTGTAGTGGCTAAATTGTCCAATATAATTGTCCCAATACAATTTCCATCCTAATGCTTTCACCATAAAGGAGAGAGGTGAAATGTTAGTCTTGATGCAAACAAATCCAATTTCCAGAGTTTGATTCAAGTTGAAAAATAAGAATCAATTTATTTGTCGTTCTTCTTGTTACAAAAATGTAAAGAAAAATCTAACTAATTCATTAAATTCAAACTAAAGAAACAAACAACATGCATGGTTTGGTATGGTCAAAAGACTGTGTGCTGCCATTCCAGTCACTCCGAAGAAGTGAAAGTGGATTTAGGAAGCCCCCAAGCACCTCTCTGATTCAGATGGGTTGGGTTAAATGTGGAAAACACATTTCAAGTGAATGCATTTAGTTGTACAACTGACTGGGTATCCCCCTTTCCTTCCCCTTTCCCAATAGGCCTTGGAGCCTGTAGACATTTGAACTGTGTCCCCCTTCCAACCAGTAGAGTGGGGTACACACACAAAGACTAGTGGCAATCACACATTAATATATACAATATAAGCCAGGGATGGGCAACTGGCGGCCCGCCCCTTTTGTAGGCCTGAAGATCAATTTCCAAAACTTACTGTTTAGCTAGAATAGTAGAATACACAAAGTGAAATTTTGAAATGTGGTTGTGCATCAGCAGTTTTTCTCTTGTTCTGTTATCACTGACAGTCACTCAATTAATCCATGTCAGGTAAATTAGTCTAGCCAGCTATCTAAACTTAGTAATCATGGTCTAATTACAGACTGTGGGCCTCTGTATTTTATTAGTACTCTCACTCAGATATCATATAAAAAACTGCAAACATTTATCTCCATCCTATGGCAAAATGTGTAGAATTGCATGAAATAGTTATACAATTGTAAAATAGGGGGGGGGGGGGCAACAACATTTAACTTAGGGCCCCCAAAAGGCTAGGGCCGGCTCTGTCTGCATGTGTGGGTATGCAGAACCATGAGCCACTGCAGCCCCTCAGGATGAGTTCAGATTTCTTTGTGGCCCCCACCCCAGAGTTGCCCATGCTCTGACAAGGTGGAACCTTTTTCTTATTTTTTCTTTCCAGTGCAATGATATTTTCACAGGTTTCTCTCTCAGCGTTTTCCTGTAGAAATGTCCCTTTTATACCTTTTAGTATTACTTTGTGCAGTTGAATGAGTGAATGAGTGGATAAGGGAAAAAATAAGGAATATATTGTATGCTTTATTTCTGCCTAGGATATACTGCCCTCTTGTGGTAGAGTTATATTTCCTCTCTCTGATCGCTCTGTCTCTCTCTGATCTCTCTCCATTTCTCTCTGATCTCTCCATCTCTCCCTCTCTCTCGCTCTGATTTCTCTCTTCTCCCTGTCTCAGACTTACTCTCATTCTCTTGACCCCCTCCCCCCTCCCCCACACCTCTTTATTCCTTAAGTTACATAATCAATTATTTCTGTTCTGTGGCATTTGAGGAACTGACCGGGTTACTGCATTACATCCCCCTCACTTCCAATCTCTCTGTGTGTGAGGAGAGCACTGGTATGTTCTGTAGCTTTTATTAGGAACAGAGGCCATGGCAAGGGGAGCGAGTGTTTAAAGTTTCACGTATTTTTTTATTAGTCCTACATATGGGATGCACTTGGTACACACTACTAAATGCTTACTTGCAGGTTCCTTCTCGACAATGCAACAACAATAACACATAATAAAAGAAAGGAATACGAACAAAGTCAATGGCACAGTAGAATAGAATAAACATTTTAGCATAAGTGTAATACAGGAAGGCACAATTTATAATCTAATATGTACATGTGATTCAGGGATGGGGGCATTGGGTGGCGAGTGTTTAAATTGTGCAGTATTTAGCAATAATAATGAAAGAGTCTGGTAGCAGCAGTTGTGATGTGTGTGTAGCATTAATGTATGTGTGTGTGTGTGTGTGTGTGTGTGTGTGTGTGTGTGTGTGTGTGTGTGTGTGTGTGTGTGTGTGTGTGTGTGTGTGTGTGTGTGTGTGTGTGTGTGTGTGTTAGGGATGAATAGTGGGAACCAGGTTACAGAGATTTCCAGCCCAAACCCACTCCCTTTTCCCAGGACATTTCTCCCGCGATGCAGACAGCTGTATAGGTTCCCTAATATAGGAGTAGTAAAGGCCCAGTGCACTACTTTTATTAATATTGATTGCTGCAGCACCCTCAGCACCCCTACTTCCTGCGGATATGGGGTTATACATAAGCTTCTAACTTATAGCCTCTGTCTTTTGCACAATTTGCACCTGCGCTCCCCTGGCCTCTCTTCCTAAAAAAACGCTCCTAAGCTCTTGGAGTCCCTCACCCCTAAAAGAAGAAAAAACCTAGACTAGAATAGCTTGCTGGACATTTTTTTTTTTAGTATTTCTTATACTAATAGACTATTTGTAGAGGGATGCAAACTCTTGTTTGCTGAATGTTAAATACAGCAGCCAACAATAGAACTCACGGGGAGTTTGAAAGAAGAGAGAACGTGTGATGGCGGTAGACTATAGCAGTTATTTATTCAGACCCATAACCATTCAATCTTCATGAAGAGAAGAGAAAGCCTTTTGCATCTTATTCTAGCCCTATATTATTCAAGTATGTCATTACAATGATGAAGATAAGGAAAACACAACTTATTTTATTTAACTGTTGAAAGCAAGGAAGGGATGAAGCAACAATCGAGAGAGAAAGGGGAACATTAGGTTAAAAAGTATTATTATTAAGTATATGTCAGCCGACTAATTATAAAAATGTAAAATAGGCCCTATTATATTTCAAAATTAAATTCCTAGCCTATAATTGTAACTTTGTAGGCAGCATGTCCTGCACCAGCAACGCTGTTCTCTCCCAGCTTCATGGTTTGAACGAGGAGCGTAATTCCAGTCCATATAATACAGTATAATACAATAGAGTAGAGTAATACAGTCCACAAAATTAGCCTATTGGAGCTTGTTTCATTTCTTTACCCAAGAGAGGATAGCTATATCTATGGGCTTTTATGTTTGTCTGTCATGCATAATGTGCGGTAACATATAGCCTACTGTATATCATAGGCTATTTATTGGATAATGGCACAATCATTTGGGCTTTTTGGGCTTGGGATCATAAAATGTCTTTAATGTAGGGATCATAAAATGTCTTTAATGTATGGCTCATCAGGCTCAGGTAGCATCAGACTTGACTCTTCATGCTGATCAAAGCTCTAATCAAATCCAGACATATTTATACAACGCCTCTGATTTTGGCGGGAAATACCAGGTTACCTGTGAGATTAGTGATTTATTCTCGGGGTGGAACATTTATAAAATACAGGGAAAATGTTCAACCCTAGTGTGTGTGTGTGTGTGTGTGTGTGTGTGTGTGGATGAGTGTACAGTATATCTGTGTGTGTGTGTGTGTGTGTGTGTGTGATTGAGTGAGTGAGTGCATGTGTGCTAAGGTGCATGTGGTCTGTCCAGTTCAAGTGTTCAGCAGTCTGAGGGCTTGTAGATAGAAACTGTCTCTGAGACTTTTGCCCGACGGTAAGGGATTGAACTGATCGTGGCTGGGGTGTGTGGGGTCCTTGATGATGCTGCGGGCCTTCCTCAGGCACTGTTTCGAGTAGATGTCCTGGCTGTGATGCAACCGGTCAGGACACTCTCGCTGGTGCAGCGGTAGTATTTGGGGAGGACCCGAGGTGGCATAGTATGCTGCATCATCTAGATATGTGTGCAACAAAAGTTCAACATTCACCTTCTGCTACCATTTCTGTCAACCCGTTTACGCTTACAGTGTGACGCACACGTTCGATAAATCAAACGTATGCGCCACACAGAACACACTGCAACTGCCTCTGCAACGCAATGCTGCAAGGCAAACGCAGCATGTACTTCTGGTGTGACCAAAACGCAAAGACACAGTCGGTGTGTTCGAAGCGTTAGGAAGTAGAGACACTGTTGCACCCTCTTGACAAGAGTGGTGGTGTTGTTGGTCCATGTCAAGTCCTCGGTGATGTGGACGCCAAGGAATATAAAGCTGCTGACTCTTTCTACTGCAGTCCCGTTGATGTGGATCAGGGCATGTTCCCCCCTCTGCTTCCTGAAGTCAACAATCAACTCCTTTATTTTGTTGACGTTGAGGGAGAGGTTGTTTTTCCTGTCACCACAATGCCAATTCACTTACCTCCTGCTTATAGGCTGACTCGTCATTGTTGGTTATCAGGCCTACAACCGTGGTGTCGTCAGCAAACTTCAGGATGGAGTTGGTGTCGTGCAAAGCCACGCAGTTGTGGTCAAAGAGGGAGTACAGCAGAGGGTTGAGGACACACCCCGGTTAACCAGGGGGCTCTGAGGTACCGGAAAAAAAAAGTGACAAACACAACGTAGCAGCGCAGCAGACAGAGTAAACAGCCATGTAGCCTACTATCTATGGTGGTGAAATGGACAGCACTCTCCAAGGTGCTGATTAATTCAAAGCATTTTAGACGTCACTGCAGAACATATACAGTAGTATGCCCACATACTCAAGTATAGCTGGGGGGCTTACACAAGTCCGAATTTCTTAGCCTAATTTTCAAGACATCAATGTACAGCAACATTTTTAGATGTCACTGCAGAACACCTACCATATGCATTTGCACACATTCTCAGCTGTGGGGCTTACAAGACCCGAATGTCATATCATTTTCAAGACATCAATGTAGCAGTAGAACAAATATCCCAATATTGGAATATAACTTCAAATACAATAAATCAATGTAGGCTACAGCAGAACACACATATGAGGATATATAGGCTCCTGCCTATGTGATAATATGAAGCGCATGTTCAGATTGACTCCACAGTACAGAACACGTTTGTAAAGGAAAGATATGTTCCTACCTTTGTTTTCAAAAACTCGAACAATGACTCTCCTCATGTCAAGTCCATTTAACTCCTGAGAGTCAATTTCTTGCTCAAAGCGGGCCTTTGGCTGAGACATTTAGCCTCCTTGTAAGCAGTAGCGGTGCGTGGGTAAAATCACTGGGGAAGCCAAGCCCCCCCCCCCCCCCCCCATGTGTTGTGATAATTGTGTTGTTTGCTCTATAACCTCTTAATTCATATGCCTTGCGACCGTGATATATAGGCCTAAAGGCCGAGACAATAAGAAGACACAGTGGCAGAATAAATTCAACCATACCTTTTGTTTTATCATAAAACTAGATAGCAACCTCTGTCCAGTGAAGTCCACAAAGCATATTGCATGTACAGTAACAGACAGTTACATGACCTACAGCATGGTCAGGCAAGTTAATGTTCCGACATTTTCGGACCACTAAACAACTAATGATTTAGAACCACAGAGAGTTACTGCAAGTCGCAAAGAAAACAGGAGCTGCCTCCACTATTCCAGCACCATTTCAACTTCAACATCATCCAATCACCTCTGCTTACTCTAATACAGTGACAACTAAAAAGATACCAAAAACAATTGAGTCCAATCAACGTAAGCTAAATATGATGTGGCTGTCAATGATTCAGATTTCTGTGTGCGTGTGTGTGCATGCTCGTTCGAGCAAGTAGAAAAACATGTTGACTCACCCTACTTGTAGAGAAACGCCAGTGCCATCCTCCTCTCTTTCATGTTGATGAAGCGGTCTATCACTCTGTCATACAGTACACACTTTTTTTGTTGTTGTCCTAGGCTACCTGGCTAAAATGCTTGCTCACTAGACTAACTTCTATTCATGGGCAACGTTAGCTAGTTAACATTAGCCTTCTACATCTAGCTACATATTGAACTTCCATCATTTCAGGCCAGGGGCACAACAATGTATGAATTAATGGTTATATCAGAATCGCCGTTATGATCATTGGCAAATTTGTTTTACTTTTTTTGTCAAGGGAGGCCAGATTCTCGCTGGTTTCCCTTGCATTCAATGCTACGGGCGGCAACAATGTCATACTCGTTTGGACCAGACAGCATCAGATAGATGGCCTACACGTAGAGAGACAGAGGGATGCTGTTTTGCTTGCTCGGATGCTTTCTCTGGTGAGATACATTCAGCCTCTTGCGAATTGAAGGAAAATTATGAAACACAGAGAGATGAAAGAGAAAGTATTGTTATTTGTATTTCTTTTTTATTGGTATTTTTTCGGGGGGAAGCCTGGCTTCCCTTGACATCCATGAATACACGTCACTGCTTGTGAGGATGTTCAGAAGAAGGGCTGCAGTGTCAATGTATTTTGTTGTTGTTGTGTTAATTATAACCTTAGTGTCCTCTTTAGTCTTGTCTACAATGCTTGCTGACACTAAATGTGCCTTGGTTTGGGCATGTTCAATAACCTTTTTTCTGAGGGCTTTTTTTAACGTTGGAGGCAGAGTGTGTTACTCTTTTGCTAGTTTAATCCCTCCAGTCTAGACCAATGCTCCCTACCTTTTTGCATGTTGCACAGCCCAGCCTTAAATTTTGCATGACAAGCTAGGTGTTATATGTTTGCTTGTTCTTGAACTGAGCCTCCATCCAAATTGCACCTGCTCCGAGCACTTCGTCGGTGGATGCACTGTCGTCGTACCCCCCCCCCCCCCCCCCCCCCCCCCCCCGGCAAACCCGTCCCCCTCTCCCGCCGAGTCTTGACTCGCTAGTAGGCCTACTAGCTAGTGGAGGTGCCGGTGGTGATGCTGAACTGATGGGATTAGCATTGCTGCTAGCTAAGGCATTGCCATCAGGAGCAGTTTCCCCCTCACTCCTCTCCTCCGGCACTGACAGTTCTTTGGCTCGTTTAAGGTTTGATTCAGCATCTTTCTCTGAATTTTTGGACTTGAAAAACGTCATCAAACTCTATTGCCATTTCTTATTAAATGAACAAAAATATAAATGCAACATGCAACAATTTCAAAGATTTTACTGAGCTACGATTCATATAAGGAAATCAATCAATTGAAATAAATTCATTAGGCCCTAATTTATGGATTTCACATGACTGGGAATACAGATATGCATCTGTTGGTCACAGATACCTTAAAAAAAAGGTAGGGGCGTGGATCAGAAAACCAGTCAGTATCTGGTGTGACCAACATTTGCCTCATGCCGCGCCACACATCTCCTTCGCATAGAGTTGATCAGGCTGTTGCTTGTGGCCTGTGGAATGTTGTCCCACTCCTCTTCAATGGCTGTGCAAAGTTGCTGGATATAATGGCGGAAACTGGAACACGCTGTCGTACACGTCGATCCAGAGCATGCCAAACATGCTCAATGGGTGACATGTCTTGTGAGTATGCAGGCCATGGAAGAACTGGGACATTTTCAACTTCCAGGAATTGTGTGCAGATCCTGTGTGCATTATCATGCTGAAACAGGAGGTGATGGCGGCGGATAAATGGCACGACAATGGGCCTTAGGATCTCGTCACGGTATCTCTGTGCATTCAAATTGCCATCGATAAAATACAATTGTATTCGTTGTCCGTAGCTTATGCCTGCCCATACCATAACCCCATTGCCACCATGTGGCACTTTGTTCACAACATTGACATCAGCAAACCGCTCAACCACAGGACGCTATACATCCTGTTTGACATCTAAAATGTATGTCAATTGTAAAGTATTTTGTCTGTAATGTCTTTTCCGTTATGTGTCGAATCCCAGTAAGACTACCTGTCACCATTGGCGTCGGTTAATGGGGATCAAATCAAAAATCTGCCCGGTACAGTCTAAACCGGGATTCACCCATGAAAAGCACACTTCTCCAGCGTGCCAGTGGCCATTGAAGGTGAGTATTTTCCTACTGAAGTTGATTGCGACGCCGAACTGCAGTCAGGTCAAGACCCTGGTGTGGACGACGAGCACGCAGATGAGCTTCCCTGAGACAGTTTCTGACAGTTTGTGCCAAAACCACAGTTTCATCAGCTGTCCGGGTCGCTGGTCTAAGACCATCCCGCAGGTGAAGAAACCGGATGTGGAGGTCCTGGGCTGGCGTGGTTACACGTGTTCTGCGGTTGTGGGGCCGGTTGGACGTACTGCCAAATACTCTAAAACGCCGTTGGAGGCGGCTTATGGTAGAGAAATGAACATTCAATTCTCTGGCAACAGCTCCAGTGGACATTGCTGCAGTCAGCATGCCAATTGCACGCTCCCTCAAAACTTGAGACATCTGTGGCATTGTGTTGTGTGACAACACTGCACATTTTAGAGTGGCCTTTTATTGTCCCCAGCACAAGGTGCACCTGTTTAATGATCATGATGTTAATTCAGCTTCTTGATATGCCACACCTGTCTGGTGGATGGATTATCTTGGCAAAGGAGAAACTAACTAACAGGGATGTAAACTAATTTGTGCACAAAATTGAGAGAAATAAGCTTATTGTGCAAATGGGACATTTCTGGGATCTTTTATTTCAGCTCATGAAACATGGACCACCACTTTACATGTTGCATTTATATTTTTGTTCGGTATAAATTTTTTATTTGGCTTTACCAGGTTTCAAATTCAGTAGGGAGACTGCTAGCCTAGGCTACATGATGTGTGTCAAGATCAGTTACTTACCCAACCGGCCCTCACCATATCCTATATGTACAAATAAGAGAGCAGGTCTGGAAGGATAGGATGATTACACAGTAGGATCCCCGCACTTTTACGTGATGATTTTTCTGGGAGGCGGGAGAAAAATCAAGGAGGCAGGCAACTTGATTTAACTCTGATCACTTTTAATAGAATGTTTACAGTGCAAACATTGAAACAATTAATAAATCATGCCGCGAGAGGTACCGTACTGAACAGAGTGAAATCTGAGAGGTGCCGAATCCTGTTAATTTAAGCACTGTTGTTCCCGATCCTCACAGCCTGTGGTCTGCCCGTCAGGAAGTCCAGAATCTAGTTGCAGAGGGTGGTGTCCAGACCCAGGGCTCTGATCTTGGTCAATCTGGGAGGGAACAATAATGTTGAATGCTGAACTGTAGTCAATGAACAGCATTCTCACATAGGTGTTCCTCTTGTCCAGATGTGTAAGGGTTGTGTGAATAGCGATGGAAATGGCATCTTCTGTGGATCTGTTAGAGCGGTAGGCAAATTGGAGTGAGTCCAGTGTGCCTGGCATGCTGGCCTTGATGTGGCCCATGACCAGCCTCTCGAAGCGTCATCTTGTTTTTCTTGGGCACTGGGATGATGTATGTGTGTTTGTGTGTGTGCTTGATCGCTGAAGCCAGGGTTGGCATTGTAGCTGGGTCTGTGGTGCCTCCATCTCTCACAACGTTCACTCCTGGGGCTGCCTTCTCTCTGTGGGAGTTTTCCGTAACTCTTCTTGGGGCATTAATTTGTTATAGAACACTCTGTGAGGAGGACAAGGGGTTGTACTTCAATCAAGTGGAAGGATTGATGAGCTGCCCCTGAACTACAAAGGTGAAGGGTCAAGTATCATGAACAGGCATGGAGTTTCAGGCATAGAAAATTCACATTACTCTGTTACTGGCACAGCCTGGTCAGTTCAGTCTTTATAAATATCACAAGATGCCTCAACTCAAGTTGATTGGGTGAACCTTGGAAGACCTCTTGTCCATCTAACTTCCCAGGACTTGTCTCCAACAGAAAGTGATTCCTTCAAATCATATTATGTCATCTAATCCAAGAGGTGAATTACAGAGTGAGTTTCCAGAGCACAGAAAACATTCTCAGTGTTGTGTGTGTATACAGTTCGGTAGCCTGGTCCCATCTGTATGCTCTTCTTTAGCCAACTATTCTGACAACAATTGCATGCATGCCACCAATGTTCAGAGGAGCTGGTTAAAACACATACAGATCTGGGATCAGGATAATGGGCCACAGCCCTGACTCATCAGTCATCATCAGACAGAGCATACTGTAGTTTATCATCTAACCTGACCTAGATCTAGTCCCCAAAAGTCTTTATGTAAACATCTCTCTCATTTGGTGACGTACTCTTAAGATCCTCATGATTCCCATACCAAAGAATGGTAAGAATATACATACCAGATCATTCTAAACATTTGAAACATTCTATGAATGTATGGTTAAGAATGTGTATTTGCATACATACTGTATGTACATGTGTTGGTATGTGTCTCCAAATCATAAAACCATAAAACATCCAATGATTTAGAAAAAGCACAAAAGCTGGTGTCTGAATGTTGACAGCCAAGCTGCCTTATTACACACACATCTCTGTCCTTAATTTGATCCAGCTGTAATTCCTGAGTGCAAGGCAGGCAGCATACCAGGAAGAGCAGTCATCAGCAGCACCGACTGTAGGCAGAAGGCACTAACCCTCAACACATCACTGTGGATAGAAAACCTTTTTGCTCAGCTCAGTCCAACCACAGGGAACACACAGGTATTGTAGGTACTGTAGGTAGACCTCAGAACACTGAGGGATGTGAAACGGTTTAACTCTACTCAGAAACCCAAGGTTACCTCAGTAACACTTCGTTCTCTGGGTTGGTTTGTGTGTGTGTGTGTGTGTTAATCACTCTGTTAGAGGCTGGGGAGCCGAGGCTCTGTATCTCTACCCCCTTGGGCTCCATGATAAAATATGCAGCAAGAAACTTGCATGCTGCTCTCGTAGGCCTACTTAGGCTTTGCTTCATTGTTAAGTGAATATTAAAGCAAAATACAACTGTGAAAACAGAAAAAATATGTTAATGTGTGTTGGGTACTGTACTGTCTGAGTTGAAAAGTCCAACAACAATTGCTCACACAATCGGTTAATGTGTAAGACATCAGAGTGAACCGTGCCACGACTGTACACAGTGATTTATTCCAGCCCTGCCCCCTATTGCCCCCAAGGGAAAGGGGAAGGAAAGGGAATACCCAGTCAGTTGCACAACTAAATGCATTCAACTGAAATGTGTTTTCCACATTTAACCCAACCCCTGTGAATCAGAGAGGTGCTGGGGGCTGCTTTAATTCCACTTCATCGGCGCCTGGAGAGCAGTTGTTGTTGGGGAGCAGCCCTTGAGCAACTGCCTTGCTCAACGGCAGAGCGTCAGATTTCTCCCTATTTTTAGTTTTTTTCTATTATATTCCTAGTATTTTATTGCAATTAAATAACAAGGCCTACACAGCAAATAATAGGAATAATAAATAATGATGTATTTAATTAGAATTAATTGTCCATGAAATAATAATCAGCTGCTATCTAATTCTGTCCTCCTGTCCATATTATATGGGCCCATTAGCCATAAACTGTAGCCACGGAAGTTCAAGGCCGACCGGGGTACTGCAGGCATTGTTTGCAGAAAACAGGATCCCCCATTATAGTGGATGGAAAAATGTCAATCTTGGTGGTTAATCTTCGTGTAAGTTAAAAAAAATTTTGAAGTCAATCATGTTGCCAATAATTGCTTCTAATACACCAGATATATGTCCCTTGACTGATTATTTTAAAATCGCACACAGACAAAGTTATGAGGATCAACTTAAACAGGAAGCACCCGTGGTAAGGACTAATCGATGTTGGTCTGACCAATCGGAATCTATGCTTTAAGATTGTTTTGATCACGCGGACTGGGAAAAGTTCAGGGTCGCCTCTGAGAATAGTATCTGACGTATGCACTGACTCGGTGACTGGGTTCATCAGGAAGTACACAGAAGATATTGTTCCCACTGTGACGATTAGAATTTATCCAAACCAAAAACCATGGATAGATGGCAGCATTCGTGCAAAACTGAAAGTGCGAACCATCGCATTTAACTATGGAAAGGTGACTGGGAACATGGATGTGTACAAACAGACCAGCTATGACCTCTGTAAGGTCATCAAAGAGGCAAAATGACAGTACAGGGAAAAATTGGAGTCGCAATTCAACGGCTCAGATATGAGACGTATGTGGAAGGGACTCTAGACAATCACAGATTATAAAGGGAAAGCCAGCCACATCGCGGACACCAATTCCTCGCTCCTGGATAAGCTGAAACACTTTCTTCAACTGCTTCAAGGAAAAACAACATCGAGCCACCGACGCGGGCCCCTTCCGCTCATGAGGACTGTGTGCTCTCGTTCTCCGTGTCCGACGTGAGTAAGTCATTTAAGTGTGTTAACCCTCGGAAGGCTGCCGGCCCAGACGGCATCCCAAGCCGCGTCCTCAGAGCATGTGTAAACCAGCTGGCTGGAGTGTTTACGGACATATTAAATCTGTCAGTCTGTCTCCCAGTCTGTTATCCCCACTTGCTTCAAGATGTCCACAATTGCTCCAGTACCCAAGAAGCGAAGGTAACTGAACTAAATGACTATCACCCCATAGCACTCACTTCTGTCATCATGAAGTGTTTTAAGAGGGTAGTTAAGGACCATATCACCTCCACCTTACCCGACAACCTAGACCCACTACAATTCGCATACCGCCCCAACAGATCCACGGTTGGCGCAATCGCCATTGCACTGCACACTGCCCTATCCCACCTGGACAAGAGAAATACCTATGTAATAATGCTGTTCATCGACTACAGCCCAGCCTTCAACACCATAGTGCCCTCCAAGCTCATCACTAAGCTCAGGGCCCTGGGTCTGAACCCCTCCCTGTACAACTGGGTCCTGGACTTCCTGACGGCCGACCCCAAGTGGTGAAGGTAGGTAACAACACCTCAGCCACGCTGACCCCACAGGGGTGCATGCTCAGCCACCTCCTGTACTCCCTGTTCACCCATGACTGCATGGCGACGCATGTCTCCAACTCAATTATCAAGTTTGCTGACAACACAACAGCGGTAGGCCTGATTACCAACAATGATGAGACCGCCTACAGGGAGGAGGTGAGAGCCCTCGCGGAGGGGTGCCAGGAATATAACCTCTTCATAAAAGGTCAACAAAACAAAGGAGCTGATCGTGGACTACAGGAGACAGCAGAGAGAGCATGCCCCAAATCCACATCGGTGGGGCCGCAGAGCAGAGGGTCAAAAGCTTCAAGTTCCTCGGTGTGCACATCACTGTCGACCTGAAATGGTCCCTTCACACTGACAGTGTGGTGAAGAAGGCACAACAGCACCTCTTCAACCTCAGGAGTTTGACACATATGATTTAGAATTACAGGTGCATCAAAGCTGGGACTGAGAGACTGATAAACAGCTTCTATCTCCAGGCCATCAGACTGTTAAACAGTCACCACTAGCCGGTCTCCGCCCAGTACCCTACCTTAGTCACTGTTACTAGCCGGCTACCACCCGGTACTCTACCCTGCACCGAGACTGCATTGCCCTAAGTACATAGAGTCATTGAACACTGGTCACTTTAATAATGTTTACATACCGTTTTACCCACTTTATATGCATATACTGTATTTTAGTCATGGCTCATCCTATAGAACTACTGCTGTACACACCTTTTCTATTCATATACTGTCCATACTGTCTGTACACGCCATTATATACACTGAATATACAAAACATTAAGAACACCTGCTCTTTCATGACATAGATTGACCAGGTAAAAGCTATGATCCCTTATTGATTTCACTAGTTAAATCCACTTCAATCAGTGTAAATGAAGGGGAGGAGACAGGTTAAAGAAGGATTTCTAAGCCTTGAGACAATTGAGACATGGATTATGTATGTGTGGCATTCATAGGGTGAATGGGCAAGACAAAAGTGCCTTTTAACTGGGTATGGTAGGAGGTAGGGTTGCACGATATTGGAAATAACTGACATTGCGATATTTTGTTTTTCTGCGATATATATTGCGATATGAAAAAAAACAGGATGTATGTATGATCCTCTGGGGAAAATGCAGTTTGCAAACAGCGACTTTTCAGGTGGAAGTCCTCGTTAATAAAGTGTATGGTCAGATTTATGTAGGGCTCCGCTGTCCGGCTGGACCACAAGTCCGTTGTTGCTGTATAATATTCCACTTGTGACAGCTCTGTTTCAACTTGTGCCTTGCATTTCTCGTACAACTCTGGGATGGCAACTTGAGAAAAATAGTTGCGTGATGGCATTACATACCGCTTGTCAAGCGACCGGATCATGTTTTTAAAACCCTCTTTGGTAACCGTGTTAATTGGTACCATGTCTTTGGCGACGTGAAATGTTATTGAATCTGTGATTTCTCTCTGCCGTTTGGAACCTTTCTCGTATGGTGTAATACTGGCAAAGGCATCCGAAATAGATTTTTGCTTTGGAGGGCATTGAGATGCTTTGCACTCGTCATACGAAGATTTGTGGTGCCGCCTTAAATGATCGAACAAATTGGTCGTGTTGCCTCGTGTTGTGGCAACAATTGCAAGGCACTCTCGACAAAGTACCTGTTTTTGGTCAACATCATCCTGTCTGTAGCCAAAATATTTGCATATAATTGATGATGCATTTCTTTTTGCAACCAAATTCTCAATTTCTGTATTTTTTGCCTGTTCCGCGCTCATCATTTCGTCACGCGCAAGCAGAGCCTGCATGTCAACCACGTGCAACAACGAACTCTGTGTTTAACATAATAATAATAATATTAAACTGTGTATCCAATAACCCATAAATCTGAGTAAATTACGTTATATCAGACAGATATAATGCTAGTTTAAAATTTTTAAAAAATACATATATTGTAGACTGATATATGTTTACCTTACTATTCTGAGGGTGAAAGGGTTGGGTGCAACTCAATATTAGGAAGGTGTTCCTAATGTTTTGTATAGTCAGTGTATAGCCTATTTATTTATATTCTGGACTCTGACATTGCTCGTTCTGATATTTCTTTCTTTTTACTTTTCAATTATGTGCATATTGTTGTCCAGGTATTATTACTGCACTGTTGGAGCTAGAAACACCAGCATTTTGCTGCATCTGTTATAACATCTGCAAATCTGTGTCAATAAACTTTGATGTGATTTGATTTGTCCAGTCATATATACAGTCATTGGGCCTAGGCCTACCGCACCATAGCCTCATCTCGTACTTATCCTCATGATAATGCTGTGTTCCGTTCGTAGTCTGAACTAGGAAACTCCGAATTTTCCGACTTGATAACTGGTGGAATGCGGCATGTGTACAACCAGTTAGCAAGTCGGAAATGTCCGTGTTTCCTAGTTCAGACTAGTACATGAATGCAGCATAAATAACTAGCATCAATTTGGCAACCTACGCTTTCTGTCTCTGCTCGGTTTTGCACAGGTCCACTTCGATGCATTCCAGGATAAGCACAGATAAAACAATGAGCCAGATATTTCACCGGATGTATAAATGTGAAGCAGCCGGTTGGCGTTTCCTTTCGCTACCAAATATGGTGATGAGAGGAAGCCCAGTGGCCGGCAGCGGGAGATTTGGGCGATATTCTGCTAATTTTCTCATCGATTAAAAATGTTGAACTCCATACAGTTTTCTGTTTCCAAAACCAGAATCTGTAATAAACAGAGTGGACTGCGTTTTGTAGACTATCCTTTGCCAAGGTTTCAAAAAAATTGCGTTGTTTAGAAGGAGTTCAAGGTTCGAATATAGTTATTGCACATACGCACTTCACATAGTAGGCGTTCCCTAACGGAAATATGTAAATAAATGCTAGAACGCGCCAATAGGATCTCACCAGTTCGTGCTTGCTTCTCCAAACGTCCTTACTTGTTCTGCCCACTAAGATTAATTTGCTCCCATTTCAAACGACAGGCTCTGGTCTATCTTGGGTTAGTTATAAGAGTCTTTGGTATAAAAATAGGCGGATTGGATCGTACCATTCTCTCAAAAAATATTTTAATTGCGCTTCTTTTTACGTATTTTCATTTAATTTCATTGTGTCATAAATGTTGTGTAACATAACCATTTAATGCTCACAAGATGATCTAGTCGTGCATTTCAAAAATGCGCACTCCCCCCGTTACGTGTTTGGTTTAGTCCCACAGACTGCCATGTTGGATTGAGCCAAAGATCTCCTGCTGCTCGCGCTGGAGTTCCGATGAAAGTTAGGATCTATCATCTTCAAGACGTTGCAGGAATGTTCTCATAATTTGGATAGAAGGAGGACCTTGCGTTGTGTTTGGAACCAACGGGGATATTAGCATACTAAAGCTGTTTCTATCGGGTCGTGAACAGACGTGCATCGATGTGAGGGTCCGGTTGCAGGCCACCGGAGATCAATGACTGTTTGTTTGGGTTTCATACAACGACGAATCGGAATCAAAACACACCTTTTGGTTGATTGTCAATAATGAGTGGCCATCTGCCGCAACGGCGGCCCGCTAACAGTGGATCCATACTGCTAACCCCACAAGAGAACGACTGTCTCTTCAATTACCTTGGCAGGAAATGCACCGTAAGTTTATCAGTTGTTATACTTTCTTGACTAATTGCTCGTGGATGATGTTTACCCGTTTCAGGATGAACTGAAACCTGTGTAATTGATGCCTCAATATGTTTGATATGATAACAACCGAAGGAAAACACTGACGGTCCTTCCCTTTGCTTCTTTGGCTAGACCGGTGGAACAGGGGTAGGGAAAAGGGAATGTTGATATCCCGGGACACAGTGACATTTGGGCGGTAGAAAGTTTCAGTCAAGCCCCGAGGCCTCTAGTGTTCCCCTGACACACCTGCATAACATGGAAACACCCAGAAGAGCCAACTACTGTTACCAAGAATGTGCTGTTCGGTTTTGTTGGCCTAGACCAGGGCCAGTGTTTGGATCAGACCAGGGCCAGTGTTTGGATCTGGTAAACTCATCAACCTGGCCACGAATTATTATTCGTACTAACATTGCATAATGCCTTGGCTGATTTTGGAAGTAGCCTGTTTGTTCAGAACAATTTGTCTGGCATACTACCACACTTGGCATGCATTGTTCTGTTGTCCACACAATGCTTTCTCATAGGCAATCACACAATTCAATTCAGTTGATTGTTCTCCTCGGTTTTTGAGATGCAGCAATCAGTGAAGAATGTGACCAATGTAGCATTACAATGTATCTCTGTGGCAAATTAACTCTGATGTGCAGGGGCGCTATTTAATGTGACGGCCTGAAAATTATATTATATAACGCGTTTTGTTATCAGTTGACACTGCCAGGAAGTTATATTTCAATAGAAACAATGTGTCCTCTTGAAACATGATCTGCATTGTTTGCATCCTTTAACCTCTGTATTTAATTTGGTGTAATGTACAATAGAATTGTATTGCCCTACGCTTATGTCAACAAAATAGGTATACTGTATCTATTCACTGGTTTTACACCCCATTGTGTCAACTTGATCTATGTCAGTAAACTACCCGGCTAGCCTTGGGTGGTAGGCTCCTCTTCATCTGATGACAATTCAGAGAGAGAATGCACCCACCCCCTTTATTTCACTCTCCATAGAGGTGTGTGCTACTTGTAAACACCAGGTTGGTTGATGCAATTGGATGCCATTTAATGTTGTTAATCAGTGCATCAGGCATGTGGTTTAATCAGATTTCCTCATGGATATGGGTCAGGTTGTGTTGCGTAATGTTTGAAACTAAGTTTGGCTTCTTGGCAAGTTGGCAGGTTTCTGCCCAGTGTGAAGTCGGATACTGCTCGCACACGTTCCCTACAGTGGTTGAGCCTACAGTTTCACTAGAGTAGACGAGTTGATCGTTTTGTCTCGCTAGTAACTTTCACATGCCACATTACCACACCCTTTGTTACTTCCCCAGATCACCTGGCTTTGAGTCATGTCACCTTTGTCATGTTCACAAAGTAGGCTAAGATGGTGTTAAGGAAGTAGACTTATCTTTCTTTCTCACGTGGTGGGCCAGAAGAGTACCGCCTCCTACCTCTCAGTCACAGTCAGACCTGTCCCAGGTGTGTCTCTGCACCTGTGTTGAACACCTGTATAAACAGCCAATTATGTTGTTCCAGAGACATCCAGGCCATGTCACTCAGCATGTGACACAGCCTAGGCAGTTGCGAGGAACATTTCTGCCTCTCTCTCCTCATGAAAAAAATATTGTTAAAATCTACGAGGAGTGAGTGATTGCTTGTTATGTAATGGTCTCATATAGCTAGAGAAGAAAATGTAGTAATTCATCATCACTGCTGCTGTCTTTTCTCTTCCTTCACAGAGAACTCAAGCCCCTGGCTTCTGTGTTTAACCTTTTGTTTATTCCAGTTGTTGAAGGCCAGTAATGTTATGCTAGCTGTTAGCCAGAAGCTAAGGTCTCTAATAGCCTGTTGAGCCGTCAGTGGATCTCAGCTCAGGGTCTCTCTCTGTGTCTCTCTCTTTCTCTCTCTCTCTCTCCTCTCTTTCAGTCATTCATACATACAAACAGTGAGCAGCACACTCTGAAACGCAGGCCCTGCCAAATGATGAATCACACATGTGAGAGGTCCAACCTGTGCTGCTGTGGTTTCACTGACATTCAACTAATCGATATTCCTGCTGCTTCACTTTTTACTATCAGCACCTGGCTAGAGGTGGAAGCTATCCAATTCATGTTCTGTGTGTGTGAGTGAGACCGAGACGCAGAGACTGCCTGATCAGCAGTCCTCTCCAGCAGGAAGTGCGGTGGTCGACCTCCTCCAGTGTTTTGTGCTGGAGTGGCGAAAACGTGCCCTTTGATCTTAACCTCATTCTCTCCTTCCCAACCTCTTCCCTGTTCCCTCTCTTTCCCCACCTCGGCCTCCCCTTACCACCCCTACTCTGGGCCTCCCAATACCAGTCTCTGTATTTCCTACTACTCTCCAGTCTTTACTACTTTCCAACTCCACTCTGACTCCCCCCCTCCTTCCCAACCCCAGCTATTCCCACCCAATCCCAATTTTTAGGCTACATGGGAAATACTGTCAGGACATGGATGAATGATGCACAGTTACAGTACATTCGTCATCCTGTTTGTTTGTTTCCACTCTGAGCTCTCTACAGTCCTGCTGGCTATAGTGTGTAGTAGCACCAGCAGCCTGGAGAGTGGTGCCGTGGCGATGTCACTGGGACTGGGTGCTTCCTGTGGCCAGCGGGGTTGTTTCAGGCTGCCACTGGTGATCAGAGCTGGAGAGGCTGATCGATGATACAGTTCAGCTCTCTGTGACCTCACTGCCTTAGCCCTGTTGTGAGCACAGCCAGCTAGATGAGCACAGACAGATATTGCTTTCTTTGAAATGTAGGCTAGGCTAGAAAGCTTCATGTCTCCAGACACTGCACAGCCCTTATCCATCTGTGTGTAGTTAGCTACTAGGCCTTCTAGTAAACTTGGTTTACCACTTTCTGCTCTGGTCTGCCTTTCATCTGCAGGGTAATGGGCCTGAACCCCTTTGCGAGGAGGCTAGTAAACTTGGGGAAGAACCTGGGTTCGGTTTCCCAAAAGCATTTTAAGGCTAAGTTCATCATTAGAACCTTCGTAGGAGCATCGGAAAATCTCTGTGCTGTTTCCCAAAACCATTGTTACTAAAGTTGCTCTTGAAAACCCTCGTTATTTACCGACTGCCTCAGACCACTCGTAAAACAGTGAAGTGTGTCGTTAGCTGCTTTTTTACCCTTCTGAGTCACTTTATTCACAGAAAATCTCTGCTAAACATAGAATGAAGATGTTTATCTGTCTGACTGTGACCAACCATAACTTCAGAACAAAGTGGACTACAAATAGGCCTACAAACTTGCCAAAATCTTTGCAATTGTTACAAACAAGTGAAGGATAAAAAGCTTTAAATTAAACCGAAGATGACTGCATTAAAATATACTTTTGGTCATGTAGTGTATGTTCGTCGAACATCTCATTCCAAAATCATGAACATTAATATGGAGGTGGTCGCCCCTTTGCTGCTATAACAGCCTCCACTCTTCTGGGAAGATGTTGGAACATTACTGCTGGAAATTGCTTCCATTCAGCAACGAGCATTAGTGAGGTCGGGCACTGATGTTGGGTGATTGGGCCTGGCTCGAGTCGGTGTTCTAATTCATCCCAGAGGTGTTCGATGGGTTCGAGGTCAGGGCTCTGTGCAGGCCAGTCAAGTTCTTCCACACCGATCTCGACAAACCATTTCTGTATGACCTCACTTTGTGCACGAGGGCATTGTCAACCTGAAACAGGAAAGGGCCTTCCCCAAACTGTTGCCACAAAGTTGGTAGCACATAATTGTTTAGAATGTCATTGTATTGTGTAGCGTTAAGATTTCCCTTCACTGGAACTAAGGGGCCTAGCCCAAATCATGAAAAACAGCCCCAGACCATTAATCCTCCTCCACTTAACTTTAGTTGGCACTATGCATTGGGGCAGGTGGTGTTCTCCTGGCATCCGCCAAACCCAGATTAGTCCAATGGTGGCGTCCAATGGTGGCGAGCTTTACACCACTCCAGCCAACGCTTGACATTGCGCATGGTGATCTTAAGCTTGTGTACGGCTGCTCGGCCATGGAAACCCATTGCATGAAGCTCCCGACTAATAGTTTATTGTGCTGACGTTGCTTCCAGAGGTAGTTTGGAACTCTGTAGTCAGTGTTGCAACCGATGACAGACGATTTTTACGTGCTACATGCTTCGGCACTTGGCGGTCCCGTTCTGTAAACTTGTGTGGACTACCACTTTGCGGCTGTGCCATTGTTGCTCCTAGACATTTCCACTTCACAATAACAGCATGTACAGTTGACCGGCGCAGCTCTGGCAGGGCAGAAATTTGACAAACTGACTTGTTGGAAAGGTGCCATCCTATGACGGTGCCACGTTGAAAGTCACTGAACTCTTCAGTAAGGCCGTTTTACTACCATTGTTTGTCTATGGAGATTGCATGGTGGTGTGCTCGATTTTATACACCTGTCAGCAATGGGTGTGGCTAAAATTGCCGAATCATTAATTTGAATACATAGTGTAAATAGGCAACGTGTATATATTTTAATCATATTAAAATACATTTTCAGTCAAATTGTATTTGTCACATGCTTCGTAAACAACAATGCAGAGTTGAAGATAAAATAAAAATTGTGACGAGGAATAAATACACAGTGAATAACAATAAAGGGTAAAAATAACATGGCTATATACAGGGACTACCAGTACAGAGTCGAATGCAGTGGTATGAGGTAATTGAGGTTGCTATGTACATTAAGTGCCTTCAGAAAGTATTCACACCCTTTGACTTTATCCACATTTTGTTACAGCCTGAATTTAAAATGGATTAGGCCTAAATTGACTTTTTTTTTTATCACTGGCCTACACACAATAACCCAATAATGTCAAAGTGAAATTATGTTTTAAAATGTCTAAGTATTCAACCCCTTTGTTATGGCAAGCCAAAATAAGTACAGGAGTAAACATTTGCTTAACAAGTCTCGTAATAAGTTGAATGGACTCACTCTGTGTGAAATAATAGTGTTTAACATGATTTTTGAATGACTACCTCATCCCTGTACCCCACACATACACTTATCTGTAAGGTCCCTCAGTCTAGCAGTGAATTACAAACACAGATTCAACCACAAAGACCAGAGAGGTTTTCCAATGCCTTGCAAAGAAGGGCACCTATTGGTAGATGGGTAAATAGAAAGAAGCAGACATTGAATATCCCTTTGAGCATGGTGAAGTTATTAATTACACTTTGGATGGTGTATCAATACAACCAGTCACTACAAAGATTCAGGCATCCTTCCTATCTCAGTTGCCTGAGAGGAAAGAAACCGCTCAGGGATTTCACCATGAGGCCAATGGTGACTTTAAAACAGGTGCAGTGTTTAATGGCTGTGATAGGAGAAAACTGAGGATGAATCAACAACATTGAAGTTACTCCACAATACTAACCTAATTGATGGAGTGAAAAGAAGGAAGCCTGTACATAATATTAATATTCCAAAACATCCTGTTTGAAACAAGTCACTAAAGTAATACTGCAAAAAATGTGGCAAAGCAATTAACTTTTTGTCCAGAATACAGTGTTATGTTTGGGGCAAATCCAAAAACAACACTTTACTGAGTACCACTCTCCATATTTTCAAGCAAAGTGGTGGCTGCATCATGTTATGGGTATGCTTGTAATCGTTAAGGACTAGGGAGGTTTTTTAGGATAAAGGGAAACGGAATAGAGCTAAGCACAGGCAAAATCCTAGAGAAAAACCTGTTCCAGTCTGCTTTCCACCAGACACTGGGAGATGAATTCACCTTTCAGCAGGACAATAACCTAAAACACAAGGCCACATCTACACTGGAGTTGCTTACCAAGAAGACGATGAATGTTCCTGAGTGGCTGAGTTACAGTTTTGACTTAAATCTGCTTGAAAATCTATGGCAAGACCTGAAAATGTTTGTCTAGCAATGATCAACAACCAATTTGACAGAGATGAAGAATTTTGAAAATAATAATGGGCAAATGTTGCACAATCCAGGTGTGGAAAGCTCTTAGAGACTTACCCAGAAAGACTCACAGCTGTAATCACTGCCAAAGGTGCTTCTACAAAGTATAGACTCAGGGGTGTGAATACTTATGTATAATATAGAATTTTGTGTTTAATATTCAATACAATTGCAAAAATGTCTAAAAGCATGTTATGTGTGTGTTGGGGTTTAAGTATGTGTGAGTTTGTGGGTAGAATCCAGTGTGTGTGTGCATGGTCAGTGCAAGAGAGTTGGTTCAAAAAAGGGTCAATGCAGGTAGTCCAGGTAGCCATTTGATCAGCTATTTAGCAGCCTTGTTCAGCAGTTTTATGGCTTGTGGTAGAAGCTGTTCACTTGGTGCACTGATACTGTTTGCCATGCGGTAACAGAGAGAACAGTCTATGGCTTGGGTGGCTGTAGCCTTTGACAGTTTTTAGGGCCTTCCTCTTTCACCGCCTGGTATAGAGGTACTGGGTGGCAGGGAGCTCGGCCCCAGTGAGGTACTGGGTGCCTTGCAGTTGCCGTACCAAGCGGTGACGCAACCAGTCAAGATGCTCTCAATGGTGCAGCTGTATAACTTTTTGAGGATCTGAGGGCCCATGCCCATGTTAATTCCTTAGTAATGTGGATACCGAGGAACTTGACGCTCTCAATCTGCTCCTCTACAGCCCCGTCAATGTGGATGGGGGCGTGCTCGCCCCACCATTTCCTGTAGTCCACAATCAGCTCCTTTGTCTTGCTGATGTTGCAGGAGAGGTTGTTATCCTGGCACCACACTGCCAGGTCTCTAACCTCCCAATAAGCTGCCTCATCGTCGTCTGTGATCAGTCCTACCACCGCCGTGTCGTCAGCAAACTTGGTGAAGACAAATTTCAATTGAGTTATATTTTGCCAATAGGCTACTGTCTCTGTAATTTGTCTATTGACGCACTTAGCAAACATTCTCTCTGTGTGGTGTTTTGGCCTTCGGACGCTTCGTTAAAACACTCGTAGGCCCTGATCTTGAGTCTGTGTAGTGGAGCCTGACATCTAGCTCTGCTTAGTCAGAGGGTTCTGCTGCAGGCCTGTGTGCCCCAGCAGGATCACACATAATGGGCATGGAAGGAAGGCTAGACCACATCAGTCTGTGTAAGACCATGAGACACTTGGCAATAACTTTCCAGTTAGCTCTGTTTGAGCTAGCCCTTTATCTTTATGACAAGTTCTCTTCAAAGAGCTGAGGACATTGTTGGCATTGCTGCAGCAGATTCACTTGATAACCACTGCTCCCTGAGACAGCCTCCTCCTTCTAGTGCTTACAGGTCTAGATACATTACTGACATGGCTGCTGTCTGAGTCAATCAGCGGTGTGATACAGCTCGTTCCTATAGAGAAGGGCGTAGAGGCTGTTACAGTGGGACACACACTGCTGCCAACAGTAAAGACACGTTATGACAGGCCAAAATTCCTGTCCTTCTCTCATTACTATAAGTAAGTGACAGAGTATATTCACCACTTTATTGGCAGCCTGACAGGCTACTTTACCGTCCTGCGTGAGTAGACTGCTGAGATGTCAGTAAGCCATACAGAGGACAGTATTGGCACACGCACACAAGAGGACAGGGTGACTTTAGTCCTGCTGTGAGATGAACAGCACTGCGGTAGTCTAAACTCTGCCAATGCTGTCACACCTCTGTAGTAGTGTTTCTGCGCATACAGTATTTGCAAACCTTTATTTAAAGGTCGACTCGGCGAGATGACGTTGCCCTGAGCAGCTCTGCAGATATTGAGATGAGCGCGATGCAAGACTTGCACAGTCACACAGAGTATCTGCGCAAGTGCATGGGTGCGCTTCACGCTGTTGTATAAAAAAGAAAGGGTGTAGATCAACTTTAATATTGCAGATAGATTGTAACTTCCATCAATGTAATTGTCTGCATCATTTCCAATCCCCCATATGTTTAAAAAAATATATTTATATACATATACACGACCGGTCAAGAGTTTTAGAACACCTACTCATTCAAGGGTTTTTCTTAATTTTTTACTATTTTCGACCTTGTAGAATAATAGTGAAGACATCAAAACTATGAAATAACACATGGAATCATGTAGTAACCAAAAAAGTGTTAAACAAATCAAAATATATTTTACATTTGAGATTCTTCAAATAGCCACCCTTTGCCTTGATGACAGCTTTGCACACTCTTGACATTCCCTCAACCTGCTTCACCTGGAATGCTTTTCCAACAATCTTGAAGGAGTTCCCACATATGCTGAGCACTTGTTGGCTGCTTTTCCTTCACTCTGTGGTCCGACTCATCCCAAAACATCTCAATTTGGTTGAGGTCAGGGGATTGTGGAGGCCAGGTCATCTGATGCAGCACTCCACTCTCCTTGGTAAAATAGCCCTTACATAGCCTGGAGGTGTGTTGGGTCATTGTCCTGTTGAAAAACAAATGATAGTCCCACTAAGCCCAAACCAGATGGGATGTCTTATCGCTGCAGAATGCTGTCATAGCCATGCTGGTTAAGTGTGCCTTGAATTCTAAATAAATCACAGACAGTGTCACCAGCAAATCACCCAAACACCATAAAACCTCCTCCTCCATGCTTTACGGTGGGAAATACACATGCAGAGATCATCCATTCACCCACACCGCGTCTCAAATTTGGGCTCCAGAACAAAGGACACATTTCCACCTGTCTAATGTCCATTGCTCGTGTTTCTTGGCCCAAGCAAGTCTCTTCTTCTTATTGGTGTCCTTTAGTAGTGGTTTCTTTGCAGCATTTCGACCATGAAGGCCTGATTCACGCAGTCCCCTCTGAACAGTTAATGTTGAGATGTGTCTGTTACTTGAACTCTGTGAAGCATTTATTTGGGCTGCAATTTCTGAGGCTGGTAACTCTAATGAACTTATCCTCTGCAGCAGAGGTAACTCTGGGTCTTCCATTCCTGATGGCGGTCGATGGCATAGCGCTTGATGGTTTTTGCGACTGCACTTGAAGAAATGTTCAAAGTTCCTGAAATGTTCTGTATTGACTGACCTTCAAGTCTTAAAGTAATAACTGTCGTTTCTCTTTGCTTATTTGAGCTGTTCTTGCCATCATATGGACTTGGTCTTTTACCAAATAGGGCTATCTTCTGTATACCCCCCTACCTTGTCACAACACAACTGATTGGCTCAAACGCATTAAGAAGGAAAGAAATTCCACAAATTAACTTTTAAGAAGGCACACCTGTTAATTGAAATGCATTCCAGGTGACTACCTCATGAAGCTGGTTGAGAGAATGCCAAGAGTGTGCAAAGCTGTCATCAAGGCAAAGGGTGGCTATTTGAAGAATCTCAAATATATAAAATATTTTGATTTGTTTAACAATTTTTTGGTTAGTACATGATTCCATATGTGTTATTTCATAGTTTTGATGTCTTCACTATTATTCTACAATCTAGAAAATAGTAAAATTAATGAAAAACCCTTGAATGAGTAGGTGTTCTAAAACGTGTTACCAGTAGTGTATACATACATACAGTGAAGGAAAAAAGTATTTGATCCCCTGCTGATTTTGTACATTTGCCCACTGCCAAAGACATGATCAGTCTATCATTTTAATGGTAGGTTTATTTGAACAGTGAGAGACAGAATAACAACAACAAAGTCCAGAAAAACGGATGTCAAAAATGTTATAAATTGATTTGCATTTTTATGAGGGAAATAAGTATTTGACCCCCTCTCAATCAGAAAGATTTCTGGCTCCCAGGTGTCTTTTATACAGTTCCCTCAGCCAGGGCATTGAAAATGGGTCGTGGATGGGTATTCCAGCATGACAATGACCCAAAACACACGGCCAAGGCAACAAAGGAGTGGCTTAAGAAGAAGCACATTAAGGTCCTGGAGTGGCCAGTCTCCAAACCTTAATCCCATAGAAAATCTGTGGAGGGAGCTGAAGGTTCGAGTTGCCAAACGTCAGCCTCGAAACCTTAATGACTTGGAGAAGATCTGCAAAGAGGAGTGGGACAAAATCCCTCCTGAGATGTGTGCAAACCTGGTGGCCAACTACAAGAAATGTCTGACCTCTGTGATTGCCAACAAGGGTTTTGCCACCAAGGACTAAGTCATGTTTTGTAGAGGGGTCAAATACTTATTTCCCTCATTAAAATGCAAATCAATTTAGAACATTTTTTACATGCGTTTTTCTGGGTTTCTTTGTTGTTATTCTGTCTCTCACTGTTCAATTAAACCTACCATTAAAATTATAGACTGATCATGTCTTTGTCAGTGGGCAAATGTACAAAATCAGCAGGGGATCAAATACTTTTTTCCCTCACTGTACATGCATGCATACATACATACATACATACATACATACATACATACATATAAATACATATATTTAAACTCAGCAAAAAAAGAAACGTCCCTTTTTCAGGACCCTGTCTTTCAAAGATAATTCGTAAAAATCCAAATAACTTAACAGATCTTCATTGTAAAGGGTTTAAACACAGTTTCCCATGCTTGTTCAATGAACCAACAATTAACGAACATGCACCTGTGGAATGGTCGTTAAGTAGGCAATTAAGGTCACAGTTATGAAAACTTAGGACACTAAAGAGGCCTTTATACTGACTCTGGAAAACACCAAAAGAAAGATGCCCAGGGTCCCTGCTCATCTGCGTGAACGTGCCTTAGGCATGCTGCAAGGAGGCATGAGGACTGTAGATGTGGCCAGGGCAATAAATTGCAATGTCCGTACTGTGAGACACCTAAGACAGCGCTACAGGGAGATAGGACGGACAGCTGATCGTCCTCGCAGTGGCAGACCACGTGTAACAACACCTGCACAGGATTGGTACATCCAAATATCACACCTGCGGGACAGGTACAGGATGGCAACAACAATTGCCCAATTTACACCAGGAACGCACAATCCCTCCATCAGTGCTCAGACTGTGCGCAATAGGCTGAGAGAGGCTGGACATCCTCCTCCCTCATGTGGTACCCTTCCTGCAGGCTCATCCTGACATGACCCTCCAGCATGACAATGCCACCAGCCATACTGCTCGTTCTCTGTGTGATTTCCTGCAAGACAGGAATGTCAGTGTTCTGCCACGGTCAGCGAACAGCCCGGATCTCAATCCCATTGAGCACGTCTGGGACCTGTTGGATCGGAGGGTGAGGGCTAGGGCCATTCCCCCCAGAAATGTCCGTGAACTTGCAGGTGCCTTGGTGGAAGAGTAACATCTCACAGTAAGAACTGGCAAATCTGGTGTAGTCCATGAGGAGGAGATGCACTGCTGTACTTAATGCAGCTGGTGGCCACACTGACTGTTACTATTTTGACCCCCCCTTTGTTCAGGGACACATTATTCCATTTCTGTTAGTCACATGTCTGTGGAACTTGTTCAGTTTATGTCTCAGTTGTTGAATCTTGTTATGTTCATACAAATATTTACACATGTTAAGTTTGCTGAAAATAAATGCAGTTGACAGTGAGAGGGCGTTTCTTTTTTTGCTGAGTTTATATACATATCCTTTTTTTAAAGGATGTACAGTGGGGGAAAAAAGTATTTAGTCAGCCACCAATTGTGCAAGTTCTCCCACTTAAAAAGATGAGAGAGGCCTGCAATATCTTTCATCATAGGTACACGTCAACTATGACAGACAAAATGAGAATTTTTCTTCCAGAAAATCACATTGTAGGATTTTTAATGAATTTATTTGCAAATTATGGTGGAAAATAAGTATTTGGTCACCTACAAACAAGCAAGATTTCTGGCTCTCACAGACCTGTAACTTCTTCTTTAAGAGGCTCCTCTGTCCTCCACTTGTTACCTGTATTAATGGCACCTGTTTGAACTTGGTATCAATATAAATGACACCTGTCCACAACCTCAAACAGTCACACTCCAAACTCCACTATGGCCAAGACCAAAGAGCTGTCAAAGGACACCAGAAACAAAATTGTAGACCTGCACCAGGCTGGGAAGACTGAATCTGCAATAGGTAAGCAGCTTGGTTTGAAGAAATCAACTGTGGGAGCAATTATTAGGAAATGGAAGACATACAAGACCACTGATAATCTCCCTCGATCTGGGGCTCCACGCAAGATCTCACCCCGTGGGGTCAAAATGATCACAAGAACGGTGAGCAAAAATCCCAGAACCACACGGGGGGACCTAGTGAATGACCTGCAGAGAGCTGGGACCAAAGTAACAAAGCCTACCATCAGTAACACACTACGCCGCCAGGGACTCAAATCCTGCAGTGCCAGACGTGTCCCCCTGCTTAAGCCAGTACATGTCCAGGCCCGTCTGAAGTTTGCTAGAGTGCATTTGGATGATCCAGAAGAGGATTGGGAGAATGTCAGATGAAACCAAAATAGAACTTTTTGGTAAAAACTCAACTCGTCGTGTTTGGAGGACAAAGAATGCCGAGTTGAATCCAAAGAACACCATACCTACTGTGAAGCATGGGGGTGGAAACATCATGCTTTGGGGCTGTTTTTCTGCAAAGGGACCAGGACGACTGATCCGTGTAAAGAAAAGAATGAATGGGGCCATGTATCGTGAGATTTTGAGTGAAAACCTCCTTCCATCAGCAAGGGCATTGAAGATGAAACGTGGCTGGGTCTTGATCCCAAACACACCGCCCGGGCAACGAAGGAGTGGCTTCGTAAGAAGCATTTCAAGGTCCTGGAGTGGCCTAGCCAGTCTCCAGATCTCAACCCCATAGAAAATCTTTGGAGGGAGTTGAAAGTCCGTGTTGCCCAGTGACAGCCCCAAAACATCACTGCTCTAGAGGAGATCTGCATGGAGGAATGGGCCAAAATACCAGCAACAGTGTGTGAAAACCTTGTGAAGACTTACAGAAAACATTTGACCTGTGTCCCCCACTGTAACAAAGTATTGAGAAACTTTTGTTATTGACCAAATACTTATTTTCCATCATAATTTGCAAATAAATTCATTAAAAATCCTACAATGTGATTCTCTGGGAAAAAAAATCTAATTTTGTCTGTCATAGTTGTCGTGTACCTATGATGAAAATTACAGGCCTCATCTTTTTAAGTGGGAGAACTTGCACACTTGGTGGCTGACTAAATACTTTTTTCCCCACTGTATATGCGCTTCACGCTGTTAGTGTGGTAGCTACGGGACCAAAACAGAAGAAAAGTTTAGCCTCACACTTCAACGCTCTTAGATGTTGCGGATATCGGCCTGATATTGCGTTTACTTGGATTGTCGAGTCTACCTTTAAACCAGGAGGTTGATTCCATTTTTCTTTTAAGGGAGACCTGGCCAACACTGCTTCACTGTAAAACATAGACTGAGAGTCTGTGGGTCTCAGTTAAATCCCTATTCCAACCATTTGACGTTTTAGTCATTTAGCAGACGGTCTTATCCAGAGCGACTTACAGTTAGTGCCTTCATCCCTTGTATCAGGGGTACTATACTCTCTCATCACATCATTCATTAACCCCTTGTGCCTCTCTCTCTCTCTCCCCTGCAGTCGCTGTGTTCTGCGGTGGTGCAGGTATACTCAGCAGACAGGAACTCAGCCTGGACCAAGAAGTGCTGTGGTGTGGCCTGTCTGGTCAAAGACAACCCAGCACGATCCTACTTTATCAGGGTGTTCGACATTAAGGTGGGTTTAGTTCACACATAAAACACAGACCAACTCAGGATCACTGCAGCACGGATTGTCCTTTACTATAGAGATGACAAATAGTTCTGATCACTGTACACACTCTCATACACTTCTTTATTTACATACACGTATAGGGCTGTCGAGGTGACCGTATTACCGCCACACCGGCAGTCACGAGTCATGAAGGCAGTCAAATTCCACGTGACCGTTTAGTAACGGTAATGAGGCTTCTCCAAGCTCTGATGCTGCTGATGGTCATTAGTAGCCTACCAAACTTGCTAACTGCCTGGTACTCAGCACTCTATTGTCCCCCTAATCACTCTGACATCAATGCAGATGTAATCGAAAATAGAATCAAACACTTAATGAGAGCCCTTGAGCTCATGTTGCGCAACATTTGTATAGGCTATGCAATTGCGTGAGAAAACGGAGTGATGGCCTCTACTAAAAAGAAGAGGATGCCATCAGCTTTCTGTAGGCTTACTATATTCATTTCTCAACTTTCCCATTATTAAGCACATTGCTTATCTTTACAACAGGAGTATAGCCTACCTGGCTGGCATGAAAATGAATCACGGGAAAAGCGTCCTCCATTCGCTATTTAAGTGCATAGATTACTTGTATTTTTCCCGCAGGTGCATGATAATGGTCCATTCTAAATCAAAACAGATTTCACACATATATTATTTAGTATATGTAAAGATGAGATTAAATCAATAATAGTCTGATGGGTGACAATATTAGCCTATCACTTGTGAATGATATATTATCACTTGTGAATGATGCCCAGCATCAAGCCTTTTTTTGCGACTTTTTCGAATCATAGTCGCACACCTCATGTAGCCTAGCCCATAGGCCTATATGTTTTGATAAGGTTTGTATCACAACTAAAGTGGCCAAATAACTTCTTAAAATTAAGCACATTAATCCGCTTTACAAGGGGTTTAGAGCATAACTGGTATACATAAGCAGCGCGTGAGTTTCAAGTTTGGGGAAAATGATTTTCACCATAAAAATGCACCTTTATAATAAAAGCATTACATGCATAATCGCATTTGCGGTCACTTTTGATAATGGTGTTTTCCTGCTAGTGAAACATTCCCGCTTATAGCCTACTGCCATGTGCGCATTGCTGCTCTCATAATGAGAAGAAATAGCCTAATAGTTTATCAACATTCAAGCTAATTCTTCTGATCTGTTGTGTCAGCCACATTGCGTAAATAAATGTTTTTTTGATGCTTGTGCTTGTATTAATTTGGGATCTATTGCATCCCACAACTGTCGACTTTTGTACTATGGGGGATAGTAGATTGACATGGACTAGTGCTTTTGCTGTTCGTTAGGCCTACTCAGCTTGTGGACAGTTCTTCCAATATCTTCAATATGCACATCGGAATTGGATAAGGACGCGAGCAGTTGCAGACCCGATGTGTCTCTCTTCACTTGCAGCCTGTGAGAAAGACCCGATCACGTGATTGAGAGCGCGCAGCACTCAGTGAGAAGGGCACAACATAGGGTGGTCCTCTGTAGCTCAGCTGGTAGAGCACGGCGCTTGTAACGCCAAGGTAGTGGGTTCGATCCCCAGGACCACCCATACACAAAAAAAAATGTATGCACGCATGACTGTAAGTCGCTTTGGATAAAAGCGTCTGCTAAATGGCATATTATTATTATATTATAAAGGCATGGATTTTCTTAGGGTGCGTTACAGCCACAAAGGGGATGCCGCCGTGAAATTCGAGGCATTATCAAGTGCTTGTCAAATTGTGAATGAGAGACTTGGAGTGTGTACAGCCTGCGCAAAAAACAAAGCAGAGCTCATGCCTTTCCAGCCACTTTTTTCAAATCATCGTTAGTCGCATCATGCAGCCTTAAAATCTATTAAAAATCGAAACCTAAAGCCCTACGTTTGTAGAACAACTAAAGTTACATGAATAACTCTAAATTAAGCATATAGGCTTACCTATTTCTTTGTTAACCGCTCAACACAGAATAGCCGCATGTGCGCACTTCCTCAAATCGTTTGGAGAAAATATTTATATTTTCTTTGTTCAATTGTATTCTTTATACTATAAAATAATGCCACGGAATTCTAAGCAAATCTTGTCTGCTAAATGAACAAGTGTAGCCCACAGCCATTTGACATAGCCACATCAGGACCTAACATAAGGACAACTCAGAGTATGCTATTCTGTTCTTCTGAAATAGACTACATTTCCTTCATATCATGCTTCTTTAGACCTGCCTAAAATAAATAATGGATTTATTGTGAAGGTGTAGGCTATATTACATGGATTTATAAGACATTTTAAAATGTAGATGTTCCAAAGGTCTGCATCAATGGCTTGTAGGCTATGTGTGGAAGCCAGGAGATACTGAATGTGATTATGTTGATTAACGGTCAATTACCGTGGGACCGACAGTTATTTGCTTGACAATCACCGGCTGACGATATTTCGAGACCGCCACAGCCCTATACACGTATACAGAATCTATTCACACACAATCTTTGTCCAATACCTACATGCTCTCTCTCACAAATACACACACACACACTAAATCTGTGGATGTGCCCTTGAGCAAGGCACTTAATCCTAATTTGCTCCAGGGGCGCCGTACTACAGTGGCTGACCCTGTAAAACAACACATTTCACTGCACCTGTCCTTTGTATGTGACAATAAAACATATTTCTTTAAAATAATAATTCTATCCACACACTCACACTGTCTCTCTCTCCACAGGAGGGTAAAACCATGTTTGTGCAGGAGCTCTACAACAACTTCTCAATCACTTTTTCCAAATCTTACTTCATCACATTCGCAGGAGACGTGAGTTATACCTTTCTCTATGTACTTGATGTACCTTGCTCCAACCAAGTCCTTTCACATGACATTAATAGCAAAAACCTGTGTGTGCCATCTTTTGAAGCTTGCAGTGTTGTTCGTTGTTATGACATTCCACTTCGTGTTTGTGTGTGTAGTCGTGCCAGATGGGACTGAACTTCGCCAGCGAGGAGGAGGCCAAGCATTTCCGGGAAGCCATGGGGGAGCTGCTGGGGAGACGACAGAGAAAATCTGGTGACTACTACCTACCGACGCCATCTTTGATTCTACTGACCTCGGACCTCTGATATTAAAACCATCTCCTCTCCTCTGACCTCAGCCTAGTCTGCTAATGTTTGGACAGATCCTCTCAATTTTGAGATATGGATCTCTCCTCCTCTCTATGCCGTCTCTTTTACTTCCTGATTGTACAATTGACAGCTCTCTCTCTTCCTCTCTCGCTCTCTGGCCCACCGTTAAGGGCTTTAGCTCCGGTAGAAGGGGAGCAGATCTAGAATCAGCTTTACGATCTCCTAAATCCTAACATAAACATGTGCCTGATCAGCTAAGATCAGTGTCCAGGGGCAACAGTGCTCTTCCATGCCTCTTTTTGAAGTGCTCCTTGAGATCAGCTTGCTATAATAAGGTCAGGACTATTTGTCCTCTGTCCCAAACCAGCAAGAGTCTATGCAGTTTCTGTATGGATGATGACCCTTGACTCTTTTAGATTTGAGCTCCGTTTTGTCAGTCTGTCTGATCGTTCTGGTAAATCACTAACTCGTACACGTACGCTTGACGATCAATCCGCACACACGCGCATCCTCCGCCTATCCAACCATATACTGCTTAAAAACTAACTCTGTCCGAACCCCCCGCTTGCAGATTAGTTCCTCTTTGATCCATACACTTCAGTCACCTGTGACTCCATACCAATCACTTACCTCTCCCTTTCACTAACACTAACACACAGCACTATACATGAGTTTAATTCTATACATTTTGTTTTACAGAAAAAAGACGTGACCCTCCAGGTCCAAATGGTAGGTTCTTCATGAAATTCACTCAAGTCTTTTGTTGGAAAATCATTTTGATTTGAATCAGAAATCGACATAGACACTAAGTTTTCAATCAAATAACCCTGAAATTATTGGACTTAAAATATACATACACGTAAACAAACACGCTCGTCACTTCCTGACTTCCCCACATGGCTTTGATGGAATGGTTCCAGTGTAAAGCCATTGGATAATCCACTGAAAGCAGGGTGTCTCAGAGTGAACACCACTCCCAACCCCCTAACTAACAGATTACCTACCCTACCCCCCAGTCCTAATCGTAACCATAAGGGGCATGGAAGTACTAAATAACTGACTGTAGCATCAGTGGTGAAAGGCAATTTGTACGTACCATAGACCCGCCTTACAGGACATGCTTAGGTATTCTGCATGCACACACTCCAGAAAGCCAGTTCTACAGGGACGTTGAGCAGATCCCTCCCCTCAATCTTAAAATACCAAACCTGTAACACCACACACTCTCACACTCCATCACACACTCCAAACCTACCTCCACAGTAGATCACTTAGCTATAGATAAGATGCTATATATAACCATGTAGAGTATAAGAGGTTTCTATTTGAGGTTTCATTCTCAAATCCCCTCTCATCACTACCCAGACAGGCTGCGGTGTGATACGGTTCATTGGGTTTTTCTTAAACTTATGTCACTTAGTACCAGAGCTTTCCTTACTGTCTAGATACTGTAGTAGTCGAAAGTGCTCCCCATAATGTACTGGTCTGACTGGGTGGACAGACCATGTCACCCCAGTCAACCCCTGGTCTGCTTAATCAGGCTAAGAGGATTTAATTCAGCTGCTAATGTTAGTTACTTCACAATACTCAGACTACCCCAGTCCCCTCACACTCACAGCACTGGCAATGTGGAACAGAGGGAGTAGAGGAAGGGGGGGGGGGGGGGGGTGGAGGTAAGAATGTGTGACATTTTCTCTTCATAGCGGTGACCTGTAAACAGATTGCTGAGGATGACGTTTTTACATGGCACGGCCCAGACCTATCCTGTCCTATGAGGGTTGATCAGACTGGCATGGTTTGAGCTGTGCCCAGACAGACAACATTCTGGCCTAGCTGGCATGGTGTGTTCTGCCTGTGACCATACAGCGGTTTGTCTGTGGTGTCCCAGCGGCTGCAGTAATGACGGGTGAGAATGGCTCTGCTGATAGGAAGAGAGCACAGACAGATCCAGTGATTGTACCACGTTGGACAGATGGATGTAGTGTTTGTTTGGGTCTGACTCACTAGTGTGTCTCGGGGGAATTAACCATGTTCACCCGGTAGGTTACAGCTTCAATTGTTGCCCTGAATGCCCTCTCTCGTTCACCCCTCCCCCTCCTCCCCCTCCTCCTTATCGCTCTCTCTCTCCCTTTTTCTCACACCGTCTCTCCTTCTTTCTCCATGCTGTCTCTCTTTGAGTCCTGTCTCCCACCCAGCCAGCCTCTCTCTGATGTAGATTCATCATGTTTAAGAGAACCTCAGGGATTATGGTGGATTAGCAGTGGGCATTAATGGTTATGTCAAATCCAGCTGCACCGTGATTTGCTGGGATTAGAGGTGGGCTGCAGTTGGGGGTGTGGTTTGGCACGCTGGTGGAGAGGGGAGGAGGGCAGAAGGGAAAGAGTCGGGCTCGGAGAGCTGGAACCTGGCAGTGCTCCCTGTTGCGAGGGGGAGGAGAGAGCACTCTGTTTGGAGGCGGGGCCAGTTGTAGCTGTGGCATTTGCCCAACCCCTAGGCACCTCACTCAGCCGGAGGGTCTTAGTCTGCCTGCTGTCTGTCTGGTCGTAACCTGCTCAGTCTCCTCTCTGGTTGTTCCTCCACCTGGTTCTCTGGATCTGTTTTTGGAAACTCCTGGAGTTGGTTCTCTAGTTCTGTGGCTCGCACACCCTGTGTTCCTCTCTGGATGTCGCTCTGATTCTCTGGATCTATAGATCAGTGGATCTCTGCGCTATAGCCCAGGACTGGGCACCACATAGTCTTGCCCCCCATGCTGCCATCATCGCTCTGAGATGATGTTCTGTACCACCTTCCTGTCCTCTCCCTCTGAGGACCTATCTGAGGGGGGAGGAGGAGGGGGGATGCATCCGGGAGGGTGTCTCTCCACCCTCCACTGCCTGATCCTTCCCCAGGAGGAACTATATGCGCCCCCCTCGGACCCCACCACCCGCCTCTCGCTACGCCACAGGGACCACGCCTGCGGCGTGGTTGGTAAGATGCTGCTGGACGTCAACATGGCGGCGGCCGGAGGTTGTGAGGGGGACAGAGGGGAGAGGAAGGGGGACGGAACTCCCTGTGACTGTAGTCCCTCAGTCTTGCCCTCGGTCAGACAGAGCCCCCGTGGGTACTCCAGCCACAGAGGTAGGTGGTTAAGGAGTCGGGACACTCGTCCATAGAATTCAGTATGGATTGACCACTATGTGGGTGTCACAGGACGTGTGAGCCATAGGTAGTGGCAATATTATTCAGTGTGAGGATTCCACGCGAATTTCATCCAGTCAGTGTTGTAGTAGTTTTTTTTGTTTGTTTCGTGTTTACTGTGCGTTGGTCTATCCCTGCAGTCCCTCTAGCAGACATCTCTATGACTAACTGCCCTAAGCCTAATGGGAGGCATTAGAGAGGAGATGGTTTGACATGTGTGCTTAGTAAGAATGTAATGTGATCACAGCAGCAGGTAGTGTGTTGTGACGTTGGCTGAACTCTCCAGGTGTTAAAAGCCAGCCCACTCTCTCACCCTGTGTGCGCTCTCATTGAACTAATTGGAGGAGGTCGCGCGTCAACAATGGAAGTAGGCCTCATTAATGAAATGTCAAAAGTGTATTATTGTAATCAGTATGTTAAACTACCTAGTTCTGAGACACTGGTCTCTCTCCCCCAGACCCAGACTCCCCAGGACTGTTGCATTGTGGGTACTGTTGTACTGACTCTTCTGTTCCTCCCCAGGCCCTGCCCTGCACATTGCCACGGTGGACATCAAGAACCCAGAGATCAACAGCGTGACACGGTTCCATGGACACAACAACTCTCAGATGAACAACATGCTGAGCAGCAGCTTCAAGAAGAAGGTGAAGGGAAAGAAGGTTAAGAAGCTGACCAAGGCAGACATCGGAACGCCCAGCAACTTCCAGTGAGTATTCCATTTCTAATTCCTAATTGATTCATTTATATTCTAATCCTTTCTATTCTGTTCTATCTGATTCTATTCTGTTCTATCTGATTCTATTCTGTTTTGTTTTATTTGGGTCCATTTTTTAAAATTTGGCTCTTATTGGTGACACCTGAGTAGTAAGGGTCATTCACAAGTCCTCACAGTGTGGGTTGAATCCTCACATGAGATTTAGATTTGTGTGGAACGTCTAGTTACTCACTGTGATGTCTAGTTAGGATGTGGCCCGTTGAGGTCATCTGGGGGGTATTGCACGGCTAATGTATAGCCATACTGCCATGTGTTAATGTGCGGGCAAAGAGTTGATGGGACTTTTTAATCCTGGCCATATTTCTAATCCCATGCAATATGTAACTGGCATGATGATTGGTAGATGTGAGGATAATCTTTCCCGTGTTTTTAGGAATTGTACACTGTGGTAGTCAATACTATGGTACTGGGTTACTGAAGATGCCACTGAAATTTGGCCTCCAGACCAAAGGACACATTTCCACCGGTCTAATGTCCATTGCTGGTGTTTCTTGGCCCAAGCAAGTCTCTTCTTTTATTGGTGTCCTTAAGTAGTGGTTTCTTTGCAGCAATTCGACCATGAAGGCCTGATTCACACAGTCCCCTCTGAACAGTTGATGTTGAGATGTGTCTGTTAATTGAACTCTTTGAAGCATTTATTTGGGTTGCAATTTCTGAGGCTTGTAACTCTAATGTACTTATACTCTGCAGCAGAGGTAACCCCGGGTCTTCCATTCCTGTGGCGGTCCTCCATGAGAGCCAGTTTCATCATAGCGTTTGATTGTTTTTGCGACTGCACTTGAATAAACTTTCAAAGTTCTTGAAATGTTCATTATTGACTGATCTTCATGTCTTAAAGTAATGATGGACTGTCGTTTCTCTTAGCTTATTTGAATGGTTGTTGCCATAATATGGACTTGGTCTTTTACCAAATAGGGCTATCTTCACACACACAACTGATTGGCTGAAACGCATTAAGAAGGCACACCTGTTAATTGAAATGCATTCCAGGTGACTACCTCATGAAGCTGGTTGAGAGAATGCCAAGTGTGCAAAGCTGTCATCAAGGCAAAGGGTGGCTATTTGAAGAATCTCAAATAAAATATATTTTGATTTGTTTGACACTCTTTTGGTTAATACATGATTCTCTTTGTGTTTTTTCATAGTTTTGATGTCTTCACTATTATTCTACAATGTAAAAAATTGTCAATATAAATAAAAACCCTTGAATGAGTAGGTGTGTCAACTTTTGACTGGTAGTGTGTATATATATATATAACAATTATTTTGTTATTTTTGTGGATTTTCTTTCCAATGTTTTTATGAATGTCGCAAGCAACAACAGAATAAACACATTTTGAATTAGTAGTATCTTTCTAATGATGTCAACTTTATTAATCAACTCCTAATATTGAGTAAATTACACTCTCTGGGGTATCTGGCATAGGCTTTGAAAAAGCACCTGCGAATAGGCTACCAGTGTGGTAGGTGCTGTGTCTTGACTTGGACATTAATTTTTGCCAAAACTTGGCTCAGCTTTGTTTAACCAGCTAAACAGCTGCTCTTAGTGAAAATGTGTTTGGCATTAACTTTCTAGCTAATAGGCTACTTTAGAGTTTATACTTCCTCTGTGTGTCCAATCATCCCCTGAGTATAGGGTTCAGTATAAAGTAGGTAGCCTATGTGATCATTCCCTCAGGCTCTGTACTCATCTCTCTCTGATCATGTGTTTCCTTCCAGGCACGTTGGCCACGTCGGCTGGGACCCAAACACAGGCTTCGATGTGAGTATGACTGACTGACTGACTGACTGACTGACTGACTGACTGACTGACTGACTGACTGACTGACTGACTGGGTTCTGACTGAGGAGGAGATATTGTTGTTGTTGTCTACACTGTTGCTTCTGGCTAGTAGAATCGTCCCCTACTTCTAATGGTATGGGAAGACCCTATGTGACCTGTGATCTGCCTCTTCTTCTCACGCGGTGGTCTAGCTAGCCTGTCATGTAACATATGGGACGTTTTAATGTCACATGCACAAGTACAGTGAAATGCCTTTCTTGCAAACTCAAACCAGTAGGCCTGGACAGTGTGCATTACTGGGAGAAAGAGGGGGGAGGGAAGGAGAGTGGAGAGGGTGGTTGTTGCGTTTTATCCCCCTTACCAGTCCTCCGGCTCAGAACATGTTTATTTCTGATGTAGTGTTCATCAGACATGATTCTCCTCAGAAATATATATCAAATATTATGACATATCTCTCCTCTGCCCAGTGCAGAAGTCACTGCCAGCCCAGGGTTACACAAGGAGATTTCACATTATAAACCTGTTTCTGCATAATCCACCCAGTCGTTTCCAAATAAAGGATGATAAGTAATTATTGCGTGGTGTTCTACACGCACATCGAGCAGATCAGACCGGAACCGAAGGATTTGTTGACATTTCTAAAATAAGATTTAAATGATTGAGTTTCTGAGCTTTAATACCTTCAAGGACTTGAGTGGAGAGAGATATGAGCGCGTTTAAGAGAAAGAGATATAGGATGTTTAAACATGGTTCGACAGAAACTGGAAAGAATACCCTGCACATTGTCCTGTTTTGGTTAAGTTTTGTACAGAAGTAATTCATTTCATAAAAGAACACAAACTGAATGACATAGAATTAAACAAACTAACTAAGCTTTTGTTTGTGTGTCTGCCCAGAGAGCTAGAGTAGTGGTTTAAAGTAGATATGATATAAACCTGTGTAATCTAGTTCTGTGGGAATATAATCCCACAGCCTTCAATCCACTCTACCGGTTGGGCAGTGGGCAGTGCCAACCTGGCACCGTTCCCACTCAGCCACCAGGTGGCGATGCAGGGGCTGTTTACAACAGGGGTGCCAACATCAGAACCGTTTCTGAGAACATGAGACCGCCAGTTCTAACTGAGTAATGTTTTATCCCAGTGAGGTTCTAACTCATTGACGTTCAAACTAAGTGAAGTTGTAACCAATTGAAGTTCTAACTAATAGTAGTTCTAACCCAGCGTGGTTCTATTCCTGTTAGTTTCTTTTCCAGTATTTCAGTGTGGTTCTAATCCAGTGTTCTCTTCACTCCTCCAGGTGAACAACCTAGACCCGGAGCTAAAGAACCTATTTGACATGTGTGGCATCTCTGAGGCCCAGCTGAAGGATAAGGAGACCTCCAAGGTCATCTATGACTTCATCGAGAAGAAGGGAGGAGTGGAGGCAGTCAAGTTCGAGCTCCGCAGACAAGGTGTGTGTGTGTGTGTGTGTATGGGGGGGGGGGGAGGAGACTAAGGGCTCTTTAAGGTTGTGTGTTTGTCAGAAGAATATCCATAGTAGGTCACAGTGACTTACAAAAACAAGTTGTCTTGTAGCCTATGTAGTGCCCTAAACTGTGTGATAGTGTCCATATAGAATGTTTAGTGCTCTAGAGTCTAATGTTCAGTGTGTGTTCCTCAGGTCCTCCACCTCCAAGGTGGTGTGGTAGGTTGGTTTATCTCTGCATGGGGCTGCTGTGCCATTAGTCTGACTGGGAGCTGTCTGATAGGCTAACTGACCTCTGTAGGACAAGAGAGTAGTTCCATCTCTGTCCCAAAGTCTAACACAGGCTTTCCCAAACTCTGTCCTGGGACCCCCCTGGGTGCACGTTTTAGTTTTTTGCCCTAGCACTACACAGCTGATTCAAATAATCAAAGCTTGATGATGAGGTAGTTATTTGAATCAGCTGTATAGGACCGAGTTTGGGAATCCCTGGTCTAACACAGAGATGCACAACTCAGGGCCTCCAGTTCCTCAGGACTGAGGCCCTTGAAGACCAGGGCCTGTATCCACAAAGTGTCTGAGTGGGAATGCTGATCTAGGCTCCGTTTTGTCTTATAGATATAATGAATCAATTATATGGAAACATCTTAGATCAGCACTCCTACTTGCAGATGCTTTATGATTACGGACCCAGAGCTGTGCAACCCTGGGCCGGATCTAACATGTATGGACCTTCACAGGCCAGACCAGGAGTCAGTTTGCAGTGTGCTGAAGAGACGTTTAACTTTTCTTGACTTTAGAATGACATGTTAGTCAATGCTATACTCTTTCATACTACCACAGAGCTTTTGTCTGTTTGAGTTTCTGGGTTAGTTGAGAAGAATAGCATGAAGTATAGCTGCCCTAGTGGCTACAGTCATTACTGCATGATGTTATACCAGCAACTGAGCTGTATTTATTTTCCTCTGAGGTACTTCTAGAATCTAAAGCATGTTGTGAAGTGTACAGTAGCCACAGTGTATATATACAATAGTAGATTACATGCTAAAATTATTTTCTTCTCTCTGGTCTAGCCCCCCCACCTCCTCCCTCCAGAGGTGGACCCCCACCCCCTCCCCCTCACCAGACCTCCGGCCCCCCTCCCCCGCCCCCACCCATCAGGGGCAGGGGTGCGCCTCCCCCTCCTCCCCCCTCCAGAGCGCCCACCTCAGCCCCACCACCACCTCCCCCATCCAGACCAGGCATGGGCGCTCCACCCCCACCCCCAACCAGAGGCCCTCTGCCCCCTCCTCCCCAGCCTTCCCATGCCTCCCTGGCTCCCCATGCCCCACCTCCTCCCCCGCCTCCTTCCTCCGCCCCAGCAGGTATGGGTTCCGGAGCACCCCCTCCTCCTCCCCCGCCTCCCGGCCCTCCTCCCCCACCCATGCTGCCGGAAGCTGATGGAGGGGGTGGAGGTGCTGGTAAGCCCTCAGCCCTGTTGAGCCAGATCAGGGAGGGGGCTCCGCTGAAGAAGGTGGATCAGAAGGAGAGGCCTGTTTCCACCAGCACCGGCCGAGACGGTCTCCTCGAACAGATACGAAAGGGCAAACAGCTAAAGGCTGTGAGTGGACATTACCTTATACACTACACCCTAACCCCTATGCCCCTGGTCCCTATATCCTAGCTCCAATTTATGATTGTTCCAGCATTGCGATCCGGAGGCTCCGTACTGCGGGTGTGATGCAATTACAGAGCCTCCGGAGGCTTGCAGAGGCCAAATCGAGCTCCGTACCGCATCGCTGTGCGCCTCCCAAATTTTGTAACAATGCAGAGGGCTCCGCATTGCTCCATATAGCTCCGCATTGACATGATTGGTTGACGGTAGGTGGGGGCGCGAGGTCCTCTATAAACCCAAACTCACCTCCTTGACAACTTCCTTCACAACAGCTCTGCTCCGCGAAGCGCAAGAAGTATGAATGCCCTGACTTCTACAGAGGCCGTATCGCAGTAACTGCTGTACGGCCAATGCAGACGTCGGCTTGACCATGCAGCGCCTTTAAGGCTGCCCCTTCACACATCCCCTATCCCCTAGAGATACTAGACGCACATTCCCCTATACTGGAGTGTGTTGACTGGTGTGTAATTCCTGTGTGTGTTCCAGGTGACTGACGAACCAGGGTCAGGTGGACCCGCCACCCCTTCAGCCGGCATCGTAGGAGCTCTGATGGAGGTTATGCAGAAGAGGAGCAAGGCCATCCACTCCTCAGGTACACTCTCTCACACACACACACACACACACACACACACACACACCTCAGATAAGAGGTTGCTGTAATATTCATACCAATGTATTTTCTGTGTGTTTGTGTCTCCCTCTCCCTAGATGATGATGACGATGATGATGAGGAAGAGGACTTTGAGGATGATGATGAGTGGGATGACTAGTGACCATCCCCTCTCCTCCCCCGCCGGATGATTATGACAACAGTACATTGTTCCTAAATTGTCTTTCTAAATCTTATTAAAATGATAATGTAAATGTTTTATCAATTTGCTGTATATTTTTGTTGCCTTTATGCTTTTTTTTTTTGAATTCTTTGCAATACCTCATTTAATCTGTAAAGGTTTGTCATGTTATCTTTCTGTAAAGTTTTTCTTCTCTCTCTTGGATTAACATCCAATTTTACGTCAAGTTTCTCTTGATCTGTAGAGTTGAATGTTTATTTTTTGGGGTCAGTGACTGGAGGGAGAACAAATGAACAAACTGACAGATCCCTTAATGTTATAGTTGTTAAAAATCGAGAACACTATTTTCATACCCTTCTCTTACTTTATTTTTACTTATTCAAAAATCCTAGTTTAACGCTCTTATTTTCTTAAGAAATCAGCTCTTTTGGAATATTTAGCCCCATTCGCTGTCAATTGTAAATCTACTCAGAGTTTGTATTTTTGCACGAATTGAAAGAAGACTGTACGTGAATACAGAGCAGTATCATGGCTGTATCTGCAACGTTATGCTTTAAAGGCTACGGATATCGCTTCAATTATCCAACACTGTCAACCCATACACTACAGTAGTACACACACACACACAGCTGTCTGCTCTGTGTTTCGGTTTGTTTCATCATAGTTACACTACAGTATAAACTACAAACGGTTATCACACAGACATCAATGTTTTTCATTCTCCTTTTCTTTCACGGTAGCAATCAGTCTCCTACAGTTATTTGTTTGAATCAGGTCGGTGGGGATACAAAGCTTGAGGATTCATTAGTTTGTCAACTTAATATGACATATCTGATCTTGCAGCTGACTGTCCCATGATGAACTGTGTCACTAACAAACTGTCATTCAGAACCAGTGAACTACACTAACACTCGTCTACTATTGACACTAACCTGACTCTACACGGGAATACTGCTTTCTCCTTGGGGAAGGGAACCAATGCTGTTTTTTACAGTATCGTCTGTTTTCACGGTTAGTGAAACTCCATTCAGTAACTAGGATATATGGACAACAAACCTTCATAAATTAGGTTGGAAGAATAATGGACTATTAAATTGTACTCTCAAATAAATGTTACTATTTACAGAGATGCTCTCCTGTTTTCTGTGGGATGGATGTAAGTATAATGTTAAATATGACCAGCCTTTGTACAATAGGATATGTACCGTATAATAAGTGTTTGTTTGGGCCTAGGGTTGTTTGAGGGAGAGCAACTTCTGAGTGTTTACTTATTTTGATGTGTTAGCACGTTGTAAGGCCTGCACGTGGATATGACTTCTTCTAAGTGTGTGTGTGCGTGCGCGCTGTGTACGGACTGAGCCCCCTGGCATCCCTTCCATCAGTAGTGAGTGATGACCAGCGCTCTCATCACCAGCAGCTTAGCATGACTGATCAGACAACAGCTGAGCCATATTCACATGGGGTCTTTGAATGGTACATTTAGAATTGATTGAATAGAGCAGACTTGAAACTCTATATGCTACAGAGAAGTGTCTGATCGACACTTCATATTTATATCTGACTGTCCAGTGATGTTCCACGGCATGTCTGAATACTTGAATAACCCCCCTGGTATGTCTGCTCACACAAACTGATCTCAAACTGAAATAAGATTGCCTGCATTGTTGATATTTATATTTAATAGTAGTTGGGGGTGTTATTGCAATCCGCTCCAGGTGATGCCAGTGTAGCTGCCCAAGATGGAGAGGGTGCAGCAGGTTAGAGTGTGTCCTGTGTCCAAGCTCCCTTGTGCACATGGTAAGCCTGTGGGACCAGCATCCACAGTTCCAGGCCCCGAGTACTGTATGGGAATTACACCTGAGCAGTGAGCTGGGCACCCTTGGTGACAATACACTGGGGACAGAGCATGGACAACAAGGTGACTTACTGTAGCACAGGTGGCATGGCAACAACGGAACAACACTGCTTAATGGGAACACATGGACAGATGACAAAAGTCCACACGTGAAACCGCGAGGTCGGACTGAGTCCACATGACATAACTCTTGGACTATTTGTAGTATGTAGAAGAGATTAAGCTGGAATGATTGGTTAGAGGGATGAAAAGAGAGAGATGAAGAGAGTGAATGATTTGTTTTTGTTTTAAATGTATGAAATACAGTTGTTTGCCAGGCAGTGGGATTAGAAAAATAAGTCCAATGACCTTTCAGTAGACACTTCATTAATTGTTATTTTACCAATCTGCCAGCTGGGTTAGGGTTAAGAGGTGCCAATTCTCCCCACATCCTCTTATTGGCTGTGTTTACACAATTTTTATACTATCTTTTTTTCTGACTGTCCACACAGTTTCATATGTGACCCATATCGGATTTGCACATTCACACTGATGTAGCCTCTGAACTAGCACACAGATGCAATGCTCGTTTCCTGTCACTAGCTAGGTTTCCATCCAATTGGCGACAGACTTTCATGCGAATATTCTAAAATCCGCATAAACAAAATATGAGCAGTTTCCACCAAACAGACTTGTTGCGGTTAAAAAGCAGTGTGTGATGACATTGTGCACACAAAATGTACTTTTTCGCATAAATATTTATGTACCAAATAAAAGTCTCTAGCCAACAGCTCTCAGATACAGTGCTGGTAAAAGTTAAAACCGAGAATATTTGTAAAACGGAAGTCAAGCATCGATCATCATGGCACCAGAATAAGACCCTCAATATTTATTGGAAGGGAGCATCAAGATCACTGTACGTACACTTTCTCCACTCTGAACTTTATCATAAATGATTTAATCTGTAGTCTAATAACCTGCATGGTTTTTCAAGTCGTAGTGGGAGGACCACACACCATATCATCACGTGACTCCAACTTTACTTCGATATGATGGTTATTATATCAATATTCTTGCGCATATAGGCGTTTCCACCGCCATTTCTCGCATAAATACTTTTACAGACACAAAAATATCTGCATTTATAAAATTGTACCGAAACTTCCTGTTTCCATCACACCTGTCGTGAGTTTTTTTTTATATAGTATGACTTTATTCTCACAAAACCTGTGGATGGAAACAAGTGTTACTGGGTAGTTTTCGTGGTAACGGCTGGCCATGTAAAAAACACAAAACAAAAACACTTCAGAGCCAAAGTATCTCATCTGAGAGTCCAAACCATAGAGATCCTATTAAATTATTCTAATTCCATGGTCCAGACTGAGGTCGCATATGGAGCATTACAATTTTACCAGGATTGAGATCCACATATACAGTTGAAGTCGGAAGTTTATATACACTTTAGGCAAATACATTTAAACTCAGTTTTTCACAATTCCTGACATTTAATCCTAGTAAAAATTCCCTGTCTTAGGTCAGTTAGGATCACCACTTTATTTTAAGAATGTGAAATGTCAGAATAATAGTAGAGAGAATGATTTATTTCAGCTTTTATTTCTTTCATCACATTCCCAGTGGGTCAGAGGTTTATATACACTCAATTAGTATTTGGTAGCATTGCCTTTAAATTGTTTAACTTGGGTCAAACATTTCGGGTAGCCTTCCACAAGCTTCCCACAATAAATTGGGTGAATTTTGGCCCATTCCTCCTGACAGAGGTGGTGTAACTGAGTAAGGTTTGTTGGCCTCCTTGCTCGCACACGCTTTTTCAGTTCTGCGCACAAATGTTCTATAGGATTGAGGTCAGGGCTTTGTGATGGCCACTCCAATACCTTGACTTTGTTGTCCTTAAGCCATTTTGCCACAACTTTGGAAGTATGCTTGGGGTCATTGTACAAACAATAGTATGCAAGTATAAACACCATGGGACCACGCAGCCGTCATACCGCTCAGGAAGGAGACGCGTTCTGTCTCCAAGAGATGAACGTACTTTGGTGCGGAAAGTGTAAATCAATCCCAGAACAGTAGCAAAGGACCTTGTGAAGATGCTGGAGGAAACAGGTACAAATGTTTCTATATCCACAGTAAAACGAGTCCTATATCGACATAACCTGAAAGGCCACTCAGTAAGGAAGAAGGCACTGCTCCAAAACCGACATAAAAAAGCCAGACTACGGTTTGCAACTGCACATGGGGACAAAGATCGTACTTTTTGGAGAAATGTCCTCAGGTCTGATGAAACTAAAATAGAACTGTTTGGCCATAATGACCATCGTTATGTTTGGAGGAAAAAGGGGGCACTTGCAAGCTGAAGAACACCATCCCAACTGTGAAACACGGGGGTGGCAGCATCATGCTGTGGGGGTGCTTTGCTGCAGGAGGGACTGGTGAGCTTCACAAAATAGATGGCATCATGAGGAAGGAAAATTATATGGTTATATTGAAGCAACATCTCAAGACATCAGTCAGGAAGTTAAAGCTTGGCTCTTCCAAATGGACAATGACCCCAAGCATACTTCCAAAGTTGTGGCAAAATGGCTTAAGGACAACAAAGTCAAGGTATTGGAGTGGCCATCACAAAGCCCTGACCTCAATCCTATAGAACATTTGTGGGCAGAACTGAAAAAGCGTGTGCGAGCAAGGAGGCCTACAAACCTGACTTAGTTACACCAGCTCTGTCAGGAGGAATGGGCCAAAATTCATTCAACTTATTGTGGGAAGCTAGTGGAAGGCTACCCGACAAATCTGACCCAAGTAAACAATTTAAAGGCAATGCTACCAAATACTAATTGAGTGTATGTAAACTTCTGACCTACTGGGAATGTGATGAAATAAATAAAAGCTGAATGAAATCATTCTCTCTACTATTAATCTGACGTTTCACATTCTTAAAATAAACTGGTGATCCTAACTGACCTAAAACAGGAATTTTTACTAGGATTAAATGTCAGGAATTGTGAAAAACTGAATTTAAATGTATTTGGCTAAGGTGTATGTAAACTTCCGACTTCAACTGTACATCTGAACTCTAAAGATCAGGTTCCATGTGGGGGGTTTTCTGTTTACACATTAGGGAAAAGATCAGATACACCTGATGATAATACCTGATGATACCGAAAACTGTGCTGAAATTGCTTATCAAGCTTGTTGTCTAGTGCCAGTGTTGTGTTGTCTAAGTGGTGAATATTGTTTCTCTCCAAGTCAGTTCTTTAGTAGAACTGAGGTACACCGTGTTTTTGCGTAGTTAGATGTCCTTTCCAATTCCATGTGGGAAGCTAGGATGGTTAATCAAGGACAGTTGTTGCTGCTGCCAAAAGCATTTCAGTGTTGTGTTTGCTTTTAACAGCTGTGGGGTAGATTTAGGACCAGGCCAGAGAACTCTTCCAAGACACACAAATGCACAGGGGAAGTAAAGTGTTCCTCTGCTAAATACACTGAGTATAAAAAACATTATGACACTTTTCATGACATACACTGACCAGGTGAATCCAGGTGAAACTTTGATCCCTTATTGATGTCACCTGTTAAATCCACTTCATTCAGTGTAGATGAAGGGAAGGAGACGGGTTAAAGATGGATTTTTAAGTCTTGAGACAATTGAGACATGGATTGTGTATGTGTGCCATTCAGAGGGTGAATGGGCAAGATAAAATATTTTAAGTGCCTTTGAACGGGGTATGGTAGTAGGTGCCAGGCGCACCGGTTTGTGTCAAGAACTGCAACGCTGCTAGGTATTTCAAGCTCAACAGTTTCCGTGTGTATCACGAATGGTCCACCACCCAATAGACATCCAGCCAACTTGACACAACTGTGGGTAGCATTGGGGTCAACACTGGCCAGCATCAACGCTTTCGACACTTTGTAGAGTCCATGCCCCAACGCGGGGGCACTCTACAAGGAATGCTGTCCGACAGGAAGATGGATATAACTTTTTGGCTTTTGGACAGAACCTTTTTTGACAAAACCTTTCTGGACAGAACCTTTTAGACAGAAACTTTAGAACGTTACAGTTTGTAGAGAACCTTTTGGACAGTCACAGTACCTTTTGGACAGTACCATGGTTTAAGCAGCAATAAAACACCATAACACTTCATTGTGTTGTTACTTTTATCTTCATGTTCAATTCATACAGTATATTCCTCACACACCAAATACAATATTTACAATTATACAAAAAAGGTTACCTCAGTAAACAATTTAGTCAACAATTTTTATGTTTATCATCACAAAAATGTAGACAACATTTTTAGATAAATACATTTTTTAAAAATATTAATTTCAGATTTGTTTTCCTCCAAAAGTAAAGTTGTTATTACAGTGTTAATTTCCAGTATCTTCTCTGAGGAAAGCAGTTCAATCTGAATGTATTGTTTATGTGTCCTCAGTAGTCTCAGGGGGTTGGTTCCCTGTGTCTTCAGATCAGCTAGTCTCTTCATCAGGGACAAAGACAAACTTCCTCTGTGGAACTTCCACCTGCAATTAAAAAACAACAATGATTTCTGTTAAATCAAACAGGAATATTTCTTATGCTAGGTTCCTCGAAAACAAAATATTCCATGAAAGCTAGAGCTATTTCAGAGACAAATACATGTGAGCAGGAAAACAAATATATTCCGTAATCCAGTCCTTCCGGGATTTTGTGATTCTGCGATTGCAAAATTGTTTGCAAAATCAACAATACCCTACAAATTATGCAAGGACAATTTTGATCAATCACCGCACTATTAACAGTCAAATCACCACAATATTACTGCATAAAACTGTCAGATCACCTCACTACAAAAAGAGGGCTCACAATTTAAACCAATCACCACACTTTTACCGCATGAAGTGGTTCAATCAAGCCACATGTCAACAAATGTTTTCCCCCGTCAAAACGCAAAATGTCAGAAATGCAGCAGCAATATCAAACATTTTTGCCCGCAACTCTCACAAAAGTTACTCTGCACTTTGACTAATCAGGGGCATCACCAACATGTAGTTAGTTAGCGACCATCCTCATTTACTCTTTGTTGTGAGGCATTTCCTATTTCCCTTATCATAGCAGCCGTCCAACAGTCCTATTTATAATTCTAGTAAAGTGGCAGGCATTCACAGCCTCTAGACCCTAGCCTTCTGAGGGCAACCAGGATTTTCCACAGTAACAACATAACAAGCAGTTACCACACATTAATGGGCCCACAGAAACATTAGAGACTAGACTACTCTCTCTATCCTTTCTTTTTTTTCTCTCTCTCTCTCTCTCTCTCTCTCTCTCTCTCTCTCTCTGCCTGTGTTAGGGACTTCAACCAAGGCTTGTGTTGCGTTTGGCTGTGTTCAGACATACCACAGCGCTTGACGATGGAAAGGTGTCATATGATCGGCTTCCATCAGAAAATAACATGTCAACCACAGGAGATGACTCAAATAGCGATGTCACCTGTCTAAATCAGACTGACCTCTTAGGTATGTGTTCCCTTTGACTGTAAGAATGCAACCTATGGTCCTCAAAGCAGAACCTTATTCATCTTAGACCGTTTAGACCAGGTTCTTCCTCTCAACCATTTTATTTGAGTTGTCTTTGACATTTTACAAGATGACATAGTGTCTCAGTCTGCTGGCTTTGTCACAGAAAGAGACACTTTTCCAGATGGAAACATGTTCATTAGTTTCCAGTGCTATTAGGCTGGTGGTGAAGCATTGGAGCATACAGTGTCTGTCCAGGAATAGCCAGCCCAGGAAACAGCTGGAATATCCTCCATGTTGGTAAGGGCCAATCGTTTTTCCTAGCCATGTGACCTGACCAGAAAATAACTCTGGGCCCTAATGATGACGTATGAGACTGGGAACTCTCACAGGTGGTGTCTCACCAGCCGACCATCTTTAACCCTTAAACCCTTGTTAACTCTCATTGGCTGTGCATGCATACACACATGCACACACACACAATCTCACCTTTCTGAGGGAGCGGACACTGGCGTTGCGGATGGAGTTCATGAGCTGGTCGTGTGAAGAGCGCAGTGGAGTGGGTGGCCTGCTGTACTCCTGTTCTCTCTTCTCTGCCACTGGCCGCAGAGCGTTCTTCAGCTCCTTCAAGATACTGTTGGTCTCTCTCAATCCTTTCTTCCCCTTCTTTCCCTTCCCTTTCCCCTGCTTCTTAACAACCTCCTCGTGGAGCCTGATCACCTCCGCTATCTTCCTAGTCGGCTTCTTCTCTGCCGGGGGCTGACAGGGCGGGGGAGGAGGTGGGGGAGGAGGTGGGGGAGGAGGTGGGGGAGGCGGCGGAGGAGCAGGGGGGGTCTGTTTTTTGGGGAGTTTGGGGGATTGCCAAGGTGACACCTGCGGGGAACCGTAGGGCGAAGAACCCGGTGTGGCCTTCAACAGAGCGGTGGTACGGGGGTTAATGGCCCCCTCTGGCCCCGCCTGCTGGTTCTGTCTCTGCTCCTGCAGGCGTTTCTGTCTCTGACGGTCCATGTTACGGGTCAGGATGCCTGTCATGCTCATCCGGGGGCCTGGTAGGTGGAACTGGTAACCCAGCTTGATCAGGGTGTGGTTCTCCCTCAGAACCTTCACCATATCCATCTCCACCTGACAGGGAGGGAGCGAGGGAGAGGGAGAGAGAGAGAGAGAGAGGGAGAGAGATTTTACTATTGAAAATGTGTGTTATGCAGCAGCATCAAGATTGAATATCAAGTCCAGACTGACTGACTGACCTGTCCTCCACACATGTGTCTCTGGTTGTGGAAGCGTAGCTCGGTCAGGGTGCTGTTGCTAGGCAGAGCCTGGACCATGGCCAGAACCCCTTTCCCTGTCACATAGTTGGACTCGATGTTCAGGCTGACAATGGATGTGTTTTCTCGCAGTGTCTTGGCAATGGCCAGCGCCACAGGGTCGTCAGCATGCGTGTTGGCAAGGCTAAAGACACGCACGTGTGTGTTGGAGCGCAGTGCCTCAGCGAACTGGATTAGACTGTCCTGTGAGATGTCCTCGATGTTGTTGAGGTTGACCTCTTTGAGCTCAGAGTCGTTACTAAGGACTCTTTCCAGGGCCTCGTCGACAACTGTTGGGTTGCCGTCGGCGTTGGTGTCAAGCGGAGGTGGGGGCGGGGTTAGTCTCATAGGCTCCACCCTTGGGGGTCTCAGGAGGCTGGGGGAGGAGATGACGACTGACAGTGGTGATGGAGGACAAGAATCCTTTGGGTGTGCTGCTTTAGGCCTCTCCTCTTCTGGCTCCTCTTCATCCTCCTCATCCTCTGTTTCAGCTTCCTCCTCCTCCTCCTCCTCCTCCTCCTCCTCCTCCTCTTCTTCTTCTTCCTCTTGATAATCTTTATTTTCTTTCTTGTTCTCGTCATCCTTCTCCTCCTCTGCTTCGCTGTTGCTTTCTGTCATGCATTCTTCCTCACTCTTTTCAGCATCATCATCATCTTCCTGTTTAGACATAAGGTGTACATCTCTCATTAATCTGACTCAGACACATGGTCATGTTCTCTTATAACTGTATTATGTCTAAAGTTAGACCTAAACGGGATATAAGATTTGCATTATTTTGTGTGAATGTCCTAACTGGTTCTCCATTGTACCAGAAAGTGATCATTATTGAATAATTAATCTTATTAATTGGTCAAACAGAATTTAAGGTTATCCATATAGATCTGAGAGTAGCAAGCTAGCTGAGTTAAGACTCTCTCCTTATCACTGACCTGTTTGGGGCTGCTGGCTTCCCCTCTCTCATCCTCCAGTATCCTCTTGGTCTCCTTCTCCCAGTACTTCAACAGCGACTCTCTACTGAAGGTGCCAGTGGGTGTCTTCTCCGTCTGGTCCCTTTGTCTCAGGCCGATGGGCACGTTGGCATCAGGGTCTATGTCTGCCAGCTCCATCTCCAGCTCTGCTAGCTCCTCTGGGCTGAGAGAAGCCAGTAGTTCATCCTCATCCACATCCTCATACTTACTCAGCTCCCGACGGTACCCAAAACTGTTCATAGCTGAAGAGGTTGGCCCCTGTGTTGGGCTCCAGGTAGATGGGGCTCCGTGTGCCGTACGAGTCCGATCAGGGTGGGATCTTTCTGGGATAGGTTTCCGGTCAATGGAGTCTTTCTGGAGGTGTGGGTCCAGTCAAGTTTAGTCTCAGCCTGATCTGTTTGTCCTCTACTGTTTCAGTGAGAACAGTACCAGTGGTGTATGTGCAAGGAGCCTAGCTGGGGTGTCTGTGTCGGTGGTGTGTGTTTTGAGTGTGTGTGTGAGTGTGTCCTGTTCTCCTCTATTCTAATCTCTCCAGCTGCTGCAGAGGCCTTAAGAGAGGGATCAGTGGAGTGCAACAAAGCGTCGGACCATGATGCACAGTGCTTTTTTGGGAGACGCTGCTCAGAGAGATAGACTAGAGCCACAAAAAGCATGTGAGCTCAGAGAGCAGAGCGGCCCTGGTCAGGCCTGTCAGCGGATCCCAGCAGCGGCCACATTGTTCATGGCCAAGAAAAGCCCAACCGGACCCAAGAGAGACACACAGAGAGTCATAGAGACACATAACAACAAGCAGAACTAATAGTGACCAACAGATAGAGACACATGTTTACACACACAGAGAGGGATATCACACACAGAGAAACCCACAGACATAGAAAGACATCCAGACTCAGAGACACACAGAGATGCACACCATTACATAAATGTGTCTCAAATAGTACAGTTTTCCCTAGGTGGCTCTGTTCAAATGTAGTGCACTATATATGGAAGAGGGTGTCATTTCAGATATGAGTGGTTGTTTATCTGATAGGGGACAGAGTGAAGTAGGTCCGTATTGAAATTGTGACTTTTCAAGTGTCTTTATCACCACTCAACATTGTTGTGTGACACAACTGGCCATCCCGTGGGATTAACTACTACAGATAACATGGTTTCTACGGTAACATACAGTATGTTTCTATGGAGCCAGTGGCAACACATCATTGGCGACACCCACATCTGGCGACCCCCACTTTTGTAGCAATTTAAAAAAGAAAAGAAAATATGTTAAAAATGCATGTTATTTTGGCATTAATACGTGTCACATATCAGTTTGCAAACAATGTAAAAAAAGAATAAAATAAATCATTGAGTTAATAAAGCCGCATACAAACATGGTCTCTTTTTTGCTTTCTTGAGTAAGGCAGCTCCAAAATGCATGTGTTTCAGCCTAGCTCAGTGCTTGCTGTGGTGGTGGGCCAGCCAATGGAAAATACGGAGCATAGGGGTTGGTAATGTTCTCTAGATGCGCCATGATTGGCTCAGTGTTTTGTCACTCATGGGGACACTACGTCACCGCCAAATCTAAGGGTAGAGCTCGAAAAATCAAGCCCCTTGAGTGCTGCCATAGAGTTACATTAGAAGTGCCCATCCAAGGAGGTTCAAGAACAGAAAATGTTATATCTACAGTAGCTTTGATTGGACTGATCATGTCAACATCATACTTTCAAAATCTTAGCTAGCAGTCATCATCATGAATCAAGTCGACAATCTATTGGCAAATCCTTTTTAATCCTTGTCATATGAAGAGAAATAATGAAGAGAAATTATAGATAAAACGTATCGTGCTCATCGGCCATTGGACATAAACATTACACAACAAGTTCAACAATGAGTGGTTAGGAAGGAATCAGTGGCTAACTGCAAGCATTGCAAAGCAATCACTAGCCTGCTATTCAGTGGAGTGGGTGTGTGGTCCCAAGTCTGGGCTTAAGGGTCTCTTTTCCAAGCTTAAAATGGTAAACATTCAACATTGGCCATGCTGTCAATGCAGCATGATTTCTGCTGCGCTCAAAACAACTGTTAACTCGGAACTGGGAAATCTGACTTCAGTGAGTTCAAGACAACTGGGAACTCTGGAAAAAACTTGTTCTGACTGGGAAAATACGTTTTGAACGGTCATCCAACTCGGAATTGTAAGTCATCATGATTTGACTTTGTTTTTTTTCAGAGTTCCCAGTTGTCTTGAATGCACCATAAATCCAGAGAATGCCAGACTTTGATGACAAAGTGTGATGACAAAATTTGTCCACGAAGGACCGCCGTCCCACCTTCCTGTTCAAGTGAGCACAGCACAACAAGGTGAGTCCAAAAATGTATTGTATGCTGCTGCATAAATGATGTAATATGCCAGGATGATATGTATACTGTAGCTAAGAAAGTAATACTAAGTGTATGTTGTGTAGTACGCTGTTAGTAGCCCATGTGCCTCACCCTAATCATTTGGTCTATTTTCCCCTCTTAATTTTGCCTACTGTTCTGACTTGGTGGTGCACATGTAGCCTATAACCTGTTTTAGAGAAATGTAATCATTATTGTAAGAGCCTTTCATTGTCCCCTTTATTTATCCTACGGTTCTGACTTGGTGCACAGGGAGAATACGGTAAGAACGGCCCATGTTCTGAATTCTGTCGCTGTACATTTCAAAATGCTGAACAAATAGTTATATTGACTTTGTCCGTCCTAGCTCGCTCATTAATGTCTTAATCGAAATTGCGGATTGCCTCTTATCCGCTTGTCGTCCCCTTATGCCATAGTTTGTACATCTCAATTGTCAAACAGCCATATCAGCTATGTTTTTTTTGAAGGCAGTAAATTAGGCTAAATTAACTGTTTCGCTGCCAGACAAGGCTCCGCTGATAGCCAGGTGTAGCAGTGGTAAGGTGTTGGAACTGCTGTTGGGACTCTGCTATTGGGACAGCTTTAGGCCCTAATAGTTTGTGTGCACCGTTTGTCACCGTTATAGTGCAATTAATGTATTGTTTAGTGTTCTGTTGTGGCTTTGCTGGCATGCATCCCACCTCAAAAAAAATGTGGTTTGCCCCACCAAGATTTACATGCTAAAATCGCCACTGTATGGAGCAGACTAATGTATAATGTGGAAGTAGATCTGTATCTTTTAGTGGGCTTTGATTTAGTCAAATGTTCCTGAAATACTGGTAATAACAATAGATGATTGCGTCAGTGGGCTTATTTCAAAGAGGGTTATGTTATCATTTTAGGCTTGTCAGAGTAGAGTGGAGGAGCTTTTCTGAGAGCTGGCAGACAAGGCAGCGGGATGCTCTCTATCTCTCTCTGCTATACACTGCTGGCTTTGGGCTTTTAAGCAGACCTCTTTATACGTCACCACTCTGTCTGACTCAATGAAAAATATTATTTGGTTGGAGAACAAAAACGGTCTGTTTATCTATGAAGCTTTGTAGAAGCTCTTCCGTTCTGTCAGTCTAAATCTTTTTGCTAACTCCTAACTCTCAAAGTCCTCCTGACTTCAGAGTCTGGAATGGCTCTTTGATGTTGTGGGTGCAATGCGTCGATAATGAAGGAGGCTGTGCTTTTACTGGTTGGTTCTCCTCTGTGTCTTTCTCACTCAAACACCAATAGGCACAGCCACACAGCCCCAGAGTTCCATCCCCTTCCATTACAACTGTTGGATTTTCAAATCAAACCCGTTGCTCAATTTCTGAGAGAATATGGCATTAACAAACGGCCTCCTTTCCAGACTGGTGTGTCACAGCTCTCCCTGAGCTGTCACATTGGTCACGTCAGCCAGGCTAGGGTGATAACTCTCTTTGGGTAAAGGGCTTGTTACTCTTGTTAAAAACAAATCTGCCTCGCTCATCTCTAAAAATAGATCTACATTGATCCTGTAGGTGCCCATGTCCAGAAATCCAAAATAGGGTTGACATGCGTAGATGTATGATGTGTTCATACTGTTTCAGGCAGTGGGCAATGATGTGGAACCTATAAGACCTTTCTCGACATCTATTTCTAGGGGACATCATTTTTCCCTAGGGGACAATACATTTTATTGTGTTGTGTAATGACACCCTGAGAGGCGCTACTGTGAGCAGATCCTTGCTCTTCTGCTGCCCTAGGTGAGACCAAAAAATGCCACCTGCAAAAGTAGACTAGTAAGCAAAATTACGTTGAAAAGACATTTAACATCCAAATGTCTATCACTGCGCTTTCAACCATTTAAAAGCACAGCATAGTTTAAATGGGAATCAAATGTCATATGTTTTGTTTATTTATACAACATATTAATGTATTTTCACTGTGCTTCATCTAATAGCAGAACCAAATGACCTGGATTGCAGTTGAACTTACATTAAAAGTACATGGTGCAAGTGATAAATGTCGTTCGAGATTCTGCACAGATTATTAAAGCAATTGTGAAGATCTCCACAGACCTGCGACAACCTATACATGCTATCTTGAACATGCACGCTCTATGTGATTACATAAGTAGAACTGTATAGTTCCAGTAACCTCAAAATGTGGCCATAGATGTGTTACTCATTTTAAGGTTGAATGTTACATTAGTTTGTAAGATAGCCTTAACTTTAGGCTATTGACTATATTTTAAAAGTAATATTGAATTGTGTTTAGATGGCAACGCAACCAAATATCAACATTTGAAGGAGATTTATTTTCTGCTTGGATATTCTAGCTCAGTACTATGAATAATTCACGTCTCCATCTCAACCAAAAATCACAGATAAAGAATAGGACTAAATCAAATCATATCACACTTTAAACGCACTTTAAATATTTATTTAGTGCTATTTATTGTACTTAGATTTTTGGTTGAGATGGAGATGTGAATCCAACATATCAATCATTAATTTGTAGACAAACTGGAATTAAAGCCAGACTAATTCAGTGGCACAGATGGAACTATCCAAGCAAAATATATATCACCTTCAAATGTTGATATTTGAATGCGTTGACAGGCAAACACAATTCAATATCACTAAATATCATTACAGTTAAACCGGAGCTTGAAATGCTAGGCCTATTGAATTCTGGGTTGAATTGAAACAACAGCTGTTCATGACTGCAAATGCTATACAGGCCGAAATAGCTACTAGCTACCATTTTCTATTAGAATGTTATTTTTAAGTAACACTGCATACTCCATAACCCCTGAAGGGGCACTGACTGACTGGACTGTCTATTTATCCTACTTTTTTTCACAGAACAAATGTCAATGAAAAACATAATATATGTTCTGTTAAACCTACCCTTTGGAATGACGTCAATAGCAACAGTGAATCTATTTAGTTTTTAAGTGGAGATCTTCCAACAATCACTCTCACGATAGCACATTGGTAATAGTCAGTGACAAATAGCTGGGCTGGGCTTGGTTAAAACCCTGGATGGGAGACCAAAGGGTAGTTGTAGATAGATCAATTCTCCAGGAGGAGGTGCTGCCCAACATGTTTTTTTCTTTCTGATAATGTTTAAGATCTGACGTTGTTTTAAAGGTACAAATTCAACATATTTTATACAAGGTTTGTCTATGTTGAAATTTGGTTAACATGATGACATAATCCTGTGGTTGACATTTCACCCTCAAAACAACAGTTGATGACTTTTTTCAAATCCAATGTATTTTCCACATAGATGCCATGTCACAATACATTTACATTTTAGTCATTTAGCAGACGCTCTTATCCAGAGCGACTTACAGTTAGTGAATACATGTTTTTTTATTTATTTTATTTTTTTATACTGACCCCCCGTGGGAATCAAACCCACAACCCTGGCGTTGCAAACGCCATGCTCTATCAACTGAGCTACATCCCTGCCGGCCATTCCCTCCCCTACCCTGGACGACGCTGGGCCAATTGTGCGCCGCCCATGAGTCTCCCGGTCGCGGCCGGCTGCGACAGAGCCTGGATTCGAACCAGGATCTCTAGTGGCACAGTTAGCACTGCGATGCAGTGCCTTAGACCACTGCGCCACTCAGGCAATACATTGACTATTACGTTGAAACAAGCATGTGAATTGGATGACAATCATTATCGTATTATACTTATTTCTCTGAGACCAGGTTGCTTGTTGCGTTGTAACAACAAAGGAGAATTATGTGGAGATTTTAAGTTGGTGGTTAGGTGAACTAATGACAAAGGTTAGGATAATTTATGTGAAAGATTAGGGGAACAAAAACGACAAAAGTTGGGCGAATTTACATAGCAGGTTAGGTGAATTGGGTTAAGTTTAGAATAAGGGTTAGGGGAAGGATTAGCTCAAATCCTACAGTTGTCTCCGACACAACTCGAACGCGCAACCTTTGGATTGCTAGATGGTTGCGGATTACACTCACCCATCCTCCTTGACCAACTTCCCTACTTTAGTTTCTGTCTCAAGTAACTAGACAATTAGTAGGTATCATACGTCTTGGCGGTGCTAAAAAATGCAACCACAGCTAATGAAGTCATTGAAACCCTTAACAAGGAGTTGCAGTCAGTTTTGGAATGGGTGGCCAGTAATACATCTCTAAAACTAAGAGCATTGTATTTGGTACAAATCATTCCCTAAGCTCTAGACCTCAGCTGAATCTGGTAATGAATGGTGTGGCTGTTGAACAAGTTGAGGATACTCAATTATTTGGTGTTACCTTAGATTGTAAACTGTCATGTTCAAAACATATAGATTCAGTGGTTGTAAAGATGGGGAGAGGTCTGTCCATAATAAAGTGATGCTTTGCTGTTTTGACACCACACTCAAAACAAGTCCTGCAGGCTCTAGTTTTGTCTTATCTTGATTATTGTCCAGTCAAGTGCTACAAAGAAAGACCTAGTTAAGCTGCAGCTGGCCCAGAACAGAGCAGCACATCTTGTTATTCATTTTAATCAGAGGGCTAATATAAATACTATGAATGCCAGTCTCTCTTGGCTAAGAGTTGAGGAGAGACTGACTGCATCACTTCCTCTTTTTATTGGAAACATTAATGTGTTGAAAATTACAAATTGTTTGCATAGTCAACTTACACACAGCTCTGACACACACACTTACCCCACCAGACATGCCACCAGGTGTCTTTTCACAGTCCCCAAATCCAGAACAAATTCAAGAAAGCGTACATTATTATATAGAGCCATTATTCAAATCAAATCAAATTTTATTTGTCACATGCGCCGAATACAACAGGTGTAGACCTTACTGTGAAATACTTACTTACAAGACCTTAACCAACAATGCAGTTCAAGAAATAGAGTTAAGAAAATATTTACTAAATAAACTAAAGTAAAAAATTAAATAAAAAGTAACACAATAAAATAACAATAACGAGGCTATATACAGGGGGTACCTATACCGAGTCAATGTGCTTCTATGGAACTCCCATCTCATATTGCTCAAATGAAGAAAAGAAAAAAAGACACTTCACTGCACAATGCCTCTCCCCTATTTGACCTAGATATTTTGTGTGTATGTATTGATATGTAGGCTACAGTATGTGAGCCATTTTTAAATGTATGTAGTTCTGTCCTTGAGCTGTTTATTAATGTTCTGTGTTATGTCATGTTTCATGTTTTGTGTGGACCCCAGGAAGAGTAGCAGCTGCTTTCGCAACAGCTAATAGGGATCCTAATAAAATACCAAATACTACATCTAGCACACATGATTCTAATAATTAGCTGGTTGATAAACTGAATCAGGTTAGTTACAACTGGGATTAGAGCAAAAGCCTACAGGAGGGTAGCTCTCCAGGAACAGGGTTGGAGAGCCCTGGTCTATGGTATGACTAGCGGGTAGTGTCCACTCCACTGTGTCTCTCCGGGCGGCAGGCTGGTGTTGACAGGGCAGGAATGCTGCTGTTCAGATAACAACAACAACAGGCTGACAACGCTAGAACTCTCTCAGCATAACTCTACGTTGGACCATGCTACTCTAGTCTACCTTCCGCTAGCTGTGCCTTCACAACAACAGAACCCATGTTTGGTTCAGTCAGTTAACTGGGGTGTTCAACATTTCACTATTTGATCTGAATACAGAAATTGTTCAGCTACTGTAAAGGCCCGAGGCTTGGTTGGAGTGGAGGATACAGTGCATAGGACTATAGTCATGTCCGTGGATGCGGATTGTAACATTGCCACCCAGTAGTGTTTTAGGGTTACTCGATTCTGCTTTGGAAAAACAGCCGAAATCCTAACATCTATTTTGGGAATGTTACGAGATCTGGCTCATACCCTCTCTGTGTGCCAGGGAGAGTTGAGCTGAGAGGTATACTACAAAGTAGGATCATTGAGTTAGCCAGCTAACTCCTAAATATTGTGAATTTTTATTTTTTTATTTTTTATTTTTTTAAGCTTGAAATAGGCATGGTCTAATTGATTCAAAAACCCAAAACACATACAATATCTAAGTTTAGCTTGCATAATAAACCAGAAAATGAATAGTTATTTCTGGTTGTTTATGAAAGTTAGCTGGTTAGCTGCATTCTGCTTTGTAGTATACCCCTCTGGTCTCAGTAGCCTTGTTTATACCTGGTGCAAACATGCATCCTGTCCTGATCTTGTCAACATTCAAATTTTTTGACATTCGTCTACACATTCTTTCAAAATACTATGTATTTATTTATTTTCAGACTCATATTGATGCCATAAGTCAATGTTCCCACTTGTCAATGCTGATAATGATGATTTAAATGGTTTCACTGTCCAGATCTGTCTCACTTGCGCGCCTGACTACCTCTGGAGGTGGTCAGGGAAATCTGATCAGAATCAGAAAAATGTGGGCACAATCAGAATGTGGACAAGATCAGCACAAAGAATGCATGTTAGCATCAGGTATAAACGGGGCTAGTGACAACACAGTCTCAGATTTAGAGCTCCACAACTAACTCACAGAACTTTGAGAGTATAATATGGATGAGCTGTTGTCTAGATCTCTCTAGATTTAAGCCCTGGTCTTATGAGTCAGGTAGGTGTCAGGGTCACTGTAAAAGTCAACAGTCCATTGCAGCAGAGTCATTCAGGCCAGTGTCCAGTGAGTGTTTAGCCCTACGTATAAACTGAATGAGCTCTCAGAGAGTTATTTTTAGTCCTGACCTGCTTTTCCCATGGGAAGACCTTGAGGAGTAGATCAAACTACATGTACTGTACCATACTGCAAAGCTGTGCTGTCTAATGTATGCAGTCTAGTAGAAGTAGTAGTACTATGTTAAAGACTATTCAGAGAACATAAATCAATGTGAAAATAATTGTAGTTATTACAAACATTACGTCACAAGTACACTTGCCATACTTGATATAAGCATAAGTATACGAGCTAAAGCATTATTCATAAGAAACAGCATAATGTGAATGATCAGTTATGTCTTTGTTTCCTTCTAAATATGTTTTCATTGAAATAGTCCAGTTATGAGTGTGAGGCTGCCGACCCACCATACTCGTTGTACTCCCTGTAGGTGAGGTAGTGTTTGAGTGTCGGGGGGAACGGTACGGCAGCCATGACTTCAGGGTCATTCAGTCTCCTAGGGGTCATCTGTCTCCTAATGACCAAACGACACTGGTGCTGCAGGGACCGCGGGTTGTCTGGGGATACACACACATGGACGGACACACACACACACACAAAAAGTCAGGTTATTCTGTACATGATGATGGCGAGATGATCTGTAAGATATTTCAGTATTTGCATTCCCACTGTTTTTTGTCCACTATAGGCAATTGATTATTGTATTTGTGATTATAAGAGGGAGTGGATTATGATTATTAGCAATGATGCTGCATTACCCAGAATGTCACAGATGTCTGGCCACTCTTTCTGTTTCTCCAGGACCCGTAGGAGGTTGGGGCAGATACGTGGGTGCCTGACGTAGTCCAGAAGCATCTGTACCACACTCCCCGCCAGGTTGACCACCGACGACAGGGAGATTATTTCACAGAACTGGAGCAGAGAGCGAACAGGACAGCGAGACTGACATCAGAAGGACAAGTACTGGAACTGGACAAGGTATTAGCTACACTTGCTGTTATGTTCTAAGTTAGACAAACACATTCTACATCAGCGGCGGCCAACCCTGGTCCTAGAGGACCACAGTGTGTGCAGGCTTTTGTTCCAGCCCAGAACAAAAATACAGTACCTGCCTCCCTCCAGATCCAGGACTTACCTACTTCCTCTATTCTAAATCAAAGATTGGGGGCCAACTCCTGGTCTACTGGAATAGACCAAGAGTTGGCCTACAGGACTTACCGAGGCTCTGTAGTCCTGGTTATAAAATAAAGTTATTCTATGGTTATGGTGGTAATCGACCCAGGAGTCGCAGTCCATATCCTGTCCGTTGCCGTGGTTACACAGGAAGCACTTGTCTACGTCGTAGCCGTTGTTGAGCAGCAGGCGCAGCATCATGTGATCTCTGAGACAGTACTGCAACGCGGTGGGAAACACTGTGTCACTGATCATTCTGAAGTAGCAGTTGACCTCGGCACCACTGGACAATAGCAGACGCACCAGCTCATACCTGGGGAGGGATGGGATCGGGTTAGACAGGTGATGTCATAGAAGAGACCAGGAAGTAGCAATACATGGACACTAGGTTGAAGATGAAAGGTTAAGACAACGTCATAATTCCAAGCAGAAGCGTTAAAAAATAAACAAATTCATGGGACCTAGCATGGGAGCCAACAAACTGTTCCAATAGATAGAAGTTGGTGACATCACTGCTGTGCTCCATTCAGTTTCATTTATAGCTATTGCAGAGTTAGTTTGTGAAACATGGGCTACTCTCAAGTAAGGAAAAACCTTCCCTGACGGAGACATGAAGACTTGCGTTATCCCAAAGCTAACACCTAGGCTTAGTTCAGTGGTCTACCACGGTCTTGAGTTACCCATTCAGATACGGTCTCATACCTCCCAGCGCGTACAGCCACCAGGAAGCAGCGTAACGGGTCCAGGTCAGTTTTGGCACCGGCAGCCAGCAGCATCTCTGTGCAGGTGACATCACTGTTTGATACGGCGAAGTAGAGCGGACTCCGCCTCATGTCCCCATAGTTCTCTGGAAACACAGTTATAACAACATGATCAATTGATCCATTTTGTTTAATTCTTATCCAAAACATCTTACATTTAACACGTTTATAATAAGAAGCCTATATGCAGGGCCGGCCTCAGGCATAAGCGACATAAGCGGTTGCTTAGGGCCCCCTGCCGCTAGGAACTCAGTCTGGGTTGAAAGTCAGAATAGTAGAATACACCAGGTGCAATTTTGTAAATGTGGTTGTGCATCAGCAGTTTTTCTCTTGTTATGTCAGTCACTGACAGTCACTCAATTAGCCATGTCACACAGGAATCAACCTCACAACTTTGGAGTTACAAGCACCTGCCACTTGGGCAGGGCTCCTTTATAAAAGAGATTGTGTGTCCATGTGTGTGCCCAATTGTACTACCTGGTTTGTGTGTGTCCATGGATTGTACCTGAGATGTGTGTGTCCAGCTGAGCGTTGACATCAAAGCCTTTCTCTATGAGCAGCTCCAGACAGTCAACATTGCCGCCATCTGCTGCAGAGTGGACTGGGCTCTGGCCAGACAGACGGATGGCTCTCTTAGTGGTGATGGGGATGAAGGTCCTCAGAGCACTGGGACAAACACAACATCATAGATCAGATTGTTGACTATACCATCACTATTGATTATGTTGTTGAAATAGGATCTAGACTATGAACTGAACAACTGCTTCTAGACCCAGGGATGGACAATTCCTCAGGGACAACACTTTCTAAGAACTGGATAATCAGATAACTCTCTAGCCAAATACATGTCTTGATCAATTGATTGCCACAAAGACCAGCACGCTCTCCAGTAGCTGTACAGTACATCCCTGTTCTAGACTGTTAGTAATATATGCCATTTAGCAGACGCTTTCATCCAAAGCAATTTACAGTCATGCGTGCATACATTTGACATATGGGATATTTTACGTCCTTGGAATCTAAACCCACAATTCTGGCGTTGCAAGGGCCATGCTCTACCAGCTGAGCTACAGTGTCCCACGTAGTAAGAGTGAGCCACTCACAGGATGTGTCCCTCATAGGCAGCTCTGTGTATGGGCAGCTGGCAGGCCAGACTGGCTATGTTAGGGTTGGCTCCAGCTTGCAGGAGGAGGTCTATGCAGTCCAGGTTCCCTGAGCCGGCTGCATCGTACAGAACAGTGTCTCCGTTATATGCCTTGGCATTCACGTCGCCACCTGGTGGGGAAGGAGGATGATTAACCCTACTGTAGTCCTGTAGACTTGTGTTCAAGTCAAACGTTTACGTATAACTGATATTTACATTAAACTATTTTTCAGTTCCTTGTAATTGTATTTTTGGCTATTCTTCGAGAATGTTTATTTGCCTTTTGTTTTGACAATATATTTTGAAAATGTACATTATTCATCAAGGTCAATCTAAGGCCTCTGATTGGCTCGTACCGTTCTTTATGAGTATATCCAGGACCTCGGCGTGGGCGTACTCTGCTGCGATGCCCAGCGGGGTGACATTGTGCCCATCTACAGCTGTCACCTTGGCCCCATGTCTTAGCAGAAGCACCAGGATGGCACTGCAGCCCACCTGGCAAGATATCACGCACACTTTTTAAGGAAAAGGGAATTACAATAAAACATTGTTTTTTATGACATGTTTTGGCATTCCAGCACCTTGATGAGGCAGTAATATAAACAAGACTACCGGTGTAACTCCAACTCACCTTTGCTGCCTCGTGAATGGCCATCCACTTCTTCAGACACACCTGTTCCACGAAGGCCCCACAAATGATCAGAGTGGACACCATGTCATATGATCCCTGTCTCACCGCTAACACACATCAACACAGGACAACACATAACAAAACAGCACATGCTTGCTTGATTGACAACATAGAACATGTGGTCCTCTGTAGCTCAGCTGGTAGAGCACGGCGCTTGTAACGCCAGGGTAGTGGGTTCGATCCCCGGGACCACCCATACACAAAAATGTATGCACGCATGACTGTAAGTCGCTTTGGATAAAAGCGTCTGCTAAATGGCATATTATTATTATTATTATATTATTATAACAGTGCTTGAATACAGTATAGTGCAGTGCCAGTGTGTGTGACTGTGTGTGTGTATGAGTGTGTGTGTTACCGAGCAGCAGTGGGGACTCGTTCAGGCTGTTGGTTTTGTGTGGAGACGCTCCATGCTGCAGTAGAGTCCTGACGTTCTCCAGCAGACCCTCTTGAACAGCCAGAATCAATGCTGTGTCCCCGTCTGCAGTCACATCCTCCACAGTCACATCAAAGGAAGCTGCAACAATAATGGGAATTAAACACATGTATTAGGTGCTTCATTAGTACCTAATATCCCAGTGGCAGAGTGTTATAGAAGCAGTACTGTAAGTGGCTACTGGTATTTGAGGTACTAGTTGTGCGGTACTGCTGGTGGTATGTGGGCCTCTCACCCAGCAGGACCTGATTCAAGACCTGTTCCTGGGACTGCACGGCGGCTCTGTGTAGGGGAAGCCACCCTCTGCTGTCCCTCTCTGTGAATGCCTGCAAACCAGAAAGCTCCTGCAGGGTACACACATCACCTAGGGAGAGACACCACACAGAACCCTAGGTTAGGGTTATGGCTAGGGTTATGGCTAAGGTTAAGGTTGAACCCTGATGTGGACATAAAACTAGGGTTAGGGGTTAATGGCTGAAGGGCAAGGGTTGGGCTAGGGCAGTTTCAAAGGAATGGTCGGTGAGGGGTAGTCCTACCTTGCTCGATGGCAGTCACTATCCTCAGATAGTCACCACTGACTGTTTGTATGCTGTTGAGAAATGGGTAAACTAAGTCAGGGAGAGGTAACATACTTATTGTGAGATGTGCAAATAATACATGGATGTAATCTTCTCCATCTTCTGAATACCTGTCTATTGATGAATCTCGAATACTCTCTCGAATGGCATACTCAATGAGCTCCTCCTCACATCTATCGACGTCCTCCATTCCTACAGAAATAAAAAAGAAACACCATGAACCTGAAAAACACATGTCACTGCAGTCTGCATAGATCAACAGACACTTCCTAAACTATAGGCATACAGACAGGAATGACATTGCAATGATAAGTTGAAAGGTTTTAAAGCCCCTTCGTTACTATCAAATATCCCAATGAATGGACAACTCCAGTCTTACCTGTGAAATATCTAGTGAAAGTCCCAGTCTCCGAAGGTTTGTTGGCTGCAAAGAAAGTTTTGTGTTGGTGTTTGCAGGAGTAAGGGGATATTTTTAGACATGACCTGCTTGTAATACCAGCCCCACGCTCTGAAAATGCCTGTCACGCTGTCACATGCAGTGTTTCACTATCACACTACAAGTTTATCATAATAAGATTTAATTTACTATAGGAGACATACAGTATAGACAGGCTGTCCGGCTTATAGCATACAAGTCCTACATTATTTGGATATTGCTAGTATGTGTAGTGTACCGACATCGAATGATAATAAATTACCATTTTTAATACTTATTTTTCCAATATGATAATTGAACATGTATTGTAGGAGCCGTTAGTTAATAACATGTATAAGAGGACTCATGTCTACTTACTACAACTACACAATCAAACATGCTGAGCTTTTATTTTGAAAAACGAGGACGCACTGACGTCATTTTTATTCGACAGAAATGTCCCAGGATCCATTGCGCCCAAAATCATGGCTGGCGTTCTGAAAAAGGTACTAGTGGAGGTCATGTTATGATTTTGTGAAAATGTAATGTGCTTTTGTTTATTCAGTTAGTTTCCTTGACTTTAGAATTGATATGAGCTTTGTCGCGTTCTATTGACAAGCATTATTTTAAGCTAGCTAGTGTAGCAGGCTGGCTCGTCTTCTAGCTAAAAAACGTAGCTAGCTCATTTGCTGGAGGGTTCGCGGATAGCTACTTCGTTCTGCTATATCAGGGTTAGTTACCTAGATCAGTGGCTTGTCCATTGTGAAGTAAATATAGCCAACTTACATGGCTGACACAATACTAACTTAAAGCTACATTACGTTTTATCCATATGTCCTGTAATGTTCCACCTTCCTTCTGAATGCCATATGATTATTTTACCCAGGAGATTACTAGCTAACTATGTAGTCTCGCGTGCTAGCTAGCTATTATGCTCATTGTGTATAATACTTTCCCCAGACAACAGGCTTGGTGGGACTGGCCGTATCCCACAACCCTCATGAGGTGAGTCCACAGTAATCACCATAATATACAACATTAGTAGTTTTGTAGCTACACTAATGGCCATAAACAGCAGTAGTAGACCACACCTACTTTTGTCTGATAATGTATCTCTGGTGTGTGTGTGTCCCCTCAGCGCCTGAGGATCCTGTACAGTAAGATCCTGGCATCTCTCCAGGTCATCCCTCAGGATGCAGCCTACAGAAAGTACACAGAACAGCTGGTCAACGACCGCTTTGACCTCATCAAAGCAGTAAGTTACACTCTAACCATGGTCAGGTCCAGAGCAGACTTGGGGCAAATGTTTTCAAATGTGATCAGGGCTATTGCACTGACAAGTTTAACACAGTAGAAAACCAATCCTACCAGCCCTCATTGTAACTGTGAGTTCATGTATTAGCTTGAACTTGTATGAACCTCTGTGAGGGTATCCCCTTGTTGACTTTGATACACTGCTCAAAAAAATTAAGGGAACACTAAAATAACACATCCTAGATCTGAATGAATGAAATAATCGTAATAAATACTTATTTCTTTACATAGTTGAATGTGCTGACAACAAAATCACACAAAAATTATCAATGGAAATCAAATGTATCAACCCATGGAGGTCTGGATTTGGAGTCACCCTCAAAATTAAAGTGGAAAACCACACTACAGGCTGATCCAACTTTGATGTAATGTCCTTAAAACAAATCAAAATGAGGCTCAGTAGTGTGTGTGGCCTCCACGTGCCTGTATGACCTCCCTACAACACCTGGGCGTGCTCCTGATGAGGTGGCGGATGGTCTCCTGAGGGATCTCCTCCCAGACCTGGACTAAAGCATCCGCCAACTCCTGGACAGTCTGTGGTGCAACGTGGCGTTGGTGGATGGAGCGAGACATGATGTCCCAGATGTGTTCAATTGAATTCAGGTCTGGGGAACGGGCGGGCCAGTTCATAGCATCAATGCCTTCCTCTTGCAGGAACTGCTGACACACTCCAGCCACATGAGTTCTAGCATTGTCTTAGGAGGAACCCAGGGCCAACCGCACCAGCATATGGTCTCACAAGGGGTCTGAGGATCTCATCTCGGTACCTAATGGCAGTCAGGCTACCTCTGGCGAGCACATGGAGGGCTGTGCGGCCCCCCAAAGAAATGCCACCCCACACCATGACTGACCCACTGCGAAACCGGTCATGCTGGAGGATGTTCTCCACGGCGTCTCCAGACTCTGTCACGTCTGTCACGTGCTCAGTGTGAACCTGCTTTCATCTGTGAAGAGCACAGGGCGCCAGTGGCGAATTTGCCAATCTTGGTGTTCTCTGGCAAATGCCAAACGTCCTGCACGGTGTTGGGCTGTAAGCACAACCCCCACCTGTGGACGTCGGGCCCTCATACCACCCTCATGGAGTCTGTTTCTGACCGTTTGAGCAGACACATGCACATTTGTGGCCTGCTGGAGGTCATTTTGCAGGGCTCTGGCAGTGCTCCTTGCACAAAGGCGGAGGTAGCAGTCCTGCTGCTGGGTTGTTGCCCTCCTACGGCCTCCTCCACGTCTCCTGATGTACTGGCCTGTCTCCTGGTAGCGCCTCCTGACAGACACAGCAAACCTTCTTGCCACAGCTCGCAATGATGTGCCATCCTGGATGAGCTGCACTACCTGAGCCACTTGTGTGGGTTGTAGACTCCGTCTCATGCTACCACTAGAGTGAAAGCACCGCCAGCATTCAAAAGTGACCAAAACATCAGCCAGGAAGCATAGGAACTGAGAAGTGGTCTGTGGTCACCACCTGCAAAACCAGTCCTTTATTGGGGGTGTCTTGCTAATTGCCTATAATTTCCACCTGTTGTCTATTCCATTTGCACAACAGCATGTGAAATGTATTGTCAATCAGTGTTGCTTCCTAAGTGGACAGTTTGATTTCACAGAAGTGTGATTGACTTGGAGTTACATTGTGTTGTTTAAGTGTTCCCTTAATTTTTTTGAGCAGTGTATTTGATATCATGTTACGAGATATTGTTTGGGATGGCATCTATGTGTTTCAATCCATATAGATCATTTCATTGTCTTCATTTCAATTGAAAGGAGCCTGATGTGGAGAAACTAGAGAAGAAGATCAACTGTGGTCAGATCGAGGAGGTCATTCACCAGGTACAGAGAGGAGCCTCACTCTTTAGTCGAAGACGCATCTTGTGCGGATATCCTTGAAGTGTATACAAATCCAGACAATGAAAGCGTATACATTTGGCCAACGTCACGGTTGTCCAGGCCTCTCAAAAAAAAAGATACCCGGCCGGTTTAATTAAGATCATGGTCTTTAGAAATCAAGTGCCAACTGGCACTGAGGCTGGATATGTCACAGTCCAATACCGCGTCCAGCTCTGATTTAAAATTGGCATATAGAAAAATATATTTAAGAGACATTATCCCGAATGAGAGAAAAAGGGTTCTCCCGTTCCCACATCCAATGCAAGCGCAAAATCAAATATTTGAAAACATCATAGGCTACAGAAAGGCCAAGGACTGTAATAGCATAATTTAAACTAAAGTAAAAATGTATTGGGGATGCATGCAGGGATGGACTATGATGGAGTTGCAGCAGAAGAGAGCAGTGCATGACACTTGTATGGTAAGGTATAGGCTTAATGTTCCTCCTGTACCTTTATATCTAGCCAGAATGAACAGTGGGCAAGGGGTGAATAGTCTTTCAGTTGCTGTATCAAATATGAAAAGAATACAGTGATATTATAATGCAATCCTTTTCAATTATATTATGAGCATTTCTCAGATATCAAAAAAGTGCGGAAGATGTCCAAACTGATGCGTAAAGGCGCACAGCTTTCTGTAGCCGAAGCGTGAGCGAGGCTACTGTCCAATAGGCGAATGTAGGCTTCAATACGAAGGACTCTTTGGGCTACTTTCAGATTTACACTTTGTTCCTTTATAAAGCCTTTGCTTTACATGCATGCGCCTTTGCACTTTTTATAGATTGCTGCATTTTTATAATTTGACCACACGTCTTGCTATAGGTTATCATATTGAGGTACCGTTAGCGAATTATCACTGCTCATTGATTTGGAGGAAACTAAACCACGGTTGTTCTCCCAGCATGTCACTTTTTTTTATTCCTTTACTAAAGGTTATTTACAATATTAAGACAACGTATGTAAACATCGATGTGTAAAGAACAACCCTGTTCAGACCTGTTTGGATAATGCGTTGCGCCATTCAGAGATGCACTTTGTAGCCTACTCTGTAACTTAACCTGTTTCTGTTTTTACTGTGTGCATTAGGGCCTAAGTGTCATTTTTCTTTTTTACTGTGCAAAAAATGTATTTTGTACACGTATCCAGATACTCAGATCGTTTGTGTGGTGACGTTTTTAGGGATGGGAGAGATTCTCTGAATATTTATTGTGTACGGCTGTGGACAGGTCCAGGTTATCGGGACAGTAGCCTATTACACCCAGTCTTAAATCGTTGGGTAACAAAAGTAGGCTGTAATGATGAATATGAAACTATTGATTATAAAAGCGAGCTGTTTTCTGTCGATTTATACAGCCTGTCATAACGGGAGGTTCAAGGCAGGTTGGATGAATTTGCATACAGGGAGGGACCATGGAATCTGGTCACAATAGGGACGAAGTGGGTAGATGAGAAATACATTCTATTACCGTGTGTAGACGCAACAAATCTCGATCAGATCATCTTGATTGGATGATGACAGCCATGTTAATGCAAGGTGTAACCACGGTTACCGAGACATTGTTTTGTTTCTCAAACTATTTTGAAGCATTCAAAAACCTCCCTCATAGTGTATCTCCCTCTTCCCTTCCCCATTTATCCTACATCCCTAGCCTTATCTGATCCACTAATTTCCTCTTCCCTCAGGCGGAGTGTGAGTTGGCCCTATCCAGAAAGATGGCGGAGTGGAAACCATGGGAACCACTGATTGAAGAGCCTCCCGTCAACCAATGGAAGTGGCCCGTTTAAAGACTACTTCCTGTATTGATCATATGTCTGTTTGTGTAAATGTGTAAGTACTTCATTCCCAATGAAGCATGTACAAATAAAACTGGAAATATTTTCCCTATCCTTGTAAAACTAATCTTTGACATTTTGCCTTGTGGGTACTGGGTGATAAAAAAAACAATTCAGACAGTTACATAAAAACACTCAGCCAAACCAAGGAGAATGAATGGAAGTTAAATAGCAAGATACTCTTTATTGAAAAACATGCCTAGAGCCCGGTTTATGCCTGTCCTGATCTTGTCCACATTCTGATTGTGCACATTTTTAGTTTGCACTAATGAATACACCTCATGTGTACACCTGACAAACCTTGAACAGATAGTGATTGGATCATCTTGATCACGAAAACCAAATTGTATTAATGCAAGGCGTAACCAGGGCTATAAATAGACCACCTTTGAGAAAAGGCATCGTCCTGTCCTAGTGCCCAATGCACCGCACATATTTAAAGCTGTTCAGTCAGAAAGTTAAAAACGTTGGGTAAGATTGGACAACAAAAGTCACAACTGGGATATGAACTGGCAACCATGTGGGTCTCGACATGCGTATAATGCCCCTCATCCACCTCCAATCTGCCAACTGTAAGGCAATTATTTTATTTGACTCTAAACTCCACCCACTGACCTGTCACTGAGCTCTGCCCACAGCTTTCATCCAACCAATACATTTGTCCGGGACTACTTCTGGAGGTGGTCAGGAAGATCACATCATTTTAAGCATCCACACCCGTCTAAAAATGTGGACAAGATCAGGACACATGCTGCATGTTACCAGGTATAAACAGGGCTCAGGATACAAGCATTCATCAGGGAGCCCTCTTATCAGACAACTTGTTTTACTTCTCGTATTATTATAACCACAACCTTAGAGCTTTAGACCCACAGGACATCATTAAATAAGACAGAACATATCAACAGTTCTATAGGCCAGACGGGAAAAGAGCTGATTCAGTTTAATCTGTTATTAAGTGTTTCATAGACTAAGGGCTCTATTCAATCCATATCGCTGTAGCGTTACAGATAGCGCGCTATAAATCTAAAGGTCATTTCCTAATGAGCCGACATCTGCAGCATTTACTGTGAATGCAGTTTCCGCTAACACGGCGGGAACATTGCCTTGAAATTAAAATCGCTGAATTTCTGCCATATGGATTGAATAGAGCCCTTAGATGAGGTTAACTATTATTATTAAAGCCCTACCATCAATCATTCCTTATAATGATAATCATTGTTCACCATAAAACATTTAATAGAACAAAATTATGTTAACCATTATAACCAGTAGAGCCCCTACCAATAACTAGCAAGCATTTATTTCCCATTCACCAGTATGAAGCACAGGTAACTGCCCCCTTGTGCTGCCCTCTGTGGCATAGCCATAGAATTAGCAGAACAGAAATGTGCTTACAACATGGTGGGTGGCGTTCCATTTGGAATGTTTGAATTGCTCCTTATCACATCCATAGAAATGAGCAACACTGAAGTCATATCAATAATGGAAACTCATGTTGGGTGGACCATTAAAAAGGCTAAGGATTTTCATAGCCATGTCTGTTCTACAAATTCTATAGTCATAACATTCATAATATTTGGACGTGTTCTTCACTGAGGTGTTCTCCATGCCCATGTGAAACACAGACAGTTGCAACATGGGAGCTGTAGTTTCCCTCACGTCCTGGAGTCCTGGGCTCCGCTGGTGGCCCTCTGCAGCAACTGAACCATGATGGGGTAGACAGGGGCGAACTCCTTCCCCTGACGAGCCCTCACACTCTGCATGTAGGCCTCCAGAGCACCCCTAGCACACACAGAAGGAGATGGAGTTACGAACGACACACTACCCAATAGAACCGATAGGAATTTCATCATTTTACCATAAGAGGGTGCTCACTCACTCCTCTGAGTGAGACCAAACAACCCACCAGCGGTCTCATAAAGGCTGTAAGACTTTTGTCATTCTTCTGCAGTTACCTAATGAGTGTGAGGCGGTCTCTCTCTGAAGGGTGGTCATCCAGCCACTGGGAGTAGCGAGCGATTGGACCACTCTGCTCTCTGTGGAAGAGGGAGAATTAATACAAAGTGAAGATAAAGATAACGGTTGGAAGCAGTATAGATAAGTGTCTATAGGAGTGTGTGTAGGTACACTACAAGACCAAAAGTATGTGGACACCTGCTGTTTCGAACATCTCATTCCAAAATCATGGGCATTAATATGCAGTTGATCCCCCCTTTGCTGCTATAACAGCCTCTACTCTTCTGGGAAGGCTTTCCACTAGGTGTTGGAACATTGCTGCAGGGACTTGCTTCCATTCAGCCACAAGACCATTAGTGAGGTCGGGCACTGATGTTGGGTGATTAGGCCTGGCTCGCAGTCAGTGTTCCAATTCATCCCAAAGGTGTTCGATGGGGTTGACGTCAGGGTTCTGTGCAGATCAGTCAAGTTCTTCCACACCGATCTCGACAAAACATTTCTGTATGGACCTCGCTTTGTGCATGGGGACGTTGTCATGCTGAAACAGGAAAGGGCCTTCCCCAAACTGTTGCCACAAAGTTGGAAGCACAGAATCGTCTAGAATGTCATTGTATGCTGTAAAGTTAAGATTTCCCTTCACTGGAACTAAGGGGCCTAGCCCGAACCATGAAAAACAGCCACACACCATTATTCCTCCTCCACCAAACTTTACAGCTGGCACTATGCATTGGGACAGGTAACGTTCTCCTGGCATCCGCCAAACCCAGATTAGTCCGTCGGACTGCCAGATGTTGAAGCGTGATTCATCACTCCAGAGAACGCGTTTCCACTGCTCCAGAGTCCAATGGGGGTGAGCTTTACACCACTCCAGCTGACGCTTGGCATTGCACATGGTGATCTTAGGCTTGTGTGCGGCTGCTTGGCCATGGAAAGCCATGTCATGAGTTCTTGTGCTGACGTTGCTTCAAGAGGCAGTTTGGAAGTCGGTAGTGAGTGTTGCAGCCGAGGACAGACGGTTTTTACGCGCTACGCGCTTCAGCACTCTGCGGTCCCGTTCTGTGAGCTTGTGTGGCCTACCACTTCGTGGCACAGCCGTTGTTTTTCCTAGACGTTTCCACTTCACAATAACAGCACTTACGGTTGACCGGGGCAGCTCTAGCAGGGCAGAAATATGACGAACTGACTTGTTGGAAAGGTGGCATTCTATGACTGTGCCACGTTGAAAGTCACTGAGCTCTTCAGTAAGGCCATTCTACTGCCAATGTTTGTCTACGGAGATTGCATGGCTGTGTGCTGGATTTTATACACCTGTCAGCAACGGGTGTGGCTGAAAAAGCACAATCGACTAATTTGAAGGGGTGTCCATATACTTTTGTATATATACTGTGTGTGTGTACCTGGTGAGGTGATTTGAGCTCAGATGGTGCTCTGGTGAACAGGAAGTGTAGCAAGGTGCTGTATGGAATCAGATCCCCCACGGCTGGACTGCTGGCTATCAGCTCACTGTTCTGGAACAGCAGGGGCCTACAAAACAAACAAACAAAAACACACAAAAATGGCTCAGCCACATTGAGGTGTCTAGCCTAAATAACATGTTCATTATGTTACACCATTAGCCTTTACCCGTTATCTTTAAACCATTATCCTAGCATCTAAGTAGAGGCAGACGGCAGGGAGACCGAGAGAATTACAGCTCTCTAACCCTCCAATAATGACTAACATCTTCATTAAGCCGCTCTGGATAAGAGCGTCTGCTAAATGACTAAAATGTAAATGTAATTAAGATCCACTCTCACTCTAGAAACTACCGCTGCTATTGAGGCGTTCCCCATCTCATGAGTCAAAGGTTTAACAGGAATAGGTGTGGCATAATAACTGATGTAATAACTATGTAGTAACTGTGTAACTAACGTGTCATAAATGCGTAACAAGCAGTGATGATGTAATAACATACCTGAAGGATCTCAGCAGGCGGTAGGGTTTCCCCAGCTCAGACACTCTCCTACAGAGAGGAGCTACGGCCAGCTCCATCTAAAAATACAGAGGAGAAATAGCACTGTGAGAACACGAATATAGAGTTACTTGGTGAACTTCAAGATGCACAGAAAGACCAAGAGACAGACAAACAGAGAAGGAGAGCTTGAGACAGACAGAGATACCGATAATACCCTCACATACAGCCCTTCTCCTCACCTGAGCGAAGTCAGCCGCCAATCTCATCTTGCCTCCCTCCCCTAGGGGGCGCAGCAGGCTGGCGTGGCGGATGAACAGTGTGATGCAGCGCTTGGCGATGCTCTCCGCGTTTTCGTATATGAAGTCGACACACTGGAAGTGGCGGAAGTAGTCCGCCATCACACGGCCCACAAAGCCCTGTAGCTCCCGCATGTACAGAGAGCAGGGCACGTCCGGTTTACCCGGGGTGGACATAGACCTGGAGACAGACATATATAGAACACACACACACACACACACACACACACACACCCTATGGTTAGTATAGGTCACAGACTAAGGGTCTGACTCATAACCTTGAACCTCAGGCCATTGACCCACAATGATTGAGTGACTACACACTATACCTGTGTGTGTGTGTTACTGAGTGTGTGTGTATGCAAATGTCTGTATGTGTGCGCTGCGAGTCGGCTAAGTCCCAGCAGGGCCTTGTCTGTGTAAGATCAGAGAGCGGAAAGCACTCTAGTCTGTATTCAGAGTGCTAAATGTCAATCTGAGCTCTCGGTCTCTGTATGTATGGCCGTGACAGAAGAACCAGTGTGTGCCAGGGGCCGATAACATTTAGCCAGCGGCAGGAGGCTACAGTACTGACGCAGGGACCCTTTGTGTGGTTCTGTCTAATGGGACCCTGCTAGCTGTGTGTGTGTGTCATGACTGCAAAGCCCCAAGACTAACTGAGTCTACAAGTCCATTGGGAGCCTCTCTATTGTACAGAGAGGAGTCTGGCTAATATGAATGGAGCAGCAGCATGAACGGAGGGAGAATATCTGAATGTAACTGTAGAGGGTCTAGACCAGGGGTTCCTAAACCTTATCACCCCCCCCCCCCCCCCCCTACCCTCAGGCCCCCTCTATTTCTATGTGCACAAGCACTGTT